TGTATGTACAGCACCGCTTAAAAGGCAAGAGTTTGTAAAATGGTCTGGGTGGGAGAGAAAAATCTATTTAATCTAGTCGTTAAGACTTGCCTCTGATTTGGATGGTTCTAGCCACCCATTTCGGCGTCATCTCTTGAACTGCCTTCTGCAACAGCGGTCCTATATCCTTTTGTATTTTCCCCCAAATGTAGCAGATCTATCCAAATTCTAGTTTCTACTTGACATTTCTATAATAATTCAACCTCTTAGCTGATTAAGTTATAGTTATAAAGGTTTGCGCAAGGGAATAACATTGGATTCATATAATTATTCCTAATTGCTTACTGGCCATTAGGAAATAGGTGAGATTTGCCCTTCTAAATCTGACCAAAGGGGCACGAGGCCAGCATTCTCAGGCTGAGATCCTGCGCACATCCCCCTGGAACTAAGGCCCTGTTGAATGAGGTGAGACTTACTTCCTAGCAAAGACGTGCCAGATGGGTATAACTGCAATCTTATGCAGTAGGAGCAAGTCCCATTGAAATAAATATTACTTTTGAATAAGCACTGATAGGATCAGGCTACACAAGCAGCCCTTGGGAAGTTTACAAGCAGTTCTTAAGAGAGGCAGCCACTCCCTGTTGCTTGTCTTCCGCATGGTATTCAGAGAGGTATACTTTATCTGAACATGGAAGGTCCATTTATGCACCGATCCTATCCATACTTTCAAGGGACTAAGCAGCACTGAGGTCAATGTGACCTGCTTCTGAATAAATATGCATACAGGCTTGCATTGTCAAAAGTCACCTGTATGCTTCAGGGTGTCTCCAACCTTATATTCAATTCTGGTTCCTTGATTCTCATTTTCACTTCTTTTAATTGAGCCAAACACAAAGTCAGGCATCCCATTCGAGCAAACGCAGATCAAGAGAGCCCTTTTCGGGGGAGGGGGAGCTCTCTCTAGCGCTGGCTTATTGATCATTCCATGGTCCACATATGTGACAGTAACTGTTCAATGCAATCACAACCCACTTACATCTACACAAGGGTAAAGTCAGTTGGTTTGATCCTGCTGAAACCAGTGTATGGAGCTCAGTAGTATGGATGCTGCTTTGTGGTTCTGAGGTGTTGGTTTTGGTGAGGGGTTGTTTTATTGCAGCTAATTATTCACATTGGACTGCACAAAGAAAACAGAACATAAATATTTAAAATAAAAATAAAAGTCACAGCAATTTCAACGGGAGATTCAAGCAGACAGTTACTTCTCTTCACAAAACAGAAAATGTGTAGGATGCAACATAGCTGTTTGATGAGGAACTGTTTCCTTTCCTGTGCTGCAGAGTTCATCAAACTTGGAGATGTGAGCTAAGAATAGAACGAAAGGGCTCCCTGAGCAAGTGCAGAATTCACTAAGTAAAGAGTGCCTATACTCTTCGATGGCTGTGGCGGGTGTGTGAGCCTTCAAGATTAGACCGCAGAGTTTCCAAATGAATATTGGTTCAACTTCACTCCAACAACACTTTTTCTAAAAATTAAGCACCATTTCAATTTCTCATCAAAATGGATTTTTTTGGGGGGGGGAATTAGGATAATATTACAGTGGAATTCTGTACAGTCTATGCAAAAGCGAGACCCACTGAGATTAATGGGACTTAAAAAGGTAAAGGGACCCCTGAACATGGCCGACTCTGGGGTTGCGGCGCTCATCTCGCTTTATTGGCCGAGGGAGCCGGTGTACAGCTTCTGGGTCATGTGGCCAGCATGACTAAGCTGCTTCTGACATACCAGAGCAGTGCATGGAAACACCAATTACCTTCCCACTGGAGTGGTACTTTTTTATCTACTTGCACTTGACGTGCTTTCGAACTGCTAGGTTGGCGGGAGCTGGGACCAAACACCGGGAGCTGGGACCAAACACCGGGAGCTCACCCCGTCACAGAGATTCGAACCGCCGACCTTCTGATCAGCAAGTCTTAGGCTCTGTGGTTTAACCCACAGCGCCACCCGCGTCCCATTAATGGGACTTACTCCCTTGTAAATGAGTATGGAATGCCACCTTGGTATTTATACAGCATTTTTAGAATGTTCAATGAACTTTACGTTCCTTAACTAAGTAATCCTTCTTAACAACCTTGTAAGGTAGGCCAGGGACATTTCTGGCTCTTGGCTCCTCCCCTTGGGCAGCACACTACTTTAGCTCTCTTGACCACCTTGTTCACTTTGACCGAGAACATATTTTACTCGGCCAGCTTCCTAACCTGCAGAGGAGATACACTTATCTAGATTCTAGCCAAATTAGATCCTAGATACTCAGTGGATGCAAAAATCCGGGGAAACTGTTGCCCTTTTATGCAAGCAGAGCCACCGAATGAAACAGATTCATTCCAAGACATAAACACCTCATTTCAGACACTCGTGCCCGAGTTTATGTAGCATGTTGTTTCATGGCTGTGGTTGTACGTGGCCGTGGTGGCGGCTGATTGATGTTTCATGGACATATTGTATTGCTGTTATTTCTGCAAGGTGCTTTGGGTGCTACGGCTGGGAAGCAGCATAAACATTAGCACAATAAATAAATACATAAGCGAGCAAGGGCTCTGCTGGGTCAGATCAGCTCATTTCTAACAGTGGCTGGCTAGCGACCTCGGCATCCCACAAGCAGAAACAGCATGAAGGTGGCGTCAACACCCCACAACCCACCCCGTTTGACACCCCTGCCCCACCAGCAATGGTTTAAGGTAGCCATCCTGGCTGTTAGCCTGTTGACAGGTCTCTTCTGTGTGAATTTTCCCGTCCCCTTTTAAAACCACCTTAACAGGAAGCATCGCCACCAAAAGTCAACTCTGCCCACAAGTGCACTGCAGTTCGTACTTTCTTTTTGTCTGTTCACTCGGTGACAACCCTTCTCCAACACACACAATTCGAGTGCTGTGTGAGAGAAAATATTCCATAACCTCTCTCCACAGCATTGATGATTTTGCAAAGTGAAATCTGTGGGCTACTTTTAAAATGAGGCTGCATTTTAAATTGCATTTTAACCTGTATTTTAAATTGTGGTGTGTTTTATTATGTCTTTACTGTAATTTTACTGGTGTTAGCTGCCCTGAGCCTAGCTCTGGCCGGGGAGGGTGGGGTATAAATATTTTTATTTTTATTTTTATTCACCCACCCCTTTTGGAGTCCTCTTTTATTTAAACTCAAACTAATCATCTACGGTACATTTCAAGGAAAGTCTCCAGAGCTTTCAATGAATCTTCACCCAGCAATCACTAGACATTAGCTTCCCTAAATGGCTAGGAGTCCTCCGTTGACTGACTGGGATTTGACTGCTCCTATTAAGCAGCATTCTCAAAGTGGGGGGGGGGGAGCAGAGGTGAAAAATACTTGCTTACTTCCCTCTACCATGGTTTCTCTCCTGGAGGGAAAAAGAGGAGGAATAGCTATTGCAAGTTGATTGTGAGCGCTCCCCCACCTCTTTGGTCCTCGGCAATTGCAGCTGTATATGCAAAGCAGTCCACTGCCATTGTCAAAAGACCTGGTGAATTAATGGGGATACAGCCGAGCGGTACAATACATGTCTGTTCAAAAGTACCTCCCATTGAGTAGGATGCGGCTTACTCCCAGGTAAAGGATTGCAGCCAAATACTGCAGTGCTAACCCCACAATTCGGGGCCTCTGATCCAGCCACCTCAATCAAATCCCGCCCGCCCCCCAATAAAACCCCACTGGTTTTTGGCAGTCGCAAGAAAGAAAAATGAAAGTTCACACAGTGAACGCTGTGGGGGGGGGGGGTGCTACCTGCCCCCTTTGCTGGTCATCAGTTCAATTATTTGACCAGCAGAGAAGATCCCATAACCCCTCCCCCGCAGCTGATCTGCAGGGATCCCTTGAGAAGAGGTGCGTGTATAAAAGCCTGTCTGCCTGGGGGAGGCACACCTGCCACTGCCAGCGGCCCTGGCTGGTTGGCCGAAAGTGCATGTGGTCCTGGAGCCCAAAAATGTCAACCCCCCTCCCCTGCAATGAGATGAAAGTCCCATTGAACAAAGGCAGACTTACTTCAAAGTAAATGCACGTGAGGATCAACCCGCTTGCCTCACTTTCCTGAGAGTGCTGATGCACAGGAACCCTCCAAACTGCGAACAGCCGTTGCAGGATTCCTACCCGCTAGAGGGAATGAAATAACTGGTAGGCGTACACATTATTCCTTCGACGCACATTCTTTGCCCTCGAAGAATTCTGGGCGCTGCAGTTTCCCCCTGGACTCAGAGAGTTACAACCCCCAGTAACAAACGACAGCGCTCAGAATTCTTCGAGGGCAAAGAATGTGCCTCGACTTTTGCTTTAAACGTCTAGCATCCGTGTAGTCTTGTAAAAGTGTAACAGTGCTCAAGCGTGGTGAAACGCAGCGGGCGAATTAGGATTTCCTGTTAAATGAGGGGTCTGGGTTAAAGGCGGATCTACACGGATCCTCATGGATCCTCCACTTTTTAAAAAATAACTCCAACAAATCCAGTGTCAAATCACACCTGGAAGGCACGCCTACAGACTGGACTATAAAAAACGTGGATCCTACAGTATCATGGTGGTTTTATTTAATTTGAATGAAAAAAATCATATGAATTCATGAGGATCCGTTTAAAATCAGCTGGATCCGCCTTTTACCCTTTTCCTTAAATGGGCAAAAGAAGGCAAACCCGGGTTTGTTGCCGGCCGCGGGATTTGCTGTAGAGAAAAGGCCCAGATGGCCAAATTCCAAGGCACCGACCCCGCCACGAGAATAGGGCCGCCGCGCCCCTCGGGCAATGCGCAAAGCCGTTCGCCTTGCGCGCCGTCGGGCCGCCTTCCCTTGTGTCCCTTGGGCGCCTCCCGGCTGCGTTCCTTCTGCCGAGGCGGGGAAAGACCTGGCATCCGGGCTTGGCTCCGCACCTCCCCGCGGATGACACCTCCCGGCTCCTGCCCTGGGCCAGGCCCCTCCCTCGGCCACCCCTCTCGGCAAAGCCCCGTCGGTCTGCGGCGCCCCCGGCATTCTCAAGAGAGGCTGCTCGGGCAAGCTGCGTCTCCGCCCGTCCCTTTAAGGCAGCTACAAGGGAGTGCCGGCTGCCCAGGTGCGCAGCGAGCGGCAGGAGGAGGAGGCACAAAAGCGCATCATCCCGGCCGGGAGTCACCCTCTGCTTCGGGGGGGCCTGGGAGGGAAAAGGCGCTTGCACCTCTCCGGGGGAGGGAGCATTAAGTGATACCCGAAAGCGCACCCCGTCGTCTGCGCAGGAGGACACTAGGCGCGCACCAGCTCCGGGGCAGCCCAGTCTTCTGCGCGGCTGTCTCCTCTCCGGCGCCCAAGTCCCACTCTGCCCGAACTTGGGTGGCTCTCTGGGCGGTGGGGCCCCGATCCCAGTCTCCAGACTGCCGGCGCCGCGTTGTTTCAAGGCAGCGCCGCTCGGTTCCAACCGCACGTCCAAGGCAAGCTCTGATCACCGACGCCACCCGCGGTAACAGCGGCCCGCTGCGTTCAAAGGGCTCCAGACGCCGCCGATCCAACCTACCCTACGCCACCTCTCCAAGGATCGCTCTCCAGCCTTGCCCGCGAGTTTCCCGGCTTCGGCACCTGAGCACTTCGGACTCCAAAGCCGCCTGGACCCCTGACTGCCCGCAGCCCCCGAGGGAGCCTTGGAGACCCTCCATCGGAAGGCAGCCGCGAGCAGCGAGGCTGGCGCGTCCGCATCGCCAAGGTTGCCCGTCGCTTCCTTGGGACCTGCTGCCCCGCCGTCGGTGGCAGGGCCAGAGCCTGGGATGACAGCCCAGAGCCCCCAGCCGTCGACGTGCGCCGCGGGCCAGGCCGACTCCGAAGGCGGCTCGGCGGCCAGGCTCGCCGCTCTCGTTAAGGTGGAGCAGTCGGCGCACGGGGAGGCTTTGGAGCCGGAGCCGTCGGAAGAAGAAGCGGCGGCGGCGGCGGCAGGAGAAGGAGGCCCGCGTCCCGGCGGCCGTCGCAGGAAGCGCCCGGTGCAGCGCGGCAAGCCCCCGTACAGCTACATCGCGCTCATCGCCATGGCCATCGCGCACGCCCCGGAGAGGCGCCTGACGCTGGGCGGCATCTACCGCTTCATCACCGAGCGCTTCCCCTTCTACCGCGACGGGCCGCGCAAGTGGCAGAACAGCATCCGCCACAACCTGACGCTCAACGACTGCTTCGTCAAGGTGCCCCGCGAGCCCGGGCGGCCGGGCAAAGGCAGCTACTGGGCGCTCGACCCGCACGCCCGGGACATGTTCGAGAGCGGCAGCTTCTTGCGGCGCAGGAAGCGCTTCAAGCGCAGCGACTTGTCCACCTACCCGGCCTACATGCACGAGGCGCAGGCCCAGCCCGTCGGGCCGGCCCTCAACGCGCCCTACGCGGCCCCCGCCGCCCTCTGCTACCCGTCGCAGCCGCCCCTCTTTAGCCTGGGCCCGCTCATGGCGCAGCCCAGCCCGGAGCTGGCCCACCAGCAGCACAGCCCCGACGTCACCCCTTCCCCTGCCAACGCCTGCTCCTTCGCGGGCACCCCCGCCTACCCCAGCCAGGGCTGCGCAGCGGGGCCTGGCCTGCACAGGCCCCACAACGCCATGCCTTACTCCTACCCGCTCCCCAGCACCCAGCAGCTGCAGGTGAACCAAGGCACCTACTCCCAGAGCGGTGGTGGTGGCGGCGGCCACCTGTTTGGGGCCTCTGCCCGCCTAGGGATGCCCACCTCGCCCACCCTGGGGAACGACGCTATGGATTTCTATGGCAGGATGTCTCCCAGCTCCTATGGTTCTTTGGCTCACGGCTACAACGCCGGCGGGCAGCTTGGTAGTCCGGGGGCCTACCTGCGCCATGCGGCCTATTCCAGCAACATGGAGAGGTTTGTTTCTGCCATCTGAATCCGAGAAGGGACTTGGTTTGGCGAAAGGCAGTGGGGCAGCGGGTGAGATCTGCGGCTGTGCCCGCCTGTTGGTGGCCTAGATTATCGTACTCTAATGCTTCATTGCCGTGAGCTGTGGGGTGGGCTGTTGTGGCGTGCGTTTGCCCAGTGTGACAGCACCCAGTGAGTAAAGGGCCTCAGAGGATCCGGACAATGGAGAGAGACGTGGTCCGCAGTTCTTGGCTGCCAGAAAGACCTAGGATCTGTGAAGCTTATGCACTATAGGATAGGAAGCTAGTGATATTGGTGGGGCCCGTGTTGTGTGTATTGAGAAGGCAGAGGGAAACCTTTGTAGGCAAGACTGTGAAGTGTGAAAATACAACTTCTTCAAGCCAAAGGAAATGTAAAATATTTGGGTTTCCCCCACCTCTGGGCTTTCGTCTTCCTGTTTGCTTTTGTGGGCTCCTTAGCTTTCCAAAATTATACGCTGCAGCAGTAATTTCAGCCAATCTCACTTTCCAGTCTTTTGGTTTAGCCGGATTACTAGGAAATTATGAAAAGCTACTAGGTGTGTGCTTCATATTCTCAATTCCAGGTTTTCAGTGACTCACAAGCACATTTGGACAAATAAATACACAGTCAATGAATCATACTTCCTTTTAGGTACTTAAGGCAAATGCTCTGTATAGTTCTCTATATAGTTTTCTTGTGGTTTTAGGAATGCAATAAATAACTTTCCCCACAAATTTTGTCAGACAGTTGTTCTGATTGCAGCTGATAACTCTTAGTTGGGTGAAATTTAGTTAGGCAGGCAAGGGAAACCTCAGTGTGCTAATTGTTCAGTGAATCTCTTTAGCCTCGAGTCAGATTTCTTCTGTTTTTCAGGGTTTAGAAATCTGTAATTAACATCCTGTATAGTTAGATGGGAACATGTTTGTTAATTGCTTAAAGATTAGATGTAGGAAAGCTTCCAATCCACTCCCATGTATTCTTCATTCCAGGAAACAAATGCCGTAAAACAAGACAGCTCTTTCCCCATATCCAACATACTTACGGTAGTTTTTCTCTCCTTCCAACTTGGGTTGTTACTTTCCCGAAAGGCTTAGTCCAAGTCCAGTGTACTCGTGTTTTTATAACATCTTTGTAATACAAAAACCAAAGGGTTTATTGGAAAAGGTACCCTGCAGTCTGCAACCTGTTTGCAACCTGGAGAACTAGGCTTTACCTTTAATATTGAAAATGCAGCGGAAGGGTTGCCACTCTCTCACCTGTTTCTTCATTTGGGGAAGAGATGAGTCTAAAAATCACTGAAAGAGTGGGATGGGCAGTGCAGGAACTCCCGAATCGGCCACCGCATCATTGATGCTAAAGGTAAAGTCGAGTTCTAGAGGTAAATTATCTGACAATCCTAGCTCAAACATGTGCTAACATTATTATTAGAACTGGTGTGGCCATGGATTTAGTGAGCTGAGCACTTTTAAGATACCAGGCAAGGACAGATCCACACATGCAGGTCAATAATACTAACAGGGTTCCATGCACTGTACCATTTCATATATTGGCTACAGAAATATATGAGTGCTCTCATGTATGTGTGTGTGTGTGTGTGTGTGTGAGAGAGAGAGAGAGAGAGATGCATGTTAAAGACAAGAGTTTCAACTAACTTATTTTTCTACGCATAGAGAGTTCTTTACACAGGGAACACTGAAACTTAAAATACACACACACACACATACACCTGCAGCTTGAAGCAGTAGAATCCTGTGAATTCTGGGCCATGATTCGGATGCAAAGAGCGTATGATCTGCAAACATTCCTTGGGAGTATTTCTCCTTAAGGGCAAAGGAACTGCCTTGCTGGATCAGTGGAAGGACCATAATTCAATGGCTTTGTGTAAAGATGGTCCCAGGTTTGAGCCTTGCTATTCCCAGGCAGGGCTGGGTACACCTCTCTGAAGGCCTGGAGTGGGGCTCCCATTCTGCATAAACAGATTGTCTTAACAGCAGCTGCCTGTCTTTCTATATAGAAAGAGCCACTTGGGTTTGTTATACTGTAGTATATACTTACAGAATATGAAAGGGCCTTGGTAGGAGAACATCTACCTTGCATGTAAAACGTTCCAAGTTCAATCTCCAGTATGAGAAAGAAACCCTGGAGAGCCATAGCCAATGTAGACAATACTGAGCTAGATGGCTCTCTTCTCTGATAAGGCAGCTTCTTAGGTTACGCATGTTTCCATATCAGACCAAGAACCATTCTTAAAACAGAGAAGAGCTCAAAACCTCTGGGTTTTGGCAAGCAGGGCAGGATAAGAGTGATGGATTTCCTTCGTTCCTGGCACCTGGTGTTCAGGGGTATACGATCAGCCAACATGACTACTTCAATTATGGTGGCAAAAAACTATTTGCAAGCTAGTCCTCAGGGTATGTGTTTCATCAACAATCCTTTTCTAAAGCTGTCCAAGCTAGTGACCACTGCCAGCTCTTATGGAGGGTTCTAGTCTTTCAATGGGGAATTATTATTTTTTGATGTTATTATATACCACTGATTATTTTTTTGTCCATGTGTATAGTGAAGAATGGGTTGCAGTTCCAGATTTCTACAGTGTACCAAAATTCTGAAAACGTTTGTGCCAAAATGCCAGCAGATTCTTTGATATGAATAAATAACATGCATTGGGCAATTTTGCATATTCTTACAATTTTTACATAGCTCTTGGCTATGTGATATGTCTGGGTTTCGTTTAATGAATGCTTGGAATTTTTGTTTTGCTCCTTTTTTTGTCATGGACCTAAGGAGGAGCGCTGGTCCATAGAAGTAAGTGGGGGGGGGGATACAGAATAGCCGCAGAACAAAGGGGGAAGAATTAGATGTTCTAACAGAATAAACTCCAGCCCCGAATAGTGGAACCTTCCCTTCAAGTCCTCTTAAGTTTTTGAGCTCTCTGTCAAAAAACAAGCAAAACCACTCTACATGTTTTGTCCCTAACCATAAAGCACACAATCAAGCTTTTTGTTTTGTTTTCGAAAAAGGAAAGCTCGTCAGTGGACTCTACAAACATATAAAAACACTGTGAAAATGCTTTTTAAAAAAACGTTTTGAAAAATACATTGAATTTTGCATAGCTAACTGTCACCATCTAGTGTCACATTTGTATATTGCACTTCACAACACATTTAAAATGTTTTATTTGTAGCTGTATAATTCTGAGTCCTTTGAATCACTGGAGATCCAATCATTTACAGTGCAGCAAATTATTTTTCTAGTTCTCTTCCAAGATGATTTATAAGAATTCTAGGTGATCTTTGAACCAGGCTTGAACAGAGTGCTGTCTACATTCTACTGAAGTCAATGGCAGAACTTGCTGGCATCATGTTCTGGGTTGCATGCACAAAAGTGACAGTCATGGTGGATTGTCTCATTTCCTTTTCACAATTCCAAAACTTTTTGTGACTGGGTGCTTTACAATTCTTCCCCTCCTTTTCTTGCTTTTCCAAGCCACCATTGTGTAGGCTGCTTGCAACAGAAGCACATTTAGTCCTTGTAGTAAGGACTCTCAAGAGGTTGCAAACTTCTGGACGCAGCAATAGGAGCACTGGGAGGGCCTTTTATCTGTTTACAGGCCACAGACAGGGTTGGCCAACTTCTACAAACCACTCCATTCTCTAGGGTGGGCAGACTTCAGGTTTCCAGGACCCCCTTTTGCTTTTCACTAGAACCGCGAGAAACTATAAAGCCTGGTGCAAAAGACATATATTTAGAATGAATTCTGAGTGCAGGAATTTGTTTTGAGTTGCAGAACGGAACTGAGCTCACAGTCCCTCCAGAAAAAATAATAATCTGTTCTTGGTTACTCCCGCCCCACTCTCGCACACTGCATTCTTTATTTCGGAAGCATAATTTTGGGAAAATGGGAGTTGTATTCTTATTGCTATTTGTCAGGGAACTGCCATCAGTGTCCGAGGGAGAGAGCAAGCTTCAAAGGGATCCCAGAGAGCGTCCCGGGAGTGGGAGAGGCAGCCGGTCTTCTGGGGAAGAGAATCAATGTAGCTCGAGTGGAGAAGGGGGGCAGATGGGGGAAGCGGCGAGGCGGTCCCATGACTCCTTGCCGGGGACCAGCGGGGAGAGGAAGGGTCCTCCGCTGCCTACGCCCTCCTTGCGCAGAAGGCTTCCATGCAGGGAGAGTAGGAGGAGACTTGGCGTCAAAGAGCTTCTTTGCTGGAAGACGTTTAAGAAACGTCCACTGACGGATTCTGCCAGCGATTGAGACAGTCACAGGCGAGTGGCTGCCCGGACAGGAAAGGTTCACTCATGCAACCCAGCCAGAGGTTGGGACAAGCTTACGCACGAGCAACCCCTAGAACCATTACACTATTGTTAAGCCATTGGGAGTCAGAAATCCTTACTCATCTTCTGCAAGTTATCAGGGGCTTGCGGATATGGGAACAAAATGTAGGTCCCAGCCCAGTGTGGCCCGGGACCTTTCCCACTTTAAATGTGGGATCCGGTGTGGAGCAACTCCCACTAGATCTAGCAGATCTACCTTCTCTCCATTGCTCATCTTCAACTAAGGCAGGGGAAGGGAATCTTTCTCAGCTAGAGAGCCACATTCTTTTCTGAGGAAATCTTCCAGAGGCCACATGGCAGGAGCCATGGACAAAAGAAGATATATCTTACAATGGTCATAGCCAGGATTTTTTTTTGGGGGGGGGAGGCTTTTGTTAGGGGGGGCAGAACCTCAGATTTGTATTGATTTGTGTTGATTTTGGGCAGGCAGCTGCCCCCTGCCCCCCCTTGGCTACGCCCATGACTCTTGCCTTTGTACAGTAGGCTAGTTATATAGAAATAGAATAGAAAATAGAAATACTTTATTGTCACTGTACCACTTGTTTACAGTGAGATTAAATGAGCCCCCCCTTGCCCCCACAATCTCTCAGTCCTTGTTATACTCTGTGTGCTGTCATACGACCACCAACCCCGAAGATCAGCTGCAATGTTGCTGTCTTCCATTCAGCAGCCTCACGGCCCATGGGTAGAAACCGTTCTCTCTACACACCATCTCCATCATCTGTTCAGGTAAGCAAGAAGCATTATCAGAGCAGAAGAACATTCCATCTAGGCAACGCCCCCCCCCCCAAAAAGACATTAAAAGGAGGGTGCCAAGTGGGGCCGTGCGGGATTGTATGGCCTGAGGAGACTCCCATGGGCCAGCTAAAAATCCTTGGAGGGTTGCATCCAGTCCACAGGCCTGAGATTCCCCACCCCACAAGAAGGAAAAAGAGGAATGAAAGAGAACGGGGGAGCCGTGATGAGCATCATGAGTTAAAAAGAGTAAAGTTCCATAAAGGGACCTCTGACCATTAGGTCCAGTCGTGGCCAACTCTGGGGTTGCGGCGCTCATCTCGCCTTATTGGCCGAGGGAGCCAGCGTGCAGCTTCCGGGTCATGTGGCCAGCATGACTAAGCCGCTTCTGGCCAACCAGAGCAGCACACCGAAATGCCGTTTACCTTCCCGCCGGAGTGGTACCTATTCATCTACTTGCACTTTGACATGCTTTCGCACTGCTAGGTTGGCAGGAGCAGGGACCGAGCAACGGGAGTTCACCCCGTCGCGGGGATTCGAACCGCCAACCCTCTGATCAGCAAGTCCTAGGCTCTGTGGTTTAACCCACAGCGCCACCCTGCACGTTAAAGATGGAGCCCAGGTCCAAAATGGTTGGTGATGACTAGATCTTTGGGGAGCTGAGCAATTTCATCCCCTTCCCACCACATGTCTACTGTCATATTTTTGGCATCACCAAGCAGTAAAGACTATCTGGAGGATGTGTGCTCAGATGGTGTGATGAAGATATTCATGGGGGTGGGCTGCTGAGGACCACTTCTGCTTCCTGAAAGATTTCCTCAGGAGGCAAGCTGGCCAATTTTAATGGGTGGAACTGTGCGTTAAAGGCATGCTTGTGTCTTTTTAATTTTTATTCCAAGTGTATTACTGTAATAGCAAAGGAAAACAAAATGATTAAAGATGGCCTTCTAAAAGTAAGTAGCAGTTTCTACTTTATTAAATTGTAAACTTTGACTGTGCTTCCTTCAGTATCACACAAACACACGTGCTGAGATTTTGGCAAAATACACATTTATTTAAGCTGAATTGACCCACGAAAGGCATATGATTAATCAACTAAAATGTCATTCAAATATATGGAAATATATAAAATTGCATTTGTACCTTTGGAAAAACAGCAGATGGTGCTCATTCCACCCTGTTTCAGTAAAAAGCCCAAGAAGGCTTCTCTTCCCTCCAGATTGCTAGCTGCTTGCACCTCCTTCTGCTCATATTCACAAAGCAAGCAAAGTAATGGCCTTGTGTTATTTCATAATCTTGCCACAGGGTACCCATCACCACCCCTGTTATATCCAAAGCCACAGGTAAATGCTAAAGTTAAAGGACCCCTGGATGGTTAAGTCCAGTCAAAGGTGACTATGGGGTTGCGGCGCTCATCTCGCTTTCAGGCCGAGGGAGCTGGTGTTTGTCCACAGACATCTTTCCGGGTCATGTGGCCAGCAGGACTAAACCGCTACTGGTGCATGGAGGACCGTGGCGAGTGCCAGAGTGCACGGAAACGGCATTTACCTTCCCACCGCAGCGGTACCTATTTATCTACTTGCACTGGTGTACTTTCGAACTGCTAGGTTGGCAGGAGCTGGGACAGAGCAACGGGAGCTCATTCTGTCATCCGGATTCGAACCGCCAACCTTCTGATTGGCAAGCCCAAGAAGCTCAGTGGCTTAGAGCACAGCGTCACCCACAGCCATGACTCACGGTCCAGTCCTGATGGACCAGATTGTTGTGTCACAAGAACAGGGGAAAGCCCATGACACACTGAACACTGCAACTGAAGATCAGTAGTATCAGGCAAGGGGCTCTTTCTGGGAAGTTTGTGTGCCATAACTGATCTCCTGATGAACCTCAACATTCCCTGGAACAAGGTTTGAAAACCACTGTTCTAAAGAATCTGGAACTGGTCACTGTCCGAGCCAGTACAGTTCAATAAACTGTCTCATGGATTCCAGACCTCACTCAGTTTTGTCCCATTGTGCATTTACGTAAATGAGACGAAAACCTTAGATGGCATTCTTCTTCCCCATACTACCTTTCAGCTCAGAAAGGCAAATAGGGTGGTTGTGTGCAGCAGAGAGTTGAATGAGGAAGTAATGTATATTTTTCTGTTTCTTGTCTTCCCCTTTATATCTTTCTTTAACTGGAAAGCAGATGGTACAAGCAAAGGGTGTTGTCTACCTATATGCAGACACACATTTATTTCTCACTAAGGTGGTAACCTATCCTTAGGTTATAATATACCACTTCGGGCTGCTGGTGGGACCCCGCAGGGTGGAATGCTTCTACACACACATACAAAAAAGAAAAGAAAAATATCCTGAATACGAAACAGTAGCATGCCAAATAGAAGATTAGGCTAGCTTCAGTCTCCCTGACATCTACCATATTTTTTGCTCTATAGGACACACTTTTTCCCCTCCAAAAATTAAGAGGAAATGTGTGTGTCCTATGGAGAGAATGTAGGCTCCTTGGCTTCAGCGATAGCAACGTGAAGCCTCCGAAGCGCAGAGGGAGCGCTCCCTCCGTGCTCCGGAGGCTTCGCCTTGCTTTCGCTGAAGCCTGGAGAGCGAGAGGGGTTGGTGCGCACCAGCCCCTCTCGCTCTCCAGGCTTCAGGGATAGTCACCTGAAGCCTTCGGAGCGCAGCGCGAGTTCCTGCTGCGCTCCACAGGCTTCGGGTTCCTTTCACTGAAGCCAGGAGAGCAAGACTGCATAGTTTCTATGTAGCAGTCTATTTTCATTTTCATTTTAATTCATTTACAAGAGTCCCCAATTACATTCTGGCACATGTTTCATAGTGAAAAATGGGACTAATCACACAAACAAGGAAATTGGAATCTACTGTATATTTTGGGAAGTGGTTTTGTCTTTCTGCCCGTTTGTTTTCTGTAAGTTTAGACAACTCTCTACGTATCGCCAAATTTGGCATGAGGGTTTCTGAGGTGGAGGTGATGCTGTTCACTGTGTTTGCTCTCTCCCCCCACCCCATTTTGAATCAAAATGGCAGACCGAAACATCACTTTGGCATGACTGTGCCTGTTTTTCGACATAGTTTCATCTGCCTCTTGTGACAGCACCACCAAAGTCCACACAGAGGTTCCTGAGGTGGAGATGGGGGATCTATGTTGATGTTTGGGTGGCAGGTGCCATTTTTAATCAAGATGGCAGACTGCAATGTGACTTTGACGTGACCACACCCAAGCTTCGGCATGGGTTTGTGGGATGTGCTACTTAAGAAGCAGTCAAGTACAGCATTCCTTGTTTTCCTAGAGTGGACATGCAAGGGGATGTTTGGTCCAGCCGGTCAAAAACTTCCTGTTTCCTCCTGGCTGGGGCATACTTCCTTTGCATGTGATTGTCAGGTGTGCGTGCAGGAGCCAGGCCCTGTGACCAATAGGACTCTGCAGGACTGGGGCCTTCCTAAGTTTGTTCTGAAGAGGCAAGGCGTGGCCACACAGGTGAGGCCGATTGGCAACTCACAGCACCTGGTGGCAAGAGCCGGGAAAGGATATAAGGTCAGCATTTTCCCTTCAGCTCTTTGCCACAGCAACATGTTCCCTGTCTTGCTGCATTTGGCTCCTTGTTCCTCGGACCCCTGACTTTGTGACTGTCAGTATATGGAAACATCACAGCTGCAGACAGCCAGATTGTTGACATCACATGATGCGCCTATCTGTGGGAAAGAAGAATTTCCCAGGAAGTTCACAGGCTGGAAAAGTCTCTGTGAAGAGTGTAATTTGAAACCTTCCATTTGCGCATGTACAGGAAGTTTGTCAGACTTGCTAGAGGAACTGAACTGAAAGGACGTGTTTTTCTCTAGTGCTGTAATGTCAGAAATAAAAGAATGTACCGTCTTTTTTGCTCTATAAGACTCACTTTTTCCCTCCTAAAAAGGGGAAATGTGTGTGCGTCTTATGGAGCGAATGCAGGCTGCGCAGCTATCCCAGAAGCCAGAACAGCAAGAGGGATTGCTGTTTTCACTGCGCAGCGATCCCTCTTGCTGTTCTGGCTTCTGAGATTCAGAATATTTTTTTTCTTGTTTTCCTCCTCCAAAAACTAGGTGCGTCTTATAGTCTGGTGCGTCTTATAGAGCGAAAAATACGGTAAATAGATTTCTGACTACTTTTCTTTCCCCTGTGGAAGCAGGAGGAGGGGGTGTGCATTTTACCCACTCTTGGAAAATGTCGCCTATCAATATCTCCCTGGTCTGTCCGGGAAGTCAGCCAGAGGAGGTTACCGGTAAGCAAGCTCCGGGAACTGTGAGAGGGGCCAGACTCTGTGGAGGGGTCTTGCGAACCGACAGTTACTTCTTGCTCCTCAGATCCTTGACTTTGTGACTCCTTGCTTCCTGACCCTCGGACTCTTGGCTTTCTGACTCCTGGCTTCTGGACTCCCATACCTGCTCCAACCCTGCCAACATGCCCCCGGTCCCGACGTCCTCAGCTGGGACTTCGATTGCCCGTGAACCGGACCGTGATAGTGACTAGAGGTGGGCGTGACCTTACAGTACCTGTGCAGGTAACAAAAGCACTAGGCATACAGCATCCTCCCTCTTTTCTCTTCGGCTTCCTCCATCATAGGACCAGCAGCTTTTTAGCTAGAGATGCTCTGTTGGCTTTCAGCAAACAAAGGGACTATCTCCATATGGGACAGACTCACATGTATATACTTTGTAACTATGTCTGCCTTCAGGGATCCATCTGTGAACTGAATGTGTGAGTAATTTTCTTTTATATACCGTATTTTTCGCTCTATAAGACGCACCAGACCACAAGACGCACCTAGTTTTTGGAGGAGGAAAACAAGAAAAAAGATATTCTGAATCTCAGAAGCCAGAACAGCAAGAGGGATCGCTGTGCAGTGAAAGCACCTCTTGCTGTTCTGGCTTCTGGGATAGCTGTGCAGCCTGTATTCACTCCATAAGACGCACACACATTTCCCCTTACTTTTTAGGAGGGAAAAAGTGAGTCTTATAGAGCAAAAAATACGGTACTTTACACAAGATTGTGGTGTGTTTATTCTTTTAAGGGGGATATAAGAGGGATTACCAGGAATCTGATAGAGAGGCTTAAACAAGCCTGCAAGAGCTACCTGCTGTGCAAGAGCTACCTGCTGTGCTAAGTTATAGAACTTGCTAGTGCAAGTTAGGAAGGATAACATTAAACAAGATATCCTCTCCTGCCTCCTTGAACATTCCAACAGGGATATCGTCACCACCCCTAGCACAAGGGTTCCTGAAGCGGGGTCAGGGTCTTTGCCACTGTTTGGATGTCACTTACCATTTTGAATCAAGGTGGTGGACCGAAACACGACATTGGATTGACTTCACCTGATTTTTGGTGTTGACAGGTCCAAATTGCACAATGTTTTAAAATCACAATATGTTTTGGTTTCTAAAAAATACCTAGGCAGCAGTGGGTACTTTCCACTATTAGGGAATGAATGAGGGGCATGCAAAGACAGTCTCTTTCCAACTCCCTTTTCCTTATCGCTTTTCATTTACCCGATCTGACCTGGGGGAGTCTTGCCACCAGACCATTTGAAGGGCCCTTTCTCTTCAGCTCCTCCATTCATATAGTTTCCCACTGACAAGTTCAGCTGCTCACCCCATCTGCATGATAGGGTGAGCTCCCATTGCTCTATCCCAGTTTCTGCCAACCTAGCAGTTCAAAAGCATACCAGTGCAAGTAGATAAATAGGTACCGCTGTGGCGGGAAGGTAAACAGTGTTTCTGTGTGCTCTGGCTTCCATCCTGGTGCGGTTTAGTCATGTTGGCCACATGACCCAGAAAGCTGTCCGTGGACAAATGCCGGCTCCCTTGGCCTGAAAATGAGATGAGTGTCGCACCCCATAGTCGCCTTTGACAGGACGTAAATGTCCAGGGGCCCTTTACCTTATATATATATAAAAACTGAAGTATTGTGAAAAGTGAAAGAGTGATGAACAGGTCCTGAACAAAACTTCTATATTTAACTATTTTAAAAACACACCAACATAGTTTATATACTGAGATCTTCATATAATAGCTCCTCCGAATGGGGCATGTGGCCATAAGTGGGAATAGGTTTCTTTCCTTTCCAACTGCAAACAAAATGGAGATGTTGTGCTCAGGTAAGGAGCCAATAGAAATAGGGATGTGGTACTACCCACATGAGGGACATGGGTGGCGCTGTGGGTTAAACCACAGAGCCTAGGACTTGCCGATCAGAAGGTCAATGGTTCAAATCCCCACGATGGGGTGAGCTCTTGTTGCTCGGTCCCTGCTCCTGCCAATCTAGCAGTTCAAAAGCATGTCAAAGTAGAAGTAGATAAATAGGTACCGCTCCGGTGGGAAGGTAAGTAGTGTTTCTGTGCACTGATCTGGTTTGCCAGAAGCGGCTTAGTCATGCTGGCCACATGACCCGGAAGCTGTACGCCGGCTCCCTCAGCCAGTAAAGTGAGATGAGCACCGCAACCCCAGAGTCGGTCACGACTGGACCTAATGGTCAGGGGTCCCTTTACCTTTACCTTTACTACCCACATGACAAAACCAGCCACCGGGGCAGATTGTGCTAATAAGCTTCCATGCCTGACGCATAATGTGTTGTTTTTCATTATCAGATTTTCTGCATTATGGGGAAATCCGGATTAAATGCAGGAAAAGCACATAAACTTCAGCATAAAAATAAATTCAATGGAAAGAGAGGATGAGAGGGAGTGCTGTTGTGAGCTTGGGACCTTATAGGTTCAGGAAGGCTCTTTCTGAAGATGTGATGTGAGGTTTCTATTGTGAACTCTAATATTTGTAAGTACTGTAATCCAAATACTAAAAACACAGTTAAGTCTCTATCATCCTGACTGAGGAAGCCAATCTCAGGTCGTGCTGGCTCCGGAACTTATAATGTCATGGGGAAATTGGAAGCATGTAACAGAGCTATTGAGCGTTTCAGGGATTATGACTTCCAAGGAAATTGCAGAAAGGTGACAGCAGCAAAGGGCGCTGGCTTTTATTGCTCACACAAGAATAGCAGGTATCATGTATTCTAACAGTGTTTCAAGTTGAACAGTGAAAAATTACTGCCAATTAAAGCAAGCCATAGAACTTTTGTTCCAAATGATCATTTTCCACGGACTGAGGAATTTCTCCTGGTTCTTCTGATCTTGGTGTCTCCTCTGGTTCTGAAAAGGAAGAAAACATTAAGTATAAAGGTTTCTGTTTGTTTGAGGCAGTCCCAGCAATAATCAACACAACAATGGCGTAGCATGGGGGTTGGGGCCACAGGGACAGTTGCCCCGGGTGCAAAATTGTTAGGGGGCGCAAAAATTGAACACCTGGTGCTGCCTCAATACAACTGCGTACTTCTGGGCGCTATTGAAAACAGCTGCTCAATGCAAACCAGGAAGTGACCTCTCCAGACGATGGAACGACTCTTCTTATCTCTGTGGCTGCAATCTCCTGGGTGACATGGAAGCCATTAGGCAGGTGAATCTGCATGCGTAATTCATCCATTTCCTTTCCACCCACCCCCTCCGTGCAGCCCCGGGCACTGGCAACCCACGCTATGCCACTGCAACACAGTAATACCTAGTATTCACAGTAACTACTAGATACGGCAAAACAAAAGACCGATGGCTAACACAACATTTCATCTTGATCAAACATATGGGCCGGATTCTACAAATGATCCCTGTTAGCGGAAACCAATACAAGAGCTTCTGCTGGCACAACAGGGGCTTTTGCCCTTTCTCTCCCCCACCCCCAGCAAGCCCTCCCCATTGCTTGAGGGGGCAGGAATCGGGGGAACCCCCAAACAGTAGCATGGAGATTGTTCTTCCTGACGAGCTAAAATGCTTGCGCTGCAAGAACACTCCCCTTAGCACTATGTTGCATTCATCCCTATGGCCCCAATCCAGCTAAACTTTACGCTCTCCCTGTAAGTTATTAAGGTTTTTTCATTATTTTTCATTACCTGTAACAACATCAACAATTCATAGTAGCAGGTATGAAGGGGAAGAATATGGAGAATAATTAGAACAAAAACTATTTGTATTCTCCCTTTGTGTAACAAAAAGCAATTCAGAGGTCAAGAGGCTTCCAATAACTACCGTATTTTTCGCTCTATAAGACGCACCAGACCACAAGACACACCTAGTTTTTGGAGGAGGAAAACAAGAAAAAAAATATTCTGAATCTCAGAAGCCAGAACAGCAAGAGGGATCGCTGCGCAGTGAAAGCAGCAATCCCTCTTGCTGTTCTGGCTTCTGGGATAGCTGCGCAGCCTGCATTCGCTCCATAAGATGCACACACATTTCCACTTACTTTTTAGGAGGGGAAAAGTGAGTTTTATAGAGCAAAAAATACGGTAAGTCACGTTGTTGTTTCAGATAACTGCTTAGCTTTAGGTTGCCTTTGTTAGGGCAACCCAGGCAATTTCTATAACAAAGCAGCAAATAATTATATTTATTCAGTGTTTCTGCAGCTTTATGATCCAGGAGGTTGGGGCAAAGCAATGGATTTGTGCTATGTGTTAGGGCCGATTCAGTCCCAGCAGTAAAGCTGGAGCAACGACTGAATCCTTATTTGATCCAATCGACTAGTGAGGCCTGAGATACAGTTACTGGGGTAAGCAGAGGTAACAAAATGCTTCAAAGGACTAGGTTCTACCGCCACTGTTGGAGGCAGTACGTCTCTGAATACCAATTTCTGGCTATTGCAGGTGGGGGAGAGTGCTTTGATGCTTAGGGCTTGTCCAAACTGGAGCAAAATGTGGATTCACATCACTGTGTCTTCCCATTCATGTAGGGGTGTACACACGACATCCTGCCCAACCCAGTGTTGTCCCAGATCATTATCCCTTCAAATGCAGGGCTTTTCCTCCAACCTCTGTTGGAGATGTGGTGGAGAAATAGGAACAACAATACATATGTGGTGGAGGTGTGAGGAAATTAAGAAATTTTGGATAGTAGTACGTGAAGAACTAAAGAAGATGTTGAAAATATCAATAACAAAGAAAGCAGAGACATATCTCCTTGGATTGATAGATGAAGAGATACCACCGGGGGGGGGTTTTCTATATGCAAGTACAGCTGCTAGAATAGTGATTGCTGCTAGGTGGAAGTCACAAACTATACCCACAAAGGAGGAATGGATTTGTAAACTAAATGAATATTTAATTTTGGCAAAATCAACTGCTATAATAAGAAATCAGTCGAATCAAAAATTTAAAAAGGAGTGGAAATGTTTTGATGAATAGATAACAAGAATATATAGATGATTTGAGAAGATTGTAGAATGCAAAGATTATTGTTAATTGTATAATGTGGAGGAAATCGAGTGGGGGCGGAGGGAAGTGGGAGGAAGGAGAAAAGAATAATATGATGGATTGAGGAAATATAAATGTAAATGTATGGGGAGATGGGGGAGAAATGTTGTTGGCTTTGGTACATCTGTATTGTAATGTAATATGTGGAAACCAATATAAAAAAATGCAGGGCTTTTCCGAATCAGAGAAACCCTGCATTTAAAGTGAGAACGGTCTGGGTGGGACAGCCCTAAGGATGGAGTCCACATTTGTTCCAGTGTGGACCAGTCCAAAGTCCCTTTTTTAAAAAAATCTGAACGAATGTGCATCAAAACAGACGGTGATGTCTAATGGATCTGCAAACAAATTGGAGAATGATCAACAAACAGGTCATCAGGAAGCACACATTCATTCTTACAGACTGCGGGCTCCTTACCCATGGAGAAAACAGCACTTCCGGCTGGGGTTTCACCAGTTGTTTCCTGGTGAGTGCACAGCTCCTCAGCAGCACTCGCAAGGGGGACTCCTTCCGCTAGTTCCTTCTGAGTATATAGTTCTCCTGCTTCCAGAAAAGGGATAGAAGACTTCGCTGGGAGATCTAGACTCTTCTGGGCCGCCTCCTCCTCCAATTTAGTCACCTGTAGCTCAGGCTTCTCTTCCTCCACCACTGTTTCCGGCTGAGGTTCTTTCCATGGCTCTGGAGCCTGATGCTGGCCCCTGGCCCTGCCCCTCCGGGCCCCTCTTCCCCTTCCTGTTGGCTTGCTCCTCTTCTGCTCCCTGTAGTACACAAAAGGCATTTTGGTATAAAGGGATCTGATGGATTGCTTTGAAGGGCCCTGCTTGCAAGCATGTTCACGAGAATCAGTGGCGGGCTCCTTTTGAAATTCTGCCTTTCATTTTTAACTGCGGGTTGGCTTCCGTGATGGTGATTCAGTGAGAGCACGGGGCGGGGGGGAGGACAGAACTTAATCTAGGGTGAGGGATTCAGCCGTTGAGCATCTCAGGACCAAAATACACATTTAGTTGCAGCTGAATAGGAAGCATTAGCCCAGGAGTATATATGATGATAATTATATTAATCACCTTATATCTTATAGTGTGGTGGTTTGTTTGATTTTTCGGTTATTTGTTTGTTTGATTGTATGTTTGTTTACTTGTATGTACGTCTGTTTTTCATAAATCTATTTACAGTGGTACTCAGGTTAAGTACTTAATTCGTTCTGGAGGTCTGTTCTTAACCTGAAACTGTTCTTAACCTGAAGCACCACTTTAGCTAATGGGGCCTCCTGCTGCCGCTGCGCCGCCACTGCACGATTTCTGTTCTCATCCTGAAGCAAAGTTCTTAACCTGAGGTAATATTTCTGGGTTAGCGGAGTCTGTAACCTGAAGTGTATGTAACCCGAGGTACCACTGTATTTTAAATTAATAAATATATATTTAATAATAATAAAAAGGAAGTATTAGCCCACAGGAGGGAGTGGTTGGCAGCTGAACCTTGTTGCTAATCCGTTCCCCTACAAACTATTCCCCCACTCCCAAAATGTCCCCTTAACTACTCCCCTCTCCAGGCCAAGGGACCCATTTTCTGAAAGATAAACAGAAGTCTAGGATAATAGTGCAAATATCTGCAGTCCTGTACAGACAAGACCACTGGACTAACATTACACATAGCTGAGGTATAGCGTGGTTTTTAAGTCCAGCAAGCCTTTAGCCTTAAATTTCAAATACATGCTTGAAAGCATACAGGCAATGCCTAGTGCAGGGCTTCCAAAAGCTGGGTCTCCAGCTGTTATTGGACTACAATTCCCATCATCCCTGACCACTGGTCCTGTTGTATTCCAGAAAGAGCTGGAGACCCAAGTCTGAGAAACCCTGGCATGGTGACATCTTAGAAACTAAATGGGCAGTTGAATAAAATTTATAGGGATAACAGCGCCATCCCCTTCTAGAGTCCATATCGACAAGGGGGTTTACGACCTCGATGTTGGATCAGGGCACCCCCATAGTGCAGCCGCTATTAAAGGTTCGTTTGTTCAACGATTAAAGTCCTACGTGATCTGAATTCAGACCGGAGAAATCCGGGTCGGTTTTTATCTATGCAGCACTATTTTTAGTACCAAAGGACCAAAATAGTGGGACCCATGCTAAATAAACGTCCCAATTAAAACTACTGACTACCACTAAAGTAGTAAACATGCCCACCTCATTTATCAAAATCAGGTTTATTAAGGTGGCAGAGTCAAGTAATGCAAAAGACCTAAAATCTTTCTACAGGGAAGCAAATTCCCTTCTTAATAATGCACAAACCTATAACATATATTATTAATCCAATTATATATATTATTCCAATCCTCATTGCCGTAGCATTTTTAACACTACTTGAACACAAAATTCTAGGCTACAATGTCACCATTGTCATCCTCCTAATTTACCTCAGGACCCATTGGTGAGTGTTTTTTTCTTCTGCCTCGGCTTTCCTTTTTCTGAGAAGCTCTCGGTCTCTCAAATGGCGTGTGACAGCAACCTCTGCAAGAGCAAAGAAGCAAGTAGAGGAAGAGACGACTCCCGGAGGAAATAGAATTTGATGAGATGGTTGCAAGATTAGAGGATGGTGCCGCCACCACCAAGAGAACCCTTTCAGCCTGAGTGTCGGGTTAGGAAGATGAGCAGAAAAGTCCTGTTCACACAACGGATGTTTGCAGTCATAGTGCATTGGGGGTGGGTGGGACTTCAGCAGCAGGCCCCACCCCCAACACGCGGACGGCGCTGTGGCCTAAACCACTGAGCCTCTTGGGCTTGCCGATCAGAAGGTTGGCGGTTCGAATCTGCATGATGGGGTGAGCTCCCATTCGTCTATCCCAGTTTCTGCCAACCTAGCAGTTCAAAAGCATACCCGTGCAAGTAGATAAATAGGTACTGCTGTGGCAGGAAGGTAAACGGCGTTTCCATGCACTTTGGCTTCTGTCACTGTGTTCCATTGTGCCAGAAGCGGCTTAGCCATGCTGGCCACATGACCCGGAAAGCTGTCTGTGGACAAACGCCGCCTCCCTCGGCCTGAAAGCGAGATGAGTGCTGCCCCCCATAGTCACTTTTGACTGGACTTAACCATCCAGGGGTACTTTACCTTACACCCACTTGGCCACATAGATATTAGGAGTGCACAAAAGCTTTATTTGAGCATTCAGATCCAATCCCCGATCCATGAACTGGAGGAAAACGTAGGAAACCTCCGGAGACTCCTTGCACCATTTGCATACCCTCTAACATTTCTTTGATGAAAATAGGGTTGCCCAATCCATCCATCCATCCATCCATCCATCCATCTGCTGCCTATCTGACTGGTTTGCCCCAGCCACTCTGGGCGGCTTCCAACATATATAAAAACATAATAAAACATTAAACAATAATTTTTTAAAAAAATCCCTATACAGGGCTGCCTTCAGATGACTTCTAAAGGTTGTATAGTTACTTATCTCCTTGACATCTGATGGGAGCGCTTTCCACAGGGTGGGTGCCACTACCAAGAAGGCCCTCTGCCTCCCTGTGGCTACACTTTTCACAATGAGGGAGCTGCCAGAAGGCCCTCGGTGCTGGATCTCAGTGTCCTGGCTGAATGGGCAGGGGTGGAGATGCTCCTTCAGGTATATGTTTAGGGCTTTAAAGTCAACACCAACACTTTGGATTGTGCTCGGAAACGTACTGGGAGCCAATGGAGCCCTTGTCCTATTCTGAGCACCCAGCTTCAGAAATACGTACTCAAAACCTGGCAAAGGCTAAATAGGGCATCTGGTTGAAGCGATGGCAGTCAGGATAGATCATTGCACTTCACCTTCTTGTCCCCTGGGTCTAACTTCCTATTGTATGGTAAAACCTGGTGGACACAACTGAAACAAATTCACACACGCACCTCATCCAATTAGGTCACCATGATACATACCATGTCAGCATGTTCATGCAGGATCAAATTCTGGATAATGTATGCTGCGCCATTAACTATCCTTGCATTCAGCAGCAAAACTTTAAAACCCCAGACTGTCATACAAGTTACCAGGATGTCGTTATTAGGCAGATAGCCCATAAGGCAGAGTGACCATGGAGCTATGCCTCTTCTGACGTCCCTGCACCCACAGTTTTTCAAACACCTGTTTCCTGGGGTTCTGTGCTGCTGAGATGAATTTGCCCTCCATTCAGATATGCAACTTTGAGTGAAGACAAATGTGTCATTAAGAGTGGAACTGACCAGAACAAACAATTTTTCTGGGTATGTGTTCAGTAACCTTACAGCACACTTCAGTTGTGTACACGCACTATACCTTTAGAACAATCCCGGTCACTCTAGTTTTCCCCTCATGGAGTTACAATTCCCAGTAGCCAACAACAAACTACAATGCCCAGAATTCTTTGAGGGGGGAAATGTCTTTTGAATGTGCTTTAACCGTATCGTCATGAATGCAGCCTTAAAAAAACCATGGTATTTATATTCTCAGGTTTTTAAAGATTGTGAAGAAAGGGCTGAAATCTGAACGATCCTGCTGCACTTGTGCACGTAATCCTATGCATGCCTACTCAAAAGTAAGCCCCCACTGAGTTCCATGGGACTTACTCCCAGGAAAGTGAATATAGGAATGCAGCCTAAGAAAATTTGGGAAAGACATATCCCCAACATTTCCCCCCAAAGGTAAAAAATAGGAACAGTTTTATCAGAGACACGTGCCAGAAAAATAGGTGCAGCCCCTGTTAAATAGGGTCTACTGGAGAGAAGGTAATTTTAACAGAATTGGATTAGAAGATTCCCCTTTCCCAGAATAATATTTGTTACCTGGAACTGCATAGTCCTCCGCTGCGACCACTGGCTGCTGTGGATTTTCAGAATAGGAATGGTCTTTTTCTAAGCTCTCCATCTGCAGTTTCTTAATTTATAAATATCTATGAAAAAGAGCTTAATTCCAACATAGAATCATCTGACACATGTACCGCTTTAGTGCTAAATGAAGAGTTTCAGAAAAAAAGAAACAAACTACACACCCAGAGTATCTTATCTGCTCCAGCCACTGGTATGTTCATACTTCTTTTCCTTATCATGCTGTAAAGGTGTTTAAATTCATGCTCATAGCTCATGGCATAGCTCTGCCAAAAACATTAACATGCCCCTCCTGACAAATATTGCGTGTTCAAAAAGACATACTGTTCGCAATGTATTTTTATTGATTTTTATTGATCTGGGGGGACAGCTGCCCCTCCCTGCCTCCCCTTTGCTACACCCACGGATGAGATGTTGTTTGGGAGTGAATCAACCTACCCATCTCCCCCGCCAAAAAACAAAAACAAAAGAGGACACCAATTTTTATTTAAAAAATTATGTTTGATGGAAATTGATACATACAGTATATATTTAGTAATGATTGTTAACAGAAAGGAGGAAATACTTTCTAGGACAGGGTAAACAGAAAACTTGCTATGTAAGTACTGCAGGGCTGTGCCTCAGGTATTTAATTGACAATGCATACGGTACATTAAAAGCATAAATTCACAAGCATACACTACATATAAAAGGAAGAATCCCACCATAGGAAAAGTATAATAAAGTAGACCTTTGTGTTACAAAAAGATCTGAAACATGAATGGGCCACATCAGACTAAAAGTATGTGCAAGGGCACCATACTGACATTCCCTAATTCACAAATTTCCGGTCATTTTTTAAAAAATGAAAATGTTTGCAGCTGCCTTTCAAAGGTCCTTCTACATCAGTATTTGGACTCTCCCCCCCCCCCCGCCCCTTGGGCACCTCCCTTGTGCTCAAGACAGATTATTCTGCTGTTCTGCAAAGGTGGGGCAGACTTTACAAGTCACAGTGGTAAATGGGGCAGCTGCAAAGGGAGCTCTGTATATCTCCTGCTTTCTCTGATTAGGCAGAAGCAAGGCATAGCATTCACAGTGGAAGCTTGCAAAAGTTAAAAAGGAATCCCAAACAGCCCATTATTGCACCAGACACAAACTCTCCCTTTCTGTAGGCTCCCCCAAACAACCTAACTACAGAGCATTTATTATGATTTGCTTGCACAATGCTTACACAGTTGTTAGATTATATCCAGTTTTTAAGTGAACATTCATTCCCATTTCATAGAATCATAGAATCGTAGAGTTGGAAGAGACCACAAGGGCCATCGAGTCCAACCCCCTGCCAAGCAGGAAACACCATCAGAGCACTCCTGACATATGGTTGTCAAGCCTCTGCTTAAAGACCTCCAAAGAAGGAGACTCCACCACACTCCTTGGCAGCAAATTCCACTGTCAAACAGCTCTTACTGTCAGGAAGTTCTTCCTAATGTTTAGGTGGAATCTTCTTTCTTGTAGTTTGGATCCATTGCTCCGTGTCCGCTTCTCTGGAGCAGCAGAAAACAACCTTTCTCCCTCCTCTATGTGACATCCTTTTATATATTTGAACATGGCTAACATATCACCCCTTAACCTCCTCTTCTCCAGGCTAAACATGCCCAGCTCCCTTAGCCGTTCCTCATAAGGCATCGTTTCCAGGCCTTTGACCATTTTGGTTGCCCTCCTCTGGACACGTTCCAGTTTGTCAGTGTCCTTCTTGAACTGTGGTGCCCAGAACTGGACACAGTACTCCAGGTGAGGTCTGACCAGAGCAGAATACAGTGGCACTATTACTTCCCTTGATCTAGATGCTATACTCCTATTGATGCAGCCCAGAATTGCATTGGCTTTTTTAGCTGCCGCGTCACACTGTTGGCTCATGTCAAGTTTGTGGTCAACCAATTTGTTTGCAGGTGTGTTTATATGACAATGAGCATCTAGCCTGCTTTTATCCTGATTTGCTTGTGGGGTGTTTATACGTCTTCCTGTTCTTTTGCTCATTCCAAACTTTTCAATACATTTCCCCATCACTTGCCAAACCTCAAAACTTCTTATTCTTTTTTTAATGTGGATTTGTTATGTGGTTGGTGGAGGACGTTTTTCACCCTGCAATGCCTTCTGTTGGCCCACATGCTAGCCACAGTGGGGCCAGGAACAAAAGCGGGGGGCAATGAATGTACATTTGACCTTCGTACAGTAGGCTAGTTTCTGCACACGCTTGGAACATCTCTCTCTAGCCTTCATCCAGGCGAGCAAGACTGGGGAGGGGCATGGCCTGGTAGGCAATTGAGGAGAGTGGGTGAAGAGAGGCCAGAAAGAGAAGCTGGACACCAGGACAAAAGTGTATTTTCCACATTCAGGTATAGAATGTCTCAAGAGACAATGGAGTGTGTCTGCAGGGGTGAAGTCAAACCACTCAGCACCAAAGGGAGCTCCCTGGGGTGCAAGACTGAGCAGTGTATATGGAGATCCTGGGCTGCCCAGGCAACAAGACCCTCCTCTTGCCCTCACTGATGTGGTTCTAAGGAAAGCAGAGCAATACGTTTGGCACCAACTTGGCTGCAGGAGTTGCCAGAAGTAGTACAAGGTGCCATCCAACCATCTTAGGGACTCCACTTGGGATTTGTGTAGGGGTTACTCCATAACCATTTTTCTCCTGAAAATATCCTAGAAGACAGTGGAGGTTTAGGATCAGAGTTTTCCTTCTCCCAGGCTGACAAGCCCCATCTGCCCACCACTTCCCTCTAAATCTATGGCATATGCAGAAACTGCCTTCTTGACTATTGGACTCACTATTGGTCTCATCCACTCAATCTGCCAGAACCTGTCTTCGTATGCAGGGGAAATTCCTAACTGGCCGAGGGTTTGAGACCCATTGGCTACCCTCACCTGGTTTAGCTGGCCAGTCGAAGCCATACACGGGGTGTGGCTGCTATGACAGCTTCTAGGAGCCACAGGCGAGAGCTGAGTGCAGGGTGGGGACCAAAGGTGGACAAACTACCCCAGAAGGAGCATGGCGTGTCCCCCAACAGAGGTACTACCCCTTTCCTAACACCCCATACACCCCACAGAGCACTGTAATCTACTTTAATTGTACAAACCTACATTTCCCAGTATGTACGTACCGTATTTTTTGCTCTATAAGACTCACTTTTTCCCTCCTAAAAAGTAAGGGGAAATGTGTGTGCGTCTTATGGAGTGAATGCCGGCTGCGCAGCTATCCCAGAAGCCAGAACAGCAAGAGGGATTGCTGCTTTCACTGCGCAGCGATCCCTCTTCCTGTTCTGGCTTCTGAGATTCAGAATTTTTTTTTCTTGTTTTCCTCCTCCAAAAACTAGGTGCGTCTTATGGTCTGGTGCGTCTTATAGAGCGAAAAATACGGTACTTAAACCCCTCTCACAAAAGAGTGATAGCCTAGGGCTCTCCTGCACAGGAGAGTCGAAAGTCCAGTTGTTCATCCTAGGAACCCGCAAAACGATAATAACACAATAAAATTCAAAACAGTAACAATTAATTGCACGTTTCTTCAAAATCCTATTAAAACTATCCAGTTTGATTTATTCAGCAAAACTGATGAACTTAATCCAGTGATATCAGCTTTTCAAAGTCTTGATTATTTACACCTCCAGCAGCCCACTGCCAACCACTTGCCTTTTAGCACCTCCCCGTGCCCCGGGTAATCCTGATGCCCCCTTGGAGACACATTGTTTATGCCTTTCCCCCCAAAACTTATGAGGAGGATATACAATTCATTTGAAGCACCATTAAAACAGTGTCAGCCGCTATTCATATTCACATGAAGGCCTGCCTGACACAATTGGAAGCACCAAGAGCAAGAGTGACCAAATTCTCTTTACAGTCTGCTGAAGGCTGATAATACATTATGACCATGACGCAGCAAAATAGTCAGAGATGACAGGTCAACCTAGATAACTTTTCCCCCTTCCAGCCTGTGGTGTTTGCCTCCTAGGATGGGTCATAATGAAAGGGTTAAAATGGGTGTGATGTGATTGGCCAGTGAGAATGCAAGGGGGGAGTAAAAGTTAGAGCGGGAGGTTTTGAAAGTCAGTTGAGGCTTGGGTGTTGGAGAAGGAAGAGGGAGGATTGGGTGTGGGTTGGTAGTTGTATTGTGAGAGAGTGAGAGGAATTGTCAGGTGGTGGAGTCAGATAGATAGTTGGGAATAATTCAGTTTGAAGTTGTTAGGAACGAAGATTTAAGAAACTGACGAGAAAAATAAACTGGAACCATACGCTTGTTCCTGCATTTAAAAATAAACTTGATTATTTGTTAATGTTACAACTGTCTGGACTCCGTGTGTCCCCGTGAGAAGCGGGGTGGTGGCAGCGAAGAAAGCAATCACAGTGGTGGCACAGGGTCAATAGACCGTCAAACGTCCAGGGGCCCTGTGTGATCGCCACACAGTCTATAGAACAAAAAAGGGCACTTTGTCTGCTACAAAGTGACAGAAATTATCACTGAACCCTATTCACAACCCCCCTCCAGTCACTTGCAGTTCCCAAACCAGGTGGGAGTTGAGCTTTGTGGGTGGACCCTAAAAGCTGCTTGCAGGGCAGTATTGGCAGGGAAGAACTGGTAGGGAGGGGAAGGGCCCGGCCATAGCTGGGAGGGGCAGTGGCGTAGCGTGGGGGGTGCAGGGGGGGCCGGCCGCACCGGGCACAACATCTGGGGAGGGCGCTCGCACTCGCAGCTCTCTGCCCCTACTAAAATCCACGGGTTAGGGGGCGCAAATTACTTGCCTTGCCCCGGGTGCTGACAACCCACGCTATGCCACTGGGGAGGGGGGTAGCTGTTTTTTTTGAGGGGTGTCACTGAGGCTCCCAGCCTTTGTGTGTGTGTTGTTGTTGTTTAGTCATTTAGTCGTGTCCGACTCTTTGTGGCCCCATGGACCAGAGCACGCCAGGCACTCCTGTCTTCCACTGCCTCCCGCAGTTTGGTCAAAGCTCAGAGAATAACTCAGAGAAGCTATGAGCTATGCCGTGCAGGGCCACCCAAGACAGACAGGTCATAGTGGAGAGTTTTGACCAAACGTGATCCACCTGGAGCAGGAACCGGCAAGCCACTCCAGTATCCCTGCCAAGAAAACTCCATGGACAAAGACAACAGGCCTTTGTGTGTACTGTGTGCCAAACTGGGTCTTTGACCTGGGTGAAATAAAGCCGTTTCGCCCCTATCAAATGATAAGATTTTTAGTTCTTAAACTCTGCACGTTCTCAAGGATCTCTCATTGCTGTAAAATAGAACCCAGTTTGCTTAACTCTGTTAGGTTGTGCCTTTGGTGAACATAGAAAATGCAACGCTTACTTTTAACAGAGGAAACCTTTTTCTACGTAGATCAGGTGGGCAGCGAGCGACCCAAGATAGGATATTTTTCTGTTGTCCAGCTCCAATTATGAAATTCTCCCCCAAAAGAAGCACCAAATTCCCCCTTCACCCTAGCTATTGGTGAATAGTTGCTGGGATATTATCATTTTTTAAAAAAAGCTTTTAAATACTGCTGCCCTTATTGTTTAATGATGTAGTAGACAAATTGTGTATTTTTTAATATTTTGAGAGCTGAACTATTGGATGGCACAGCTCCCTTTCTCTGCCACCTTCCAGTACGTGCTATTTCTCCCTTGCAACATCAGTAACAGTAGACCTACCTAGAGAAATCCTTTTAACAGCCTTGGCTATTTCCCCTTCATTAAACAGAATACTGTGCCATGTCATTCTGTAGCACGAGCATCCCCTGCTGGTGAAACAGGTGTACTGTGATAGAGCAAGGTTTCTCAAACCGAGGGCTAAGGTAGGCAGGACCCATCTGTGGGCCTTAGTGCCATAGCCTGTCCACCGCCTCCTTCCTTGCTTGGCCTGCCCCCTTGCCATGCCTTATTGGTTGGGCTAATGCCAGCACCAGCAACTCCTTGCATGCTGAGTAAAGGTGGAAGGGAGACAGAGAAGACCCAGGGAAGGCAGGCAGGTCTCTGAGGGCAAAGGGATAGAGATGTTGAAGGATATTAGTACAGTAAAAGAAAAGTTTAATATTTGTTAATATTATTTAGTTAAACTGGGAATACAAAGGAAGGGGTTAAGAGAATAAAGCAGCTACTGGAGGAAGAAGTGAATGTAAAAGGACCAGTGAGGAGGGGTGAAAGAAACCGGCAGGGTGTGCAGATAAAGGACAAGAGCAATAACCCTCTCACTAATGTAAGGGAAGGTCTTGTGAACTGCAGAGTGTGTCATGGGCTAGTTTATATTATTTGCAGAATTAGTGCTGGCAACAGCCCTCCTAAGGATTCCCCCTTCCTCCAAAAACGGCAGTCAACACTTGGGAGACCTGGTTGCTGGCCTCCAATTTATTTTTCTGTTTTATCTCTAACTTTCTCCTTCACAGCACCGTAGTCAAGGCTCCTCTGGTAGGGTGAGAAGCAAAATAAGAATGCGGGTAAGAGCAATGATTGAGAGCAGGACAGTGAATATCGGTACCAGTGGTCTTGAATTCAGGGCAAGGGAGGACAGACACCTGCACTACCTTTGGTAGGTGTGCAAAACTAGAATTTCAGCCGGTGCTGCGTTTGGTTTGGGTTTCAACTCGTGCATGACAAGCTGCACTTGCCAAAACACACAAACCCTTCTTCGATTTGACTTTTAAATCACAGGAGCCCTGATCTATTTAAAATAAACACACCACTCTGATATTGAGCTGACCCCGCTTCTGTTCACAGCTAGAAGTACCCCCTGCTTTAAACTCTGTGAACACAAATGAAAAAAATAAAGGATTAGGCTGCCTACCAAATATCTGGGGAGCAACAACAGGAAGACTACGTATTGTCTTAATGTCCTGCTTGTGGATGCAGCTAGTTGACTGTGTGAGAAACATGTTGAGCTACACACACCTTTAATCCAGCAGTGCTCATCTCATGTTCTTAGGAGGACAGCAGTTAACACTGTACCCAAAACCCCACTGGGACCAAAGGCCTGTGTCATGTGGCCAGAGGGCACATCCTTCAATAAGCATGCATGCATAGAACACCAAAGCAGGAAAGGGGACCCTGTGGCCCTCCAGTAATTAAGAACATATGACGAATCTGCTGGATCAGGCCACTGGGTCATCTGGTCTAGCATCCTGTTGTCAGAGTTGTCCCCAAGATCTCACTCCTGGTCTGTCACCACCAGCTTAGAACCCATGAGCATACATATGAAATGAAGATGTCTTGTGCTAACATGCATCACTTTACATTTGTTCATAATGGATTTAATTTGCCATTTTGCCGCTCATTCACTTAGTTTGGAGAGGTCCTCTTGGACTCCAGTTCCCGCCAGTTCCAGTAAGGATAGCCAATGATCACAGTTGATGGGAGATGGAGTCAAACAACTTCTGGAGGGCCACGGGTTCCACATTTCTTTCTTTCTATTAAATATATATATATATTTATTGAGAATATTTCTCCATTCGTGAATGGCTCAGCTGCTCCAGAAAACCCAGCCCCAGAAGCAGCACACAGAAATGGAGGTGCCAAGGGCAGCATGCCCACCCCTAGTTGTTGCCACAAGGAAGACAGAATCATTGTGATGATAAATGAGCTAGTTCCCAAGGGAGGAAGAAGGCCATGGTGGAGCTGGGCAACGGACCATTATTGATCTGGGAGATCAGTTCCTTGCTGTTTTGAAACACTAAAGTGGGGTTCTGTATGTGTGTAGAATTGTTACACTTTTTGAAACATCCTGCAACAATCTTTAATGGCCTTACAGGTGATCAGGCTGGCCTTTGCAAGAAGTAAAGGATAAGCTATTGTCTCTTCCCCATTCCGTGAACAAAAGCTGACTAGTCAGACTGCTGAATTTTACTTCAACACAGAAAATGGAGACAGTGCACACAGTGGCAGATAGCTTAGGGCAGGCATGGTACACACACCATAGTTCTCCAAATGCTCCCTACTGCTCTTTGCCCATGGCATCTGCAGCCTGAGGCAGATTCCCCATGGTAGGGCCAGCCCTTCAGGTGATCTGTAACATTTTGTTAACTCCTAATGTGAAAGGCTATAGCATCAAATAACTACCTGGCTGGAAGCTGTGGGTGATAATTTCTCCATGAAGCAAGAGCCATCACTACTGCATCAGTTGCGATTGCTTTATTCATATTTCCTTCTTTTGCATGCAAACTCCTCTGCTTTCAGCCTTTTGTTACCTTTTCATGCCTACCATTGTGCCTTTTACACCTTTTACAATGGAGCTCCTTCAATCTACAATAGCTTCCTATTCTTTATCTTTCAGGTACCTCCTCCTAATAATTTAAATACTTTCAGAAAGGCTTCCTAGCCTACAGGTATTAGGTTTTACACTTTAACTCTCCTGTGCAGCTCAATCCTATGCAGATTTACACACAGGATATTTGTCATCAGATCTCAACATTGCTTTCTCCCCTAAAGGGTAGATCAGAGCCATGGCAAATGGACGGAAGCTTAACGTTTTTTTCACCAGTGCACCTCCGCCTCGCCCCCCCAATTTCCAAGCTATTTATCCATGTATTTTCCCCAGCAAGAGTAGTATCTTAGGGAGGTATTTTAGACTGGGCAATAAGGGAAAAGGTTGAACTGCCTCTCTTTGACATGGTCCTGATCCAGTTTGTTTTTCCGCACTCATCCTTCAGCAACTTTAAGAAAATTTCAGGAGATATTATCACAGTTTTTGAATTTGAATAAGGTTGGGCCCGGAAGCTGTACGCCAGCTCCCTCGGCCAATAAAGCAAGATGAGCGCCGCAACCCGTGTCGGTCATGACTGGACCTAATGGTCAGGGGTCCCTTTACCCTTTATGGGCCAAAACAGATGTGACATTAGTAATGCTACACTTTTGTTAAGAGCTATTGGGGGGGGGGTTCTGATCCAAGTCAGTACAATTGGGGGGAGGGAGCTTTAATCCTGGATTAGGGGCCCAGTAGCTATTTTCACTGGAAGTTACCATTAGTAGAAACAAAAGCTTCTGAACTGGGACTATGGCAACAGCAAAACGTTAAAGTATCCTTCACCAGCGCTATAGCCCCAATCAGGGGTTTTGCAGCTGCCATATCGTGTCCCAAAGTTCACTGAAATCAGTGGGCAAAGCAGATGATACCAGACTACTCAGGATAGTAAAAACCCAAACGGGCTCCAGAAGGCTCCCTAAAAGGTGGGTAAATGGGCAACAAAATGACAAATGATGTTCAATGTAAATGAAATGTTATATGCATGGTTGCGCGGGGGGGGGGGGGAAACATAATCGTGCAGGTATTTATAAAAATTATCGATATGCTGCTTTTAGCCGGCAATGGGAGGGTAAGGAAGCCATGCTTCTGCTTTCTCCCCGGGACCGCAAACATCGATGCAGCAGCAGAAGCAACTTAAGTTTTTGCAGGCCTGGATCAAGTAATACTTTACAATAGGACCGACGATCGGCTGTTCTGGGAATGGGGGGCGGGGGGGGGGAGGGCTGCCCGTGTCGACCTAAAAGGGTGGGAAGCAACTTTCGGCAGCAGGCAGGAGCGCGCCGGCCTCCCGCGCTCCAGGCGCAGAGGCGGGAGCGCGCCTCCGCCGGCCGCCCGTCCGGGCGGGGTGTGGCTATGACGACGGAGTTCCGGGGAGTCTCTTCCCCGGCGCGCCCCCTGGCGGCCAAGTCCGTCCGTTGATTCTGCTCCGTCTCAGCCCAGCCCAGCTCAGGGCCCCGCCGCCAGTTTAACTGCAGTCGCGACGACGGCGCCCAGCGCTTCAAGCCTTGCCTTGTTGCTGCCGACGACGACGACTCCTCCTGCTCGGCCGCCGCTGCCCTTCCGCGAGTTAAGTCGGAGCCCCGCGCGCGCGCAAGGGCCTGAGCCGAGGCCCGTCCCGCTCATTTCCTCCCACTTGCGACGCCGCCGCCGCCGCCATGGACATGAAGAAGCGGATCCACTTGGAGCTGCGGAACAGGACTCCGCCGGATGTAAGCATGGGCGGGAGGGAAGCCGGCGACCACCACCGAAACCACCCACTTTCCTGGGGTGGGAAAGAGAGGGAGCAACCGGTTCGGGGGGGGAGGGGAGCTCGGTTCGGGTGTGAGGTGAGGGGAATGGCGGATAAAAGGGAGAGAGAGAGAGCGGAGGTCGCTCGGCCTGAGGGAGGCGGGAAGAGCAGAAGCGGGCGCGTGTGTGTCGGGGGAGAGCGGCGGGCGGGCGGGCTGAGGAGAAGGGCTCCGCGCGGCCGCCATGTTGTTCCGCCGCTGCGTCCGTGTGAGGGAAGAGAGCGTGGGCTGCCTGCGGAGAGGCGGTTGGTGCCTCTCTCTCTCTCTCTCGCGTGCGCGCGACGGCCCCGCCGCGTCCGTCTTCTTCTTAGCCAGTGCGCGCGCCCTTCTCCCACCCCCACAGCGTCCCTCTTAAACGGGCAACAGCTGCATTAAAAACAAAAACGGAAGGCCGAGCGAGCGAGTGAGCGCGCTCCTCCGCGTTCGCTTCTTTTGGCGCGCGCGCGGGCACGCTGAGGCCTTGTCGCTCGCTCGCTCTCCCGCCTTCCCCCTTTAAACGGGCGACGGGGAGGGAGGGAGCGCGCGCGCGCTCTCGCTCGCCCGCGTTTCTTTTTCCGCCTCCCTTCATGGGAGCCGCCGCTCATCTTCCCGCCAAAAATTTGCTTCCCTTCCCTTCCCTCCCCTCCCCCCCCCCCGCGCGGCAGCACCGCACTTTCCTCTCACAAATCAGAATAATACTGTAATAATAACCTTAAAGGCGCCACCAATCCAAAGGGAAGCGCTTCTTCGGGGGCCGCTGATTTGAAGCAGGAGTGTGTTTTTTTTAGTTTAAAAGAGAGTTGTATCTCGCGTTCCGTGTTTTAAAAGCCTTCCAAACAAACAAAAAAGCATATTCGAAAGTCTTTCAAGGCGAGTGGAATGGATTTTAAAGGGGTGATAGGGCGTGCCGTGAGCGCTTGGAAACTGGGGGAGCAGCACTTTTTCTAGGACCGAAAACACACCTGCACACCACGTAACAGTGATGGTGCCTGGGGAACGTACTAAGTGTGTCCCTGTCTCGTTGGAAAGCCCTTTGCGGTGTTGGGTAACTCAGCCAGATGGGCAGAGTGTAAATAATAAAGTTATTATTATTTATTATTACTATGGTTAGAGTGGCAGACATTTGTGCGTTACAGTACTGTAATGGCACGACCACACGTTCTTGGGTGGTAAATCAAGGTTTTCCACCTTGCAGAGTTAGGGCTCTCTGTATGCTAATATTCCCACTTGCCACAGGGCAAGAAGGATTTAAGGGGGGAAAGTAAGCTTGGTGTAGCAGGAAACCTTGATTTTCTTTATTTCTGTGGCACTAGGGTCACACTAAAGGCCTAGGAGAAAGACCAGAAAAAGTGAGAGCTGCAATGCATTTCTTCTTGTCGTATTGATTTACCTTTTTATGGGTGGTGGGGAGGTCTACAATTTTTCACCAGCCTTCCTGGGCTCTTCTCACCTGCCAGCTGGAGGGGAGGTAAGCACCTCCAGAAGAATTACCAAAGGAGTCTCCCCCAACCTTCCCTATGGGAAAGGCAGAATGGGAGCATTCCAGCTTCAGCCAGTGCTCTGAAAAGAGATTCCAGTGTCTCTCTACCCAGCAGCAGCTGCAGAGGGACTCTGCGCCTCATTGCCAAGTACCATCCTCTCTCTCTATTCACCTCTGTCTCCTGTGGGAAAGAGAGGCAAAGAGTGTGCTTCCAACTCTTTCCTTGTTTTCCTTCCGGTCTTGGGAGCCGGGGATAGGTCAGGGACCGCAATGATGGAACTGGGGTGATCGCCATCCACCTCTGCAGTTGGAAGGAAGGGTTTTTTTTTACTTGTCCTTGCTTTGCAGCAGGATGCTCCATTTGCCATGATGTGTTTAATTATCACCGCCTGTGCATAGTTAAAGCATCATACGTGTATACAGTACCTAAGGAAAGATGAAGTAGGACTGTACTGCATCTTCTGTGTAGAGGGTGGGCATGGCCAAATAAGTGCATTTCACAAAAGGTGATCTTTGAAAGCTACAACTTTGAAAAAAACAAGTAGTTTGAACCAACAGAGCAGTAAAACAGGAGGGTGCTTCTTGGCAGACACTGCACAATTTAACCACTGCTTGTTACTCTATAGCACACATCAAGGCCACTTGAAAGCAGTTGTCTCCTTCCTGGTGAACAGTAATTTAACATGGGTGGCCATCTGTCATCTACGATCTAGTTAAGATTCCTGCATTGCAGGGGGTTGGACCAGATGACCATTGGGATACCTTCCAACTCTACAATTCTATAATTCTATGATTTTGCTTGTCCTTAGATTTGTGAAGCTGCATGAGTCACTTCTTGAGTGTCTGTTATGTATGGACTCTGCATAGCTGAATGTTGATGAGACGCTGCTGTGCCCCCTGTGAAGTTCTTAATGACATGCTCTGTTTTGAATTGTGAAAAGATTTGCCAGTGAAGGGCCCCTCAGTTTATTTTGGCCTCCATTCTCTATTAACTGTTGCAGTTTGTCACAGGAGAGTTTTGCATACACATTAATATTCATGCAAGTACACAAGTTCAGCAGGTAGTAATTGGAACACTTAATTTTACAAGGTGGTTGATGATCTGAATCATCATGGTTTTAGTGCCAATGGATACTTCCTGTTGCACTCTCTGATGTATAACATTATTGTTACAGAAACTGACACCTGGGAGTGCCTTAATCTTGTAGTGCCAACAATATTTTGCCAATAACTCAGTCCGGTTATTAGATCATGGATAGGCAAACTAAGGCCCGGGGGCTGGATCTGCCCCAATCAACTTCTAAATCTGGCTTGCGGACGGTCCGGGAATCAGCGTGTTTTTACACGAGTAGAATGTGTTCTTTTGTTTAAAATGCATCTCTGGGTTATTTGTGGGGCATAGTAATTCGTTCATATTTTTTCTCTCCAAAATATAGTCGGGCCCCCCACAAGATCTGAGGGACAGTGGACCAGCCCTCTGCTGAAAAAGTTTGCCGACCCCCCTGTATTAGATGTTGCGCATCAGCCAGGAAAGGTTAAAAACAGTTGAATAGCTGCACTGATTGAGGAAGGATTTTTTCCGTAATAGTTCGAACTACAAGATCTTCAAGCACCTGATTGTTCAGGTGTCTAATTAGATGCCTAGGAATAGCTAGGAAACAACATAGATATTGGACACTGATATTATGTGTTCCCTCATCAACATACTGGTCAGTTGACCTCTTCTGCACCAGATATATTTTCCAAACACACAAACAGCAGCCCTATTTAGAGTCCATTTAATACTCACTAAAGCAGGAGTGGGGAACCTGTGGCCCTTCTTTGACTTTTAGCCATACCTGGCATGGGCTAGTGGGAGTTGGAGGCCCTCAGCACCTGGAAGGCCAGAGGTATCTATCCCTACTGTAAAGAGAGATAGTATTAGAACAATATATTTGGTGAAAGTTACATCAGTGTAATTGTAACGACAGTCTGAATGTGGAGGGAGAAGTGGAGAGAAGGCTAACTAGTGCCGCCACCTTGGCTAAGATGACGGAATTCTGCCAAAGGGATTTGAGAAGAAATAAATAAAAAGTCCTTCAAGCTGCGTAAATAACTTTATTGGAACTTCAGAAAGTAAGATATTCCTCACAATGGAAAGAGAATGATCTGTATTGCTACAGTAGAACCTCGTTTTTTGAGCGCCTCAGAAGCTGAATGCTTCGAATGCCGAAAACCCAGAACTAATTGCTTCCAAGGCGTGTTCCTCCATTTCTTCAATGGATTTTGCCGACCACCCATTGATCCTCAGTTTTCAAACATTTCGGAAGTTGAACAGTCTTCCAGAACAGATTACGTTCGAAAACCAAGGTGCCACTGTATTACTATGCAGGTGTTGCTCTTTTAATTATTTTTAAACTGGAGAAATAGACCAACATTTAAAATTCTTTACAAGTGACTGCTCATATAAAATTGTCACATATATAGCTGAATATATTTTTGGTAGACGTTGAGTACAAAGTTCAAATTAATATATGTTTATTGAGGGTCATTAGTAAAGGGCAAACCACTCTCTCCCTGCTGGCGTATATCAGGGCTTTTTCCTTTGTGGTAAAATACATGCCATGTTATCCCTAAACTTTTAAAAAAACAACACTTTTTAGGAAACTAATCATGAGTATCTGATGTGAAATCTCGTAAATGACTTAACGGTTTGTAATGAGCTGGTATGCATTTGATACAGTCATATTAAGGAAAATAATTAGCACTGGATCTGCTGCTTGATCAGGCTTGTGAAACTGTCAAACAAGAAGAGGCACTTGTTTTAGATTCATTAAAATTCTTCAGCTGGAAAAAGGAATTTAAGATAAACTGGTCTTTGCTATCTGTTACAACAGATGATGGTAATAGTATTGCTAATTTTGAAATTATATTGAAAGGAAGTCATGACTTACTTGCATTATGATAGTGGTAAAAATAGCAAACTAATTTTATATGCATTATTTTTTTATGGCTTGAATTCTTAGGTTTGTAGAATTGTAGAATTATCTGACTTGATGCATGTATTCTGCTCCGATACCAGACAGCCCTTAAAAATATGTCTTCCCTCTACCCCTCGGCCTCTCCTTTTGGGTGTGACCAGGTCTGCCATGAGCAGATAAACTCCCCAGCACACCCTCTTGTTTTGGGCATGTTTGCTCACTTTCCACATGTAGTGAATGATTGGAGACTGTAGTTAGTGGTGTATGTCTTACTTCTGGTCAAATCCTCTGCTAGGCTAGAATGGGGGCATTCATCTGCCTGAATTACAGTGTATTTTAACTCTATCAGTATGAAATCTAAAACTGAGATTCCTAGAGCTGCTTACATTTCACGCCAGCAGTTATCTTAATTTTTGCTTTTCATATATTTTTATCACAATGAAGTTAAGGCAGATTTCATAATGAGAAGCCTCTTTGGGTTGGTTTCATGCAGATATTCTATTTAGGTCTTTGACTATTGTACTGAAACACTTGAGGTTTGAAAATACAAACCCTGTACTTTGCATAGACTTCAAATGCTGAAGGTCCTCTCACATGATTGATATATGATAGCTGTTTGTTACTCTTCCCACCCTTTGTCTCTTGCTGTGTTAACATTTAGACCAGAGCTTTCTGAATTGTGTGCTGTAGCACGTTAGTGTGTCGGCTGCAGTGTGTGGGTGTGTCACACTCCTCCTGGGGCTGGAAAGGGGTTAACCTCCGGTTTGCTATGAAAACTAAATTACTATGTCACGAAATGGTACATGTCTAAAAAGTGTGTCACCAACATGAAAGGTTTGGGAAATTCTGGTTTAGATTGTAAGTTGTTTGGGCAGGGATGTTAGACTTAAAACTTCCATCAGCTCCATCGGTCAGATGTGATGGGATTAGTAGCCCAGCAATACTTGGAGGGCCACAGGGTTCTCACCCCTGTGCAGTTCTAAAAAGTGCTATTGATAATATGTAACAATAAATACTATTTAACTTTTCAGAGAGGCACACAAACCTGGTGTGATAGCATACTTAGAAATGAAACCTTCTGCCTATTCTTTTCTGTTATCTTTTTTTCCTTTGCATTGTGATGCTTTATATTTAGCACAGTGGCACTATTATCCCTTTGTAGCTTTTCTCCCTGGTCCGTTAGTGTTCTTTTCTCAGCAGTATCTGATTACTTCCTTTGTATTGTGACGACACCCCCACCCTGAAGATACCCCATTGCATTGCACTTAATTTGGGAGAAAGCTTATGGTATCCACCAGCAAGTGAATTTGATTGAGGTATTCTTGAAACATGTCTGCACTGAAATTTTCTATACTTTTGAGTCAGTCCTGTAATGCTGTTCTTGCAGCGTAAGAGAAGCTTCTCTGCAAAACATAGTCAGTGGTGTAGAGAATTCTATGCCAACAACATTTTCAGAGTGGTTCAAAGTACATTGCTTGTGGTGGCTTCCTTTAAATTCTGAAAACCCTCCAGTGCTTAGGTGTCATTTGGAAGAAATGAAAGTTCTTTTAATTTGGAGTGGTTTCTAGTAGCCAGGGATAGAAAGTGATGCTTAATCACAGTTACATGGGGTTTTGCAGCTGATCAATTGTTAACTTGCAACAAACGGTTAGGTTTACGTAGTTTGTAAATGAAAATAATTGCATAGCAGTACATACATATCCCTGTATGTACATGTGGGATATTTTTATCAGATGCAGTTCTGTGCACTGTTACTTGCTGTTGTTTTTAAATAAATTGTACTTCTTTGTCACTTCAGGTCCAAGAGCTTCACTCACTTTTTTCCTCCTAAAAAGTAAGGGGAAATGTCTGTGCGTGTTATGGAGGGAATGCCTACGGGTGGCATGCCTACGGATTTTCCTCCTCTAAAAACTACGTGCGTGTTATGGTCAGGTGCGTGTTATAGAGTGAAAAATACGGTAAATTGTACTTCTTTGTTTGTCACTTCAGGTCCAAGAGCTTGTTCTTGACAACTGCAGATCAAACGAAGGCAAAATTGAGGGGCTGTCAGGAGAGTTTATCAACTTGGAGTTTCTTAGTTTAATAAACGTTGGACTGACATCTGTCTTGAATCTCCCTAAACTCCCAAAGTTGAAAAAGGTAAGACCTGGGTGGGAGATGATTGGGTTTTCATATCTGCACAGTGTTGCTAATTCCCATTTCTATAAATGATCTTAATATGGCTACAAATCAAATGGCTGTTTTTCTCCTTTGCTTTCTAAAATGTAATCATAGATTTAGATATATGCTGAGATCCTGTGACACTGACACATCCCTCTTTCAGCCCACAGTCCTTTGTCTCGGGTGTTTTTCTAGACCCAACTCTTGTTTTGGGGCTCAGTCTGGACAAATACATAATTGGGCAGGGAGGGGGAAAGGAGCAGATTGCAAAATGAGTCCTAATGAGAGCAGTACTGGAAAAATGAATGAAGTGGATCCAAACTCATTTTTAAAATCATTTTGGAGGAAGATAGCAAAGAGGAAGAGATGAAGCAGAAATTGTTACTGTACCTGTTGCTGGTGTTGTGGATCTTGATTAAGATTTGGAGAGTTCAGTGGCAAAAGCACATTGCCGTTGCAATCTGCCTTTCGGAATGGTGGCTGTCTATGGAGGTGTGGTTGGGCAAGTTGTGGTGGTACTCGTGGGTCACAGTGTTGCTGTGGGTATCAAATATTTGTATTTGATGGCACTTCTTCCCTTCCTTTCCCTTCCTCACCCCCCCCCCTGCAAAAAAAAGGACCCAGAGCTGTGGCAGGATGAGTTGCCTGCAAAATACTTGTTGCAATGGGACCTGTAAGTCAGAGGAACAGAACTACATACTGCATCATGGTTAGGAGCCAGAGGTGTGAAGATGGCATATTGTAGCTCATTGAAATAGCAGAAATAGGGAAAGGCTTTAATTTTGTCTTGTCCTCCCAAGCTTCTTGGCTACTCCACTATTAAGAGATTAATTACTTTGCATTGTAATTTTGTAGAGGAATGTTATGAAAAGGGTTTGTTTGGGAATAGTGATGTGGACTTTCCATAATTTTTTCCAGTCTCCCAAAACAATTGGGATTTGATCTAGCATGTTTGACTTCTATTAGTTTCTTAACGTAAATATGACATGTTCATTTTATGTGCTCTATAAACATCTCAAAACATTTTTCCAAAAGTACGTGCACTGAGATATTTTGATTAGGGAGAAAATCAGTAAAATACACAATGTGGTTAAATGTTATGTTCCAAGTCTTACCTGAAAATTACTTTTTATGATAATAAGTCTAAATATTTTATGACATAATTCAACAGCATACACTTATATGTTTAAATGTTAAGCGGGGAATGAAGGCACTGAAAACTGTTACCACAGAAGTGTGTCACAAAAGGTAGAGTAAGTTTAGAAGGGAGAAGAAATCAAATGAGTTTTAGAACTTAGTGTTGTATGTAGCAAAATCTTGATACCGGTTTTTCCATTAGAAGAGTTCAGTTTCAGGAGAGGTATCTGTAGCATAGAATTTGGTCCTTAGTTCTTTCCCTCCCAGTATTTATTCAAATAGCTCACCCTTCAGCAGAGCTGAAAATACCTATTTGGAGATGCTAATATGTATGTGGAACTCTGCAAAGGGGAGAGTGATTTGGAGCAGGAAAGTGGTAGGTAGGTTTTTGGTACCAAATTCTGCTCCTGAAACTATTTTTCCTCAATGAATGCAGTCATTTGACTTTTAAGAGTATTTGCATGTAAAGCGTAGTCAGCATGAGAAACAATTTAAGGACGTGCTTATAAATGGCTGAGATCTGAGGGCAGGCTTGTTTCACAAGCATTCCCATATTATGCTGGTGGTGCAAGTTGTACATTAGGTTCTTTTATCAGATAATGGATTGATACACAATAAAGATCAAAGTCCACTTAAATCTGCATTGGGTACTTGTACCTGCTTGTTTTATTTGCATGATTTCCACCTACCCTCCTAAATTTTATTCAGTCCTTATCTCTTAGGTAATTTGGGTGAAACTAAGATTTTAGTTAGCTCTGAAATACATAGCTTCCATATTATATGTCTAATTGGCAGATTTTCCAAGATTTCTGAAGCCATCCCATAAAATGTTGAAGTTAGCCCGTTGCACCCAAGAACCTTAACTATAATCAGAACTTCCTTCATAAGGATTCCATACAAGCACAAAACTCAGTGGGTTGGATCCAGAGAAAATTGAGTGGAGCTCCAAACTCACAACAGTGTTTTTCTGGCTTTCTTGCTCCCTGTGCCCCTGAAAAGCTACCCCTGAGAGTCCAAGGACCATCTGGGATACCATGAGAGGGGGCATTGGACAGTAGTAGCAGGATGGGAATCAGGAGGAATTTGGTGAGCTTCCCTTGGCAAGTAGAAGTGCTTTTTTGCTCATGCAAGACTTCTCTGGATCCCAGCTGACCTGGGATTAAAAAAATACATAAAATACATTGTATGGGGGGGGGATTTAAAATGTGGGTAAAGTACCGTATTTTTCGTCCCATAGGACGCTCCGTCCCATAGGACGCACCTACTTTTTGGGGGGGGGGGAAATAAAGAAAAAAAATTTTTCCTTTATTCCCCCCCCCCCCAAAACCAGGTCGGGGAACAGTGGGATGGCGGCGCTGCGCCTCCCTGCTGTCCCCCGAGCTTGTGGGGCTGGCCGATGTCTGCCCGGCGCGAGGGGCACTCTGCTTCAGGGTGCCTCACGCGCTGGGCGGCAGGCTGCGGACACCTGCGCGAAGCACGGGGCGTCCTCCGGAGGGCGCCCCATGCTCCGCGCTGCAGGCTGCCGCTCGCAAGCCTTGCGCGCCCGGGGGGGAGTTCCCCCGGGCGCGCAATGCTTGCGGACACCTGCGCGAGCACCGGGCGTCCTCAGGAGGGCGCCCCATGCTCCGCGCTGCAGGCTGCCGCCTGCAAGCCTTGCGCGCCCGGGGAGTTCCCCGGGCGCGCAATGCTGCGGACACCTGCGCGAGCACCGGGCGTCCTCAGGAGGGCGCCCCATGCTCCGCGCTGCAGGCTGCCGCCCGCAAGCCTTGCGCGCCCGGGGAGTTCCCGGGCGCGCAATGCTTGCGGACACCTGCGTGAAGCACAGGGCGTCCTCCGGAGGGCGCCCCATGCTCCACGCTGCAGGCTGCTGCCTGCAAGCCTTGCGCACCCGGGGGAACTCCCCCGGGTGCGCAAGGCTTGCGGGTAGCTTCGTGGAGCCTGGAGAGCGAGAAGTGTCGGTGCGCACCGACGCCTCTCGCTCTCCAGGCTTCAGCGAAAGCCTGCATTCGCCCCATAGGACGCACACACATTTCCCCTTCATTTTTGGAGGGGAAAAAGTGCGTCCTATAGGGCGAAAAATACGGTAAGTAGTAGTTGGCTTCTTGTTGCCATGATGATTTCACTTCCATGACTGCTACTCAACATCCCTCTTACACACTTAACTAATTTTTCTACCAACCTACCTCTAATAAGCAGGGGGAAATAGTGTATATTAAACCTATACGCAAATATATTTCTTGCAAGGAAACACTACATTTTCTTGGTATGTGGTGTGGAACACACACACACACACACACACACACACGTGTGTTAGTTGCTCCTGTTGATAGAGCATATTTATAATGAGAGGTATTGAACAACTAACATTTTCATAAAGGAATGTAGCTGAATTGGGATCCTCTCTGTTTTTTTAAAGAAAAATGTCAAGATGGGAGACTATAATCTCAGTCTAGACCAGGATTCCAGTTCAGGAATGTGCTGCTAGGGAAGCCAACATTTTTTGTTTGCTTGTTGGAGCTTACATGCAAGCAAAATGGGCATGCTAACTAAAATACACGTAGAGTAGAAAGAATGAGAATAGGGCCTTTCACAGTTGCTTCACGAGTAAAATATTTTGTTGTTAAGGAAGTTGTCTCTGTGTATATGTGCAAGACTGATAGTGTTAAATGGCTACCACATATAAAGTTAAAATGTGAATTTTAAAAAGTAGCATGGTTGGCCATCATCTTAAATCTTGACCCCAAAACTAAATTGCACATTTCGATTTCAAACTTAGTGCCCCCCAGGTGGTCAACTGTAGAAACGCTGATTTGGCAAAAGCAAGTTCATTGACCTCATGGAATTAAGTACTGTACAAGGATTGTTCGTTATGGCAGTTCCCTAATTCAGCTTTACATTAATTCAGCAATTTTGTTGCCCGCTCAAATAGCACGTTGTTCAGATTCTCTCATGACAACATACCAGTACTGTGGGTATGGTCCAGCTAAAAGTTAAGGAGCTGTAAGTCCTATTGATTTCAGTGATGACTGAGGATTAAGATAAATTTAAGAGCCATTGGACTTAATCTCAGGAAAGTGGGTATAGGATTGGAGCCTAAATGCCAAATTACATGGCAAGTGGTGCTGCTCCTTGTCCCCTGTGTTGCAGAGGCTTTATTTCCCTCCACTAGAAGTCAGGTATTTAGAGTTTCTGGTCCCATGCTGTGAAACATTCTTCAAGCAGAAATTTGGCAGGCATTCTTGCTTTTCATTTTCAAGTGTCTCTTGAAGACATCTATTTATATAGACAGGTATATGCAACTATTGAATTGTATTTTTTTTAATCAGCCAGTCATTTTAATATTCCTATACTTTTAAAATGTTTTTTTTATTGTGTATAGTGTGCACACCACTAGATTGTATTTTATGAATTGGTGGTATATAAGTACTTTTATAAATGAATAATACCATGCTATAGCAACCTAAACATTTAGCTGCCATCCTAAACACATAGTAATGAGTAAGACCCATTAAACCGTGGGTCTTACATCCCAGTAGATATGCATAGGATTACATTGTTGGTGCCTTTTATTTATTTGCAAGAGGAACAGAATAATTGTATAGAATGTATTTTACTGCACCAACTCCAATAACTTTCATTTATTTCAGCATTTCAATCTGTTCAGGCTTTTTCATCTGATGTATGTTTTGGAGCAAAGTGATTTTTTTAAAAAGAAGAGGCTGTTATGTAACCATGTGGCTTCTCTTAAGAAAATGGCTGAGCAACAGAGCTGTATTGGTGTTAGGTGTAATCATCAAAAACCTAGGTCAGCAATTTTGTTAGCCTTGGAAAAACATAGGGCCCATTTACTCTACAGACTTAGCCTAGAATGCTATGTGCACACTTACCTGGGAGTAATTATGATTGAACTTAATAGGACTTGCATAGGATTGCACAGGTAAAACTGTGTTCATAATCCTTCCCGCTTCGCAGTCAGCCTTGGGAACTGAAGTCCTTGAAAGGGAAAGGAACTTCTAACAAAGAATTTCTAGCACCCCATCAAAGTTCAGTTCCTGGGATTCACTGGAAACCATGACAACTAAACTGGTAGAAAACCATTGGTAATGTATATTATACCCATAGCTGATTGTATATGTTTCATGCTGTGAAAGACTGGGGCCATTAGGACAGACATGGGGAATTTGCCCCCCAGTTTGCTCTTTCCAAACCATGTCCCCTCCCCATCCCACAGTGAACAGCTCATGCAGGAAGAGATCTTGAAGTCAAACTGAAAGAGGGAAAATACATATTTTGGCCTCACCCTCTTCGGATATGCAAACATTTCCTCCCTGCCCCCCCCCAAGGAAATTCAGCCCTTGGGGCAAGGGGAGGTTTCCCACTGTGCATGCAGTGATGTAGCAACCTCTTCCTGATGTAAGCTAACATGGTGTAATTGGGAATATTTATTACAGCATTGCAGTGCAACTCAGTGAGCACAAATTTCTAGCTTCTATTGCCAGATATTTTTATGAATGCTTTTTGTGGGGGCGGGCAGGCAAGCATAAATTTAAGTATTGATCTGGATAAATATTATTTGAATCTCAGCCTTGTGGATGTTTTGCTTTTAACTGCACTGTTGCTGATATGTTCAGTATTTTGCCTTTTGTGGTTCCTGTTGCAGCTTGAACTCAGTGACAACCGAATTTCTGGAGGTCTTGATGTATTAGCAGAAAAACTTCCAAACCTCACACATCTAAACCTCAGTGGAAACAAGCTGAAGGATATCAGTACCTTGGAGCCATTGGTATGTTCTTAATGGGTTAAAAAAATCTTATGCCTCTCTGGGGTTTAAATGCAGAGATTATCATTCAAAAGAGGGCCTTTCCCCCAAAAAGGCAGTCTACAGTTTGATACCAACATAGATGCCTTGCTTAGTTCATTTTTCTGGGCACTAAGTAAATGTATGACCAAATCAAGACACCTGAAGCAAGAATATACCTCTTATGACATTTCATAGCTGATGCTCTAGTTCTCAAACATACTGGCCCCAAACATACTGACCCTAATCCAGCTTTAGTAATGAGCAACAAGTAAGCCCCTGGATGGGGATATGCTTCCCCATCTGCTTCAAAAGATGTATCTAGCAAGGTCAGCAGAGGCCAAATGAACATTTCAATGTGTGTGCATTTTCCAGATTCAAATCTACATCAGCTACATAGGCAGAAGCCAAGTTAGCATTTATATCTTAAGCCCGTATCCCATTACTTTTGGTAATGAATATGTTTTCATGTTAACCTTTTTAGTTTATTGGTTTCAGTCAAATTAGACTCCTCTTTCTGTGTCTGGCAGATTTTGATTTTATATCTGATTTGTCTATAAAAATGCATGTTATCAGAACATTTAATTCCATACTTCAGCCATGATGATGTGCAGTCAGAATTCTAAACTCAGTTGCTACAAATCCACTTGCCATCTATCCTGTTTGGCAGAATGAGTTAAAATAGGAATCGTGTGTTGCCTGTTGTGCAGCATAACTTCATTGTTGTCAAACATGGAACATATTGACTGGAAATTATGACAAAAACTCATATTCTGTTTGTTGTACCTTGTTTCTTCAAGGATTTCCTAAAATCACTAGTCAAGTAAGTTGTATTAATCTATAAATTATGTTAATAGTATCAAGTCAAATTAGAAGTTGATTTGCTTTTATTCCAGATAGTAGATTCATTTTTCTGCTTAGTACCTGTTTGCTAATGATATCATAACTCAAGCAAGCATCTTAATTTCACCATGCAAAAATGGAATATTTAAAGGCAGTTTATATGGTGTCTAGAATCAAAGCAGCAATACTTACCTTAGACTGTACTACTTTAGCATGCAGGTGGCAGATGATGTTGCTGATACATTGTTTATTTTCATCATCATCATCAATCTTTATTACGGTCCAGAGACCCAACAAAACATTACAAATTAATACAGAGTTCATACAGTCTACCTCCAGGTTAATTAAGCACTTTGTTTGGAATATAGGGCTCGTTTGTTCTTGCAACCACCAATAAAAACTTTGCCACTGCCAACGTTCTAGCTTTTGTCTGGTCTTCCAGTAGGAACCTGGAAGTCCAAAAAGTTTGACCAATTTATTTACTGATTTTTTAAAAGACTTCGGTGATCATCTGGTCTAACCCCTTGCAATGCAAGAATCTTTCACGCAACATGGGGCTTGAACCCACAACCCTGAGGTTTATTTTTGTTTGAATTAATTTTTCAAAGGAGCACCTTTTATGAGGTGACTCATGAGTTACAATTGTCTCCAGGTGAATTTCCAGTCATCTGAGTTTCTGGTTCATTGCACGGAGAGGAACTTGTAGATGTAGAGTGTAGTAATGATACTTAATAACATTATATAGAGCTTTAAAATGCTCAAAGTGCTTCACATATATTCCTCAGTTACTGTGTATCTTTACAAGATTTTTATAAAGTAGATCAAGATTAAACCCATACTGCAGGTGGAGTTCAAAATAGTGTACCAAACAAGGAAAGAGTTGATTCCACCCATGTAAGATCCAATGTGATTAGGCCAAAATATCCCCCCATTTCGAAGATAACTAGATAACTGCTTCAGCTAGTTGTTCAGTATTTTCCTCACAAAAGTATTAGGATGAAACACCTGAAAGTAAATTTCCATGTTACCAAGTTTTAGGCAGAGCCTTGACAAACATGCCGTCCCCGTCCCCCCAATTATCCAGTGGTTGCTTCTTGTCCATGCAATAATAACTTGACTTGTTTGCAATTTTAGAAAAAATTGGACTCTCTGAAGAGCCTTGACCTGTTCAACTGCGAGGTAACAAACTTAAATGACTACCGAGAGAGTGTCTTCAAGCTTCTTCCTCAGCTCACCTACCTGGATGGATATGATCAGGAAGATAAAGAAGCCTCTGACTCAGATTGTGAAGTAGATGGCGTTGATGAGGAAGACGAGGAAGGTGAAGAAGGTGAGGACAGGCATTGTTACTTTTGGGTGGAGAATGTCCAATTCTTAGCGATGATCTCCAACCTAAAAATTGCACTTGCCTCATTTTCGTCTAGAATTTTAATTGCAGAAGGACTGGTGCTGAGTTAAGATGGCACATTATATACTCATAGCCTTCTGAAATGTGCTGGCACCATAACTCAGACAAAAAAATGCTATAGCCACCTCTTAAGACTTCCCTTAAGTCACATTGCAAGGAAATGGTGTGTTGTTTTTAGTATGCGTACATCTTTAAAAGATAGATACTTCCACTCCAGAAATGTAACTGGATCTTCTCATGTTACAGATGTAAACTTATTTCTGCAACCATAGGACGCTGAGAAGTTACTCCTTTGTAACGTCTTCAGGAGTCTGGTGACAGTTCACAAATTGCTGCAATAGCCTTGCACTCACAAAATCTACAGGCTCTTTTTAGATTAGAGTATCTTGTGTACTGCTTAGCATACAACCTACACTAAGAGTGTGAGAGACTAGATGCTAAATTCTGGTAGCTTATTAATGTATTTGAAGTGTTGGTGGGTATTAACACAGCCTCGTGAGCCACTCTCATGTACCAAGTACCAGTTGCTGTTGGGTTAGCAGTAGAAAGAGCCACAGTTGGAATGCGTGTTGCATTGTGGTGCTGCCACAGATACATATTCTTTTCTTTAGTCACAGCTTCAAAAGAGCTGTTTGTTACTCTTGCTTGCTCTCTTGCGACTGAATTACAGTGGAACCTTGGGTTGCGAACGTGATTGTGCAGGAGGCACGCTTGCAACCTGCAGCCCTGTGTCTGCTCATGCGCGTGACACGATTCAGCGCTTATGTGCAAAGCGTGATTAAGTGCTTCTGCGCATGCGCGAGTGCCGAAACCCAGAAGTAACCCGGTACTTCCAGGTTTGGTGTGGTCCGTAACCCGAAAATGTGCAACCCACAGCGTTCGCAATCTGAGGTATGACTGTACTTCCAATGATTAATGAGTAATTTGGGGTAGGGAGCTGGGAAAGAACCTTTCTGTTTCTCTGTTACTTACAATCGTTTATCAGTAGCAATTCAGGCAGTTTGACCATACAGTCACTTGCACTGGAGGGCTTGCAACCCAGGAAGGCTGGCCTGAAGGCTCTGACTGTTTCTATGCAGTGTTGAATTGGTTGCAGTCAGTTATGTTGGATCTTGCTGGCATTACTTTTTTCATTTATAGTCATTATCAGATCGTTTCCCATCAGATTTGTTTTGTGCTTGAAAGCTTCTTTGCGAAATTAAAGGGGCTTAGCAGAGGACTTCTGCAGTGTCCTGGTCCACACTTAAAAGTAACCCATCAGTTTGTTTGGCCTAACTGATTTTTTTAGATGTCCGAACCCTGCCCAGGGTTTCTGACAACAAACCACGGTCTGATGCCATGGTTTGTTGTTGGCTTACAAATTGTGGACTGTTTTAACTAGGACTTGGTGTTGACACACAAACATGGCAGCTTTGCTTAGCCATGACTTATTTGCCTACTTTGCCCAAAATACTCATCAAGCTGCAGAGTCATAAGGCACAAGTGGCTGAAAAATGAGACTGTGTGCAAGGCTAGGCGGTTCTTGCTTGCGCTTTTCCCGAAGAAGACCTCCCTCCTAACTTTGCCTGGCAACAGATTCCTTTCCTGATCCCACTACTCCACAAAAAGTCCTCTCTTGCGAGCCAGATGGCTTCACTTCACAGCTGCTGTTGTTCCAGGAGAGGGAAATTTAAATGGACTGCAGTCCACCTAGCTAAAATGAAATATAAAGGAATAAATGGGAAAGCAGCAGCAAAACAAACAGTATACTACAACATATTTAAGATTCTTAACTAAAAGGTTAAAAAAAAGAGCAACTGGAACAGTAGTTTAAGACATGCAAAACATCTAAAACACTTCTTTTTTTGGGGGGGGGGGGGCGGAAGGCATGACCTTTTCAAACAACACTGTCCTGGCCTTTGCAATAGCCTCATGCAGCTTAAAACTTCACAGTAATTAGCACCTTTTACGGCAACATCCTCACTGAAGAGATGTTTCAGAGGACAATCTCCATGGCACCACAATGGCTTCTAAAGAAGTTTGACAGATTCATGGAGGTTAAGGCCATCAGTGCACTTAGGTCCTGCTTTCAGGCTTGTCATCAGCATCTGGTTGGCCACTGTGAGAACAGGGTGCTAGACTAGATGGGCAATTGGTCAGATCCAGCAGGCTGCTCTTTTGAACTCTCAGTAGTAAAGGTAAAGGGGTCCCTGAGCATTGGGTCCAGTCATGACCGACTCTGGGGTTGCAGCGCTCATCTCACTTTACTGGCTGAGGGAGCCGGCGTACAGCTTCCGGATCATGTGGCCAGCATGACTAAGCTGCTTCTGGTGAACCAGAGCAGCGCACAGAAACGCCGTTTGCCTTCCCGCCAGAGCGGTACCTATTTATCTACTTGCACTTTGACGTGCTTTCGAACTGCTAGGTTGGCAGGAGCAGGGACCGAGCAACGGGAGCCCACCCTGTCGTGGGGATTCGAACTGCCGACCTTCTGGTCGGCAAGTCCTAGGCTCTGTGGTTTAACCCACAGCGCCACCCATGTCCCTTGAAGTCTCAGTACTTTTGACTAAAAACCAGGAGGCCAAACAGGAGGTGTTGGTGTTTAGAAGTTGAAGGGAGAGGAGATGGTATGGATCAGCCCATTCTGAGAGCAGCTGGGGAGATCTCATTGTGTTCATGCAGCTAACAATGGTAAAGGCGTTGGTGGTGAGGTGAGGTAATGTTTGTGTTAAGGCACCACAAAGAACAGTATATCAGGCAGGCAATGAGGAATAGGTGGGGGATAGAACAAACCAAGCTTCAACTATGGTTTGTTTGGTCATCTGTGGGGCAGCTCATTGTTTCTTAAATATACCATGCCTTCGTGTTGCTGTGGTGAATGAGGCCAGTGTATATTGAGTATACCCACTTACGTAGTTGGGAATTCTGTTTGTTCGTGTATTCTTGTTATTTGTTAGTCTCCTAATTATGATTTTTATTAAATTTGTTGATCACTGCAGTGTTTAGCCACCATACAGTACAAAGTTTAAACAATACAGTAGGTATGTTAAGACAGTTATAAACTTTCCTAACTTTTAGAAAAATGAAGGTTAACTATAAGGAAAGTTATAGAAACCATTTCTTTCTCAGAAGGTGAGGAAGAAGATGAAGAAGAGGAGGAAGATGGTGAGGAGGAGGAGTTTGATGAGGAAGATGAGGATGAAGAAGGAGAAGAAGGAGAAGACGAGGAAGACGAAATCAGCGGAGAGGTTAGTTAAAAGTATTTCCTGCTTTTATGCTTTCTGTGTTGAAACCTGAGAGGCTTATATGCCAAGTAGCAAAAAGAGTAACTGGATCTACCTTCCTGCTTGCTTGGAGGTGAAATTGCTGAGTGATGTTTGAGCGGCGTCCTTATGTATGACCGGCAAAGGCAGCTGGAACAGTGAGCGGGCCTCCCACTACCAGAATAACTGAAATAATGAAACCTTCTATTCTGGATTACCCAATTTATGTTCTGTCATTGGTCTGCCTCTGCGTGTTGCACACTGCCTGGCTGTTGCTTGGTTGCAAGCTTCAACCAAGGTGACAGGAAAGAGACTTGGCTGCAGCAGCATGCATCACTGCTTCTCTGCTGATGTCATCCAGTGTCTTTCGTTATCCAGCAGAGATTGAGAATACCTCCTACCAGGAGGTATCATGCAAATGGGAGGAAAAGTGCTACTCTTTCAGTTGCAAACATGCTTATATTTTCAGGAGGAAGAGTTTGGACGTGATGGGGAAGAGGAGGAGGAGGACGAGGAAGAAGAGGAGGATGAAGGTATGCTCAAAGTTTCAAACCAATTCCTTAATTATATGAATCTCCAGCATGGCAGGATATGGATGCGAATGGGATGAAGAGGACAAGAAGGCGACAGAAAATATTTTAGATGCTTAGCCCAACCCATCCAAAATATTGTGTTAAGTAAAGCCGTTCCATTTTAGATGGGAAGTGCAAGTAAAGACAGCAAGGATGTGTGGCTCTAGATTTTTTTCCCTATTGTTGGGTTGTTGGGGTGCAAGCCTTGGTGGCTGTGGCCAGCCAGTGGCCTCCAAACCCTTAAAGGTGGGAAGTACTTGGTCCTTCTTGAACTTCCTTCAACTGAGTGAGTGAGCCACTGTGCTAGTAAATTACTGAAATGCTAGAACTGGAGACTGCTGGAGCCCAGAATAAGTTTATGGGATAATACAGTTGTACCGCTGCCCTTTTATCAGATGATGAAATGTATTTTTTCCTCTGGTCATTGTACAGATGAAGAAGACAGTGGGAAAGGTGAAAAGAGAAAAAGAGAAGCAGATGACGAAGGGGATGAAGAAGATGACTAAGGCCTTCTGTGTCCCCAAAGGACTGTTCAGTATTGCTTGGGCCACCCCTTGGATGATCTGTGACTTGAGGAGCACTTGAGGCACATTGTAGTTGTCTAAACAAGCCCCTTCCCCCCTCGGGTGCAGCACTCAAAAGAGCCAAAGAGTCGGCCTTTCCTGTGACATTCCACATACCCTGCAGCTGATCTCCTCCAGGTGGTTACAGATCTAGCCCTCTTGGGCTAGCACCTTCACTTATCCCCTTGGGGTTCCCAGGCCTTCATCTCCCACTGTTGCCATAGCAAGAAGAACGAGTGTGATGGGTCAGTCCTGGTTGTCAGGGGCTACACACTACCCACTGACTGTAGTCCCTTTTTTACTTTCTGTGCAAAAAGGCTTTGTAAATAGAGTCCTAATGTTTTGGGGACTGTTCTTCATGCTTTGCTTTCCCTGCCTTCCTTTTCCTTTTCTAAGCTGTTGGATATTTTTTACATTAGGATGTTTTATGCAACAACAGAAAAGTATTTTTAAGAACTTGAAATGAAATAAACGTTATTTGGTAAACTAATCTTGCAAAGTTGTTATGTTCAGACTTAATCTGAAATTCTGTGGCCTTCTCATTTCTCTAAAACCACATTATGGGCAGGGTTGTGTATACTCTGCATTATTTTTTTAAAAAAATTGTACCAGCAGAAGCTAGATTCCTTGACCCATGTAAATTCCTTGGTTTACATAATTTATTCTGCTTCTGCTAGTCAAGGAGATGAACAATGAATTACGTGGGATATTGAAGCCATAACCACTAGAAATCTTCAGACCTTACAAGGATTTTAGCCACAGATTTAAAAACCCACCTTACTGCCCATTAAGGATGGACTTTTTAAAAAAAAAACCTAAGATTTTCAGGTTGCTGATTTCCATGGTCAATACCAAATTTTGTGATTTTGTGTGTGTGTGTGCTCATAGTAAACTGTAGAATACACCCAGTGCTGAAGACAAGCCTTTGTTATTTAGACACCCTTTATTCTTAAATGCAGTGATTGAACTTGGTCTTTTACACCCACTTTGCAAATAATATTGCCCTAAATCTCTGAACCACAGTAATACATTTTGAAAAAAGATAGGATTGGTTCTTAGATTGCACAAAGGTCCATACCCATGTGCAAAATCTTAAAAAGAAGATGTATTTACACTGTGTGCATGTGCTCACATATGCTCAGATTGTAATGCATATACCAGCAAGCCACCCCATCTTTTACCTCTTGTCATGTTTTACATGGACAAAAAAAGTCGTATGGCCAGGGCACTCTTGCATTACAAAATACAGTGATTTGTGTACATGATTAATGATGTAGTACAGTACACACGTGGCAATAAATCCCATTAATCTCAGTGGGGCTTATTTCTCTGTATACACGCATATAGGATTGCAGAACATGCAACATGGAAATGAGCTCCTACAGCTCAGTCCTATACATTTCTACGCAGAAGTTCCACTGAGTTCAGTGGGGCTTAGTCTCAGGTAAGTAGGTATAGAATTACAGCCTAGTCATACAAAATGCATATAATGAAAGTGAACTTGACCTTTAAACAGACTAGGCTGAAAGCTGTTAATTGGAGCTTTTGATATCCTGACTTCTCATGTAGTGAGGCATTCTAACATGACCTTGCCTCCAATTTCAGATTGAATTAAATGCAGAAAATGGCTGGGATCCACCTGTATTTCCCCCAGCCCTCTCTAAATGTGTCCCAGAGAGTTCCCCAATCCCCCACAGCAGGTTGGGGGGTGCTGCAAGGGTGTGAGGAGTAGAAATCTTTGTTCTGTTTGTGCTCAGACACAATTGGATGTGGCTCTTTCACATCATTCTGTTCTGAAGTCAACTGTATCAAAGAGTTGAAAGGGACCCCGTGGCTAAGGGACAAAAATAAATCTGGAAATATGTCTCTTTGGAACCAATGCTCATATTTATATGCTGTTGGTAGCAATAGATCCAGCAACAGTAAAGGAGTGAGACTCTTTTTCCCAGGATATGTATATGCTGAAAATCAAATTCCACATCAAAAGCTGCATTCTGTAACCTGTGCCAATGTATGCAGTTTTGTGTAGACATTTTTGGTTTTGCAGGTAACGGAGGGGGCAAGGAGCTTTCTGTAGCGCACTGAAACTTCACCTACTGACCATGGGAAATATTTCGCTACACCTCTGGTAGATGAGATTCTGTAGGCACGTGTAGTTTCAAAACATAATCTGTGGGCACTAGGCCTAATAGCCAGTCTCTTTTTGCTTTTAATTGAAAGCTGAGGTTCTCAGGAAGCAGAATTCTGTGCCCTGTGTCACATTCTGTGCTCCTCTGGAATTGCAGTAGAGACTCCTTGGTTACAGTATATCACAGGAGCTAGTGATATACTAGAGCATATATATATGTTGGGTACAAGCCAATTTAAGAAAAGAGGTGCTTGTGATCAGAAAATTACTACTCCATTTTGAGTTTCTTTTTAAGTTAGGTGGATATCTTGGTTCAATAGCTCCTGGGGCTGCATGTATGTGTAGAACAAAACAACTTGAAGCAATGTGTTTTTTAATTGGCTGTTTTGACAGGGTGGGAGGAGACTGAAACCAGCTTCCCTACTTTTCTTTCTCAAATAGGTGTTTGATGGGATTCCAGCCCAAGTGGGTAGGAAACCTTCTATGTAAAACTATTTGTGCATATGATTCCCCATTTTGCTGTGCCTACGTGGACAGGCAGCTTGTCAGTCATTTAAGAATAAAGTGTGTGTTTCTCATATTGTTGATGTGCCACAGATTACTTGCACTGATACGCATGGTCGGTAGCACTAGTAAAAACTGTAGTAGGCTACTAGCTTTTTGTGGACTTGGTTGCATGGCTGGCATGGAATCTAACTGGAACAGAGTGATACATTCGGATATTTGCTTTGGTTTAAGGATTGAATCCCACTGAATCCACTTTCTTACTGAAACCAATCAGCTGTTAAGAGTGTTTAACTTTGGCTGGATCATTCCTTGTGCAATTGTGACCAGTCAAATATCTTTCAGGTATGCCCCCAACTGTATTCTGAATGATTTACTTCCTTTTAAATGAAGATAACAAAAAACTGAAGAATACTGTCAATCATTAAATATAGTTAGGCACTGTTTAATAAAGCGTAACCAGTTTGCTATTACTGTATAGATATTTTCTTTTCATTTCTCTCCCTCCAACATACACGAGTAAAGCGTTGCTTTAAAATGTACCATCTCCAAGGTTTACATAGAACAGAGAAGTGATACGTTAAAAAATAACTTTCAAGTGCTGAATTATTCATTTTCTGAAAGGTTACCAGTAAACATAATGCAGTAATTTTTTTTCAAGTAGATTTAGGATTGAGGAATCCCCTTGATAAATGGCTAACATTGCTGTCTGTTGATCAGATAAAATGCATAAAAACAAGCAAAAAATCATTTAAAGGTACACTTTAAAAATGCATTTTGGAACTTAACTTTCCCTTTGCCTTAGCTGACTACTGCTTTAAATAATTTATTCTGCATTGTAAACAAGGAAAGAGAGCAATCCCACAAATTGCAGGGGTGGTAGCCAGCATTAGTCATAATCAGGGTAGACCCACTGGAATTAATTGACTTGTCCATTGATATGAATGAGTACCCTAAGTATGACTAACAATCATTTTCCTCCATCCTGATTGGGACTATCTGCACATGTATCCTTAGCTGGAGGTATTAAAGCCTGTGCCAACGGATTCTGCATGGATGGTGCCCTAGTCCCATCCCTGTGTGTGTACAATCTGTTAAAAATAAATGCTGGATTCCTTCTCATCAGTTGTTTGGGATAAGGGAACAGGAACCTGGATTCAGTCCCCCTTGTCAACCAGCAAAAAGGCTACACAGCAGTCTCATGCTGTTGGACTGCAACAATAAACTGTTAGCAACAGCTAGATAAAACTGATCACTCGGCTTTTTTTAGGGGCAGTGGGCAGGAGAGAGAAAATCTCTGAGATTAGCAGTAGAGGGTGGATATCCCCATTGTGCCCCGATTGTGAACATAATGGCTAGTCACATTTGGGAGAGACAACATGATCTAGACTGTCCAATGGACAGTCAGCATGACTATTAAAAGTTCCTAATAGATCACGGCCCTCTGGAATAAAGTGTGGAGACACTAGTTTTTAAAAGGATTGGATAAAAGTCCACGAGCAATGGGTATAAAATACTCTTTAATATTCAGAGGTCAGTTTAAAAGTGCAAAAGCTTGGTATCCAAGTAAGGTTGAGTTTCCTACAGGTTTCATGATGCCTTTTGCACTGTTCTGACCACCAGAGTAGCAAAGCCACAATTAATACAGCTTTTCTGGGCTTGTAGCACTTCAGACTGAAGTGGAGGAATCACCTGAATGCGCTCCCTATGTAAGCATATGCACATAGAAAAGGCGTTATGGCCAAGAGAAAGCTAGGCTAGATTCTTGATATGATAACTTTGTATACACAGGAACTATCCAACCCTCTTCCCAATAACCTGAATAGTGCAATCCAGGCAAAACTGCACTGTTGCTTCTATAGGTAGGATATGAGAGGCGTTACTCCCAACAAGCACTGGCAGATCTAATGCTAAGGTTAAAAAATTTATAAAAAGCAAGATGGGGAGAGGCATGCCTGGGCACAGTTTTATCAAGCCATTGGGGATTGCTGCAATTAAAAGCAGGTCTTTGGAGTGAATTTTGAACTGGTAATTATTGGTCTTTCTGAGAAGCTATGCGGAAAGTGAATGAAGGGGGGAAATCTAGCTGAAGATAGAAGAATGTGAGCACTGTAGGCCAAGCCTTACTTAACCCCAACATCAGAGGTGTTACAGTGACCAGACTGGGGTGTGCTCCTTGCTCTCACTCCTGAACAACTCTTGAGTTTTCCCGAACTAGCCAAGGCAATGGGGTTTTTATGATTTTATTATGAGCAGGGCTGCTTGCGTTTCTTCAAGCCCCAGCTCCTGACATCGCAGGAGCCCAACCATTTTTTTGTTTTTCAGCAACAGGTCTTAACTTTCAGGACTTAGGGAGAAGTGCTTTAAAGGTATCCCGCCAGAAGACTCATCCCCCCACTGCTCCCAAAGACTCATCCCTTCGCTGTCCCAGGGCTTCACAGTCTTTGGATATTTCAGGTGGTCAGCCCCGAGACCTGGAAGGAGAATTACGCGGATGGCAGTGCTTTGCATAGACTTGTGTGGGAATCAACAGGCAATGGAAGATCAGGCAAAGCATTGGTTGTAGGTATCGGAGCAGAAGATGGGAAACCGTTTGAAAGAAGAGCCTTGTGATTTTGCAAAAGCTTAATCCTAGAAACAGGCTCTGAACCAGATGAAATGGGGAAGGACGGAATATTCTATAAGATGAGCTGGAAATTGGATGTCTGAACTCCTTTCTGGACACTGCCCTGCAATGTCCCATGTTGATTCTGGCAACAAAATTCAGTGGAAAAGTGATGGAGGGAAGAAGCAACTAGTGGAAGGTTGGGTTTGAGGCAACTGGAAGGAAGCCAGTTCAGAGAATTGGTCCTCAGTCTATTGTTTGCTTAAGGCATGAAGTGATTCTGGGGAAATATTATGGGTGAAGCTGAAAGGTGACTGTGTATTGACAGGAGCTGCAGATATGCTCTGGTTACGACCTGGTCTGCCTCACAAGGCTCAACAATGAAACGTCCCTTTCAAAAGCTTGGCTTTTGAAATTAGTTCCCCTTTATAACCAAACAAACCTACATTCCTGATTTTGCCTTTACTGATTACAGACTCCCATTTCTTTGCTCCTCACCTCTTGAGTGCAACCATATTTGCAAAGGAAAACCCATAAAACTAAGGGAAGTGGATGACTTAGACATGCCCCCCCCCAAACCATCATCGACCACAAGAGAGACAAAAGTAATTCAGTGTAGAAACAACCTGCTCTACTTCAGCTCCAGGGAGGAACAGGGAAGAGTCCTGACCCACTTAGCCTTCATGTTGCAACGGGTCATTGCTAGACAGCCTGGACGAGTCAAAACCACCACAAGGCCAAGCTCAAATGGGCACCGGGGACTTGGAAGATGCTCTCGCTGCTCCTCAATGAAGTACCAGGCACACACAGGCACAAGGGAGCCTCTGCCTTCACACTGAGACTTCCCAGAGTGACTCTGGGGCCACTTTCATACCAGTTCGTTCTCTGGTTCAAAGAAGGCGGCTAGTAAACAAAGCACCCGTAAGAATCCCAGCGGCCTCTGGCTTCCAGAAAATGGGCACTTGAGGCAGGCAATGAGTTGCCTATAAGATCTCAAGTCCTAATCCAAAATCTCCCCGCAGTAGTACTTGGAGGCGACCACAGTCCTGGAGTCTGAACCGCCTTCCAAAGGCTGCCAAGCAACGTCCCGTCAGAACCTGCCAGAATCCATGCGAAGGTTTTTAATCTCCAGCTCCAGCTGTTTGATCTGCACGTCCCGCTGAATCGTCAGTTCGCGGAGCCTCCGGATTTCTTCCTGCTGCCGGTAAAACATCTGCAGCAGCTGGAAAGCAGAGGTTTCGCAAGTCACTATGCTATCTATATCCACCACGATTTTTTTAACCGTCCGACGTCTATTTGAAACTGTATAGATCAGCAGTGGCCAAACTCGTGACTCTGGTAAGACATTTTAAGAGGCCCTGGCAGCCCCAAAGGTGAGTGCAGCTGCTAAATAAAATAATAATAATAATAATAATAATAATAATACCCTGCCCATCTGACCGGGTTGTCCCAGGCTTGTGCGGCGCTGAGCAAGCCACAGCCATTGAGAGCAAGCCATTGAGTGCTCCAGAAACAGGAAGGAACGCTCTGATATTTCCCAAGTGCTCGTGAAACATCCTTTTCTGTTTCCAGGGTACTCTGACCTGCTGCTCCTAATGTGGTGGGTTGTTTAACTGTAGCCGTGCCAAAACTGATCCCAAGGCTATGATGGGAGAGGTTTCATCTCCCACAACGAGGGGAAAGAACTCAGTATATAAGAGGCTTGACAATTTTACAAGTTTCCCTAAGTATGCCAAAGTTAATGAGCCTTCATTAGTAATTTTAAGATATGCGAGTTCCTCCAAAGGAGTGGTGCCCAAACCTCCCCCTGCCCCATGAACCACTTGAAAATTGGCGAGGGTCCTGGGGGACCACTAAATGATTTTTCTGCCTCCTGTAGGAATTCTAACGCACTGTGCTAGATGCTGTAGGATCTTTAATCATATTTTATTTCTTGCATTGCATTTTGTTGCATTACAGTTAGAATTCCACACTGACTTTTTTCTCGCTGCTTCCTCCTGCTCGCTCTTTTGTGTTGCTAATCCTCTCCACAATATTCAATGGCTTCCCGCCCCGTCACTTCTGATATGTCCCGCTCACCTGGATGGACCATCAGTTTCTAAGAACGATGGAGGAGGCACTGTGCCTGCCGTCCTTAGCAGACACAACACAGACTGCATTAATGAAGCTCAGCCGCAGTTTGGAAGCCCCTGCTCTGGAGTACTGAAATTATCTCAGTTCTGGGAGGTGTAATGGCCCTGTATGGCTGTGAGATATGTGCAGGCTGCGTGTGCATGAGCCCCACTGGAGGGCTGGCAGACTGCGAATGTGGGTCTTGGGTTGAAAAATATCAGTGCCCTCCCCGCGGGTGGCGCTGTGGGCTAAACCATAGAGCCTACGGCTTGCCAAGCAGAAGGTCGGTGGTTCGAATCCCCGCGACAGGGTGAGCTCCCGTTGCTCAGTCCCTGCTTCTGCCAACCTAGCAGCTCAAAAGCACGTCAAAGTGCAAGTAGATAAATAGGTACCATTCCGGTGGGAAGGTAAATGGCGTTTCGTTTCTGTGTGCTGCTCTGGTTCGCCAGAAGCGGCTTAGTCACACTGGCCACATAACCCGGAAGCTGTACACCGGCTCCCTCGGCCAATAAAGCGAGATGAGCGCCACAACCCCAGAGTCACCCACAACTGGACCTAATGGTCAGGGGTCCCTTTACCTTTTACCCCCTGCCCCAGTAGGGCTGGCCAATATGCCGCGATGTTGGAAGAAAAGATACATTGGCTTCTGCCCGCGAGACACCAGGTGAAACTGCCCCAGCTCTCACCTCGAGAGCTGAGGAGGTTTCACCCTGACTTGCAGGCTGGGACAGTGCAGCTTGTTTGCGCAGCTCAACTGGGGATCGGGAAGGTTCCCCCTCCCCAGCTGAGACAGCTCCCCTCATGTGAGCAGTTTCAAAGAGCCCCCATCCCACCCCACCGTTGGCTTGCAGGAGCCAGCGCTGGGCTGGGGTCTCCTTTTACTGCTCAACTGAGGCAAGGACAGCTGCACACTCCTCAGTTGAGCAGTTTAAATATGCAGAGGGAGGAACAAGCTGTATTGGCGCTTTGCCCAACTGGGCAAGCCCTCACTCCTTGTACTGCTTTGCACACCCTGAGAAAGGGGACTTTCCTTGCTCTGGACTCCCAGCTAGCCAATTTCCAGCTTAGGTAAAGGTAAAGGGACCCCTGACCATTAGGTCCAGTCGTGACCGACTGGGGTTGCGGCACTCATCTCGCTTTATTGGCCGAGGGAGCCGGCGTACAGCTTCCAGGTCATATGGCCAGCATGAATAAGCCGCTTCTGGAGAACCAGAGCAGTGCACAGAAACACCGTTTACCTTCCTGCCGGAGCGGTACCTATTTATCATTTTATCTACTTGCACTTTGAGGTGCTTTCGAACTGCTAGGTTGGCAGGAGCAGGGACCGAGCAACGGGAGCTCACCCCGTCGCGGGGATTCGAACCGCCGACCTTCTGATCGGCAAGTCCTAGGCTCTGTGGTTTAACCAGAGCAGCGCACGGAAACACCGTTTAGCTTCCCGCCGGAGCGGTAGCACCCACTTTAAGCTGCTCATCTTGACTTGCCAACAAGGCTTCTTCTCGCTGTCAGACAATCATACCTCGTTTTCTGTTTTGGGCGGAGGACACTCAAAAACATCAAAGCCGTTCGACAGCCCGATTTTCCTGTCTTCTGGCCCCCTCTCCTCGGCCTTCCAGTACACCCATCTCTCTTGCACCCTGCTTGGCTTCTCAATTATGTCTGCCACCCGGGTCCGCAGCTGGGCAGGCTCTGTGGCTTGCAGCGCTGCCTCCTTCACAGGGAGGGGAGGCAAAGAGTTCAAGATGACGGAGCCTGGTCTCAGAGACATCAAGACGGGGCCTGCGGGCAACAGGAAGGAGCATTTGGCACAAAGATCAGGAAGATCAGAGGATTTCAGAACAGACTCTGAAGACTCACACAGGTTTTTAGAGCCAAGCCAGTGAATGACAGAAAGAAGCAGATTTCACTCATTCCAGTAATGAAGCCTGTGAGGACTGATATACAGTGGTACCTCGGGTTACATACGCTTCAGGTTACATACGCTTCAGGTTACAGACTCCGCTAACCCAGAAATAGTGCTTCAGGTTAAGAACTTTGCTTCAGGATGAGAACAGAAATCGTGCTCTGGCGGCGCGGCAGCAGTGGGAGGCCCCATTAGCTAAAGTTTTACCTCAGCTTAAGAACAGTTTCAGGTTAAGTACGGACCTCTGGAACGAATTAAGTACTTAACCCAAGGTACCACTGTACTTAATTCGTTCCAGAGGTCAGTTCTTAACCTGAAACTGTTCTCAACCTGATGTACCACTTTAGCTAATGGGGCCTCCCGCTGCCGCTGCGCCGCCAGAGCATGATTTCTGTTCTCATCCTGAAGCAAAGTTCTTAACCCGAGGTACTATTTCTGGGTTAGCGGAGTCTGTAACCTGAAGCGTATGTAACCTGAAGCATATGTTACCCGAGGTACCACTGTACTCTGCACTAGAGAAAGTACACACAACTAGAGCTGGGCGATATCAGATTTTCAACATTGTGACATATCACCAGCCAAACATCGTGATATAGTGATACACTGCGATGTTGAAAAGCGGAGGGAGGAACAAGCTGCATTGGGCCTAGCCCCATGAGGCACCAGAGTGAATCTGCCTCAGCTCTGTCGGCGGAGCAGCGGCTGTCTCACCCCAGCAACTTGCAGGGCCGAAGCCGATGCAGCTCGTTCCTCTACACACTGGGCCACTGGAGTCGGAAAAAGTCCCTCTGCCGCCAACTCTTGGCACACTGAGGGAAGAATGAGTTGCATCGGCCCCAGCAGCTCGCTCCTCCCTCAGTTTGAGGGCCAAAGCGCAATGAGGCCCTCAACTGGCAACGGTACAGTGCGGGTGAAGGTGCCATCACGCTCTTGCCCTCAAACCGTTCCTGGGCAATGTATTGATACATAGTTTATTTCTCACATTTTGCCCAATTTCTTTGGCTAGGCCAAAAGAGAATGATTCTTCCATGCACCAGAGCTCCTCGGCGAGCTAAGCAGGAAAGTCAACCCAGACCTTCTAGGCCTCTGCTGCTGCGTGCAACCACCCTCAAGGAGGACTCAAGCCTTGGAGACTGTCTCAGGTGATCATTACACATTCACTGCAGAAGTGCAGGGTCTACATTTCTGTAGCTTCCTCTCTCAACGTTGCTCATGCTTAAAGCAGGGGCAGGGAATCTCCAGACCATGAGCCAAATTTGGCTTGCTAGGCCTCCTTTGGCCCACGGGGTTGTTTTCCCTAAATCACATCTGCCTGCCCAATACCTGCCATCCACTGATGTCCAGTGTTGGGTAGGTACCAACATGGCTACAAAGGAACAATTGAGCTTATGAAGAGCTCCTTAGCGGGAGCAAGGTGTGCTCATACAGTGGACGCTCGGGTTGCGAACGTGATCCGCAGCATCCGCAACCCGCAGCGGTGCATCTTCACACGCGCGGGTTGCGATTTGGCGCTTCTGCACATGCGCAAAGCGCGATTTAGGGCTTCTGCACATGCGTGACCGCCGAAGCCCGGAAGTAACCCGTTCTGGTACTTCCGGGTTTCAGCGGTCCGTAACCCGGAAAAACACAACCTGAAGCGTCTGTAACCCGAGGTATGACTGTACTACCATTCAGCGGATGGGCAGGGAAGCACACCTTCCATAGAACTGTAAGGGATCACGAGGGTCATCTAGTCCAACCCCCTGCAACACAGGAATGTTTTACCTGACGTGGGGCTCAAAACCACAACCCTGAGGTTAAGAGTCTCATGCTCGACCGACAGAGCTATCCCAGCAGTTTCCAGTTACACCAAGTGGTTTCAAGAGAAAGCACTTGTCACTATGGGAACAGCAAAGCCAGGCAGGAGGTGGGGAGGACAGTGAGAAATATGGGAGGTGGGCGCTTAAAGGGCATCTTGCGCAGGGTCCCCGCTCAAACCTAGCAATGCTCCTACAGGTGTGTCGCTCACCTGATCCTCTAGGTCTGCTGTTAACACGATGCAGACCAGAGAGAGGAGGACATCATTTTGATTCAGGCCCTTTGGGTCTCACTGACCTTTATTACTGCCGCTTAGCCATTCTTGTGCCGTCAGGGCTGGCTGGGCTCCAGCTGTCATCGGGTAGATGTCTTCCTGGTACGATTCAGACTGCAGAGAGATACCAGAGCACACTGGCTTACATCTGAACAAGTGCCACCACCCCCCTGCCCTGTTTAGAAGCCACCCAGCGAAAGCCAGGAGAGATTCACTCACCCGACGCGGAACTATCATAGACACTGGCTCTATCAGGTACTTGGCTGGGATCAGTTTGTAGAATCGGAAGATCTCGCAGGAAGAGACATCCAGACCCCTCTTTGGCATGAAACCTAAAGACCGGGGAAGCAGGGAGAAGTGTTATGGCAGTGTGAAACTAGACATGCACTGGCCAACACTGCTAATAAAACTGGCAATTACCACAATCCCATTATGCAAATCTGTGGTGTGACTGCATTTGGAATACTGTGAACAGATCTCGTCGCCTGACCTCCAAAAGCTGGAAAAGGTTCAGGGAAGTGCAGCCAAAATGATTGAGGCATTGATAAAACTATCAATGGCCACTAGCCATGATAGTCATGTTCTGTCTCTACTGCTGGAGGCAGTAAGTTTCTGAATACAGTGGACGCTCGGGTTGCAAACTTGATCCGTGCGGGATGCACGTTCGCAACCTGCAGCGGCACGTCTGCGCACGCGCGGGTTGCGATTTGGCACTTCTGCGCATGCGCAAAGCGCAATTTAGTGCTTCTGCACATGTGCAACCGCCGAAACCCGGAAGTAACCCGTTCCGATACTTCTGGGTTTTGGCGGGTCCGTAACCCGAAAAAACGCAACCTGAAGCGTCTGTAACCCGAGGTATGACTGTACCACTTGTGAGGAAGCACAAGTGCAGAGCTCCATTTCTGCTTACAAGTTTCCCACAACATCTAACTGGCCACTGCAAAAGCAGATTGCTGGACTAGATGGGCCACTGATCGAGGGAGGCACTTAACATGGGGCCTAAAACTCCAGCTGCTCCTCTTCCTCTACAAACATGCAGGGAGACTTGTAGAGGGGGGAAAACAGAGAGCAGGGAGCACGGTTGGCCTCTTACGTCTTTACCTCCCACCCAGCACTTACGACATTGTCTTTCTCCAACCATCACAGAACACACTGCTTCCTTCTCTGTGCAATTTTTTTCTCCCATCCAACTCCTCTTAAACGTTGCTACCTCTGTCTCCAACCTGATGTGGGATCACCAGGGAACAAATTGGAAAACTCTCCTGTCTCTTTAACAGCCACTCCGTTTTTCTCTGCTGGTCTCACTGCCTCACCCTTGGTTTGCCTTGCGGCAAAATCTACAGTAGCAAGCGGGAAGTGACTTGCATCAGGAAAAGCCCAGAGCTACTGTTGAGAAGTGTTGGGATGCAACTCAGCTTGCAGTGGAGGCTGATGTGTTTGCTTGGGAAAGCGTGGGAGGAAGAGCCTGTTTTAGACTGTCCTTTCCAACCTACATAATTGGTGCTGACCTTCTCTCAGGCATTAGACCTCTCAGGGTTGCTGATCTCATTTCCTAGGGCTTGCTGAATTTTTCAACTTCCAAAATGAGGGGTTCTGAAAAGTTGCAGCATGACTTGGGGATTCAAAAGATATTTTGGCTACGTTAATATAATTTAGAATCATAGAATTGTAGAGTTGGAAGAGATTCAGAGGATCATCCATTCCAACCCCCTGCGATGCAGGAATATGCAGCTGTCCCATTTGGGGATGGGACCTGCGACTTCGGCATTATCAGCACCATGCTCTAATCTACTGAGCTATTCAGTTTTGCTTGGGAAGTAAAACTGTGTAGAACTGCATAGTAATCATTAAAAATGACTAAGTACTTGTAGCTATTATTATTGTTATTGTTGTTATTAGGCATTAACTGATATTTTCAGAAGGTGAAATTAAAATTCTTTGGTTTTCCAAAAGCAGTTTTTGTGCTTCTTCACCAAACATAGACGGACCAAGCTAAACATTGTCTGATCATAAAAAGAATAGCAGTTTTGAATTCCTCACACCCAAAAACATATTTTTAAGACCCTCTCACTGAATAAATTTGCAAAAATTAAATTCGCCCCCTAAAATGACACACCCTACTCATTTCCTCCTCCTTTGCTTTTCTCCTCGAGAGGAGAGACATCCTTTGTGTCTCTACCTTAGACACACAGAACCAGGATCTTTTCTCTCAAACATGCATTTCCTGTAATAAAAGTAACTTTCTAATTTTCCTAAACTCAGAGTCTCCATGTAATTAGACCCAGGGCAAAGTGTGCTCTTCCAACAGAGATTCAGTATTAACTTCCAACTTCCGCGGAGCGTTTTAACTAGAAAATGCCAACAGCTACAACCTCCTCCTCTGCAGTTGGGGGGCTGTTTAAAGAGACTGAGGATTCGGCTGGGCTATAGCCAAGCAATTCCTCCCCTTTGCACCCCCAGAGAAGGAGGTCTGTTAGTTGGAATAGAAAATGGTCGCTCTATGGTGCAGTTGCATATTCAGATGGAAGCTTCATGTGTTTAAAACCGAGTTAAAAGACACCGCTTCCCCCCTGGGAACTCTGCTGGGAATTGTAGCTTTGTGAAGAGCTAAACTACAGTTCCCAGGATTATTGGGGGGGGGGGGGGAAGCCTTGTATGCTTTGTATGCTGTGTACACAGCTAAAGGGTGGGGGGGGGAGAGAAAGTTCTCTTAGAATGGTATTTTTGAACAGCCTGAAGTAAAGCAATAGTTCTCTGATGAAATTCCCTCAGTGGCAAAAGGGAAGCGGCGAAAAGAAGAACCTCAGCCACATTGCACAGCTGTGACAAAACTGAAGGGAAGGAGGAACAGAGCGAGGCCCGTTATCTTCCCATGACCAGCTGCCTCTTGCCGTATCGGTTGCTCACGGACACCCCTTTATCGCACATCACCAGCAATGAAAATGTAGGCAAGCTCACCGATTCCTTTCTGGGGCAAAGGGGAGCGGTACTCCATCAGGTAATTTAGGTATGGCTTCTCCGAACTTATCTCGTAGTACCTGATGTTCCCATCGCCCTAGAGATAATGGGAGAGACAAGAGGACAGTGTTGTATCCAAGAGAAGGGTGTGCTTGGCTCGCGACACACCATTTGGAGGAAGACATTTCATGGTCCCCAGCTAAAGAATACTGCCACATGTTCTTAACTCGCTCAAGTGCCCGTTCCACGTGGAGAGCGGTTTCAATGGCCAGGCATGGGAATCTAGTTATCGCACAAGTTTTATTTATCGTCTTGCCCACATACTTAAGACTCTGTAGCAAGGGCAAGGACTCACCTTGCCCAGCACATACAGCATGTGTGTGTCCGAGTCATAGAAAGGAAACAAGAGACCCGAGGAACCGTCCATATCCTCCTCTACTAAAGGCACGGAAAGGTCACCCTGCGTGAGGAAACCAGAAACAACAGCTATAAAGTGGCAAAACACAACAAGAACAACAAATGCAGTTCCAGAAGGATTTAGAGCAGGGGCCGCCAACCTCTTGGGGCCACTGGGCACATAGGGAGTTTGCACCAGTCACAAAATGGCGGCTGTGGGGGCCTGGCATAAAACAAAATGGCTGCCACATCTAAAAGAGCAGGGAAAGTGACACAAAATGGCGCAGGCATGCCATGCCCCACATCAGCCACTGTTGTGCTTTCTCACAGAGAGAAGCTCTTTGCACATCTCTGTTCATAATTGCTTTGATTTGTTTGTTTGCTTGCCGTCCATCTGGCTGGGTTGCCCCAGCCACTCTGGGCGGCTCCCAACAAAAAAAAATACTAAAAGCACAATACAACATCACACACTAAAAGCTTCCCTGAACAGGGCTGCCTTCAGATGTCTTTTAAAAAGCACATAGCTGTTTATCTGTCTGATACTATAGTTGAATGAGCTTTAAAGATTTAGTGTGTGCACATGGCCTAAACAGCAGAGAGAGAGACAGAGCTAAAGTGTTGATCTGTGATGGAACCATTAGCATGGCGAGTGCTTGAAGTGGTTTGCTGAGCAACTCACCTGATCCCATAGTGCAATTTGCCTGTTGTTCCACCTCGATGTCCCCGTGGAGAGCAGCTTTTTCATGTTTCCTAGAAACAAAACTTTATTCACTCTGTGAGACTTGTTGTTTGCTTCCTGCAAGAAGACATGGCGTGTTACTCAGAGGAAATCAAGCACACCAAATGCTGCTTCTTTCAGTGAAACTCATCTGCACCTGCCTATTGTCTGAAGTTTTGAAAACCCTCCACCATCAAAATTCACAGCTTTTGCTTATCTCCCTGTACAGCTGATGCAGCAATATATGATTTGGAAGCCATACCAGACTAATTTAAGGTAGGACTGTCAAGGCAGGGCTTGTCAGGCCTCTTGGGGAACGCCAGTGTGCTCCTGGGGAACGATCACATTACACACCAGCTGATGAATCATCTGAGCTAGAAAACTACATAAAGGACTGTCTTCTTAAAGGCTTCTCTTGCAGAACCCTCTTGTGTCTTCCACTTGCGTGTACCACAGGCCTTGGGACACAGAAACACTTCACAGGAGCAATGAAGAGGGTAACTGGGAATCAGGATCCCAGGTAGATAAGTGACAGGAGCAAGCCAGCAGTAAATCACACCCTGCCTGTTGAAGTTAACTCTTTATTAGCAAGAACAGGATCTGCACGAACTTGGCTGAGCATCAAGCCTAGTGAGCACAGCAGCTCATCCCCAGTAGTGGTACCTTGGGTTAAGTACTCAATTTGTTCCGGAGGTCCGTACTTAACCTGAAACTGTTCTTAACCTGAAGCACCACTTTAGCTAATGGGGCCTCCCGCTGCTGCCGCGCTGCTGGAGCACGATTTCTGTTCTCATCCTGAAGCAAAGTTCTCAACCTGAAGCACTATTTCTGGGTTAGCGGAGTCTGTAACCTGAAGCGTATGTAACCCGAGGTACCAGTGTAGTTCTTGCCCCATGGATCAATTGCCCAGACTAAAGGTTCCTGTCTCCCCACAGCCATCTATGTCTCCTTTCCAGGTCCTCCCCCTCCCCAAGCAATCGGAGACTGCACCTGCCTGCCTTGTTCTTCCCACTTCATGCCTCTTCTGGTTCTGGGAGAGCAGGGAGGAGGGTAGCTTGTTGCAGCAGAAGGGGAAGACATCCTTGCTTCTTCGCCCACTTGACTCATCTCTGCCTCTTGGTCTCCCACTCACCAGCTTCCACTTCTGATTCTGAACTTCTCTCAGCCACAGACTGTCTTAGCACACTCAGCCCTGTTACGCCTTTAGCTTCTGACACCAGCTCTTCCCAATCTTTTCCCTCTGATTACTCGGCGTCGTCCCACCTAAGCTCTCAGCCTTCTACCCTGTGTGGTTCCCTCCCACTATTCCTGTGAGTCCAACCGGTCCAGGACAATGCATCAGGCTGGACACTGAATAATGAGGGGGATACCGTATTTTTCACTCCATAAGGTGCACCTGACCATAAGGCGCACCTACTTTTTTTGGGGGGGGGGGGAATTCAAGAAAAAAAATATGCATCAGGAGGTGGGGGAATTTTGCAGGAGGTGGGGGAAGTGAGAGAGCCTCGCTCTGTCCCTTCCCCCACCTCCCGCAAAAGCCAGGGATAGCCACGCAAAGCCTCCCCAGGGCAGCGGGATGAAGGCTCCCCGCTGCCCTGCGAAGGCTTCGCGGGCTGCCCCAGAAGCGCTTTCCCCCACCGCCAGCCCCAAAGAACAGGTCGGGGCTGGCAGGGGAAGCCCAGGTTCCCCCCCACCCAGCCCCAGGGACCACACATTCACTCCCTAAGACGCACAGACATTTCCCCTTAGATTTTAAGAGGAAAAAAGTGTGTCTTATGGAGCGAAAAATACGGTACTTTAGAAATGAACTGAATGACCTATGACTGACTTCTGCCTCCCTCAAAATGTGGCGATTATGGTGCAAAATAACAGGCATAGCCCCAAGGCGGCCTTCGGGGAGGGACATTGGGCCCACCAACCCATCTAAGCTTGATTGACACTCCCCACCTGAAAGAGAAGGTAACTGCAAGCAGTCAAGTGATGATCTTAATGTCATGGACGGCAGCCGAGTCACCTTCCCACTCCTAAACTGCCTATATCAAGCTAGGCTGACAGCCCATCCGATGTGAAAAAGAGTTGTGATTCCAATTCAGAATCAATTCATCATGATTCAGGAGCAGGAGAAGCTAACTTTGAAAGTGCTACCCAGCTGCAGAACAGAATAAGGCTGTAAATGACAGCAGCTCTGGTTTATGTCCCCAGATGTAAACCTGGTGTAGGATCTAAGCTAGATCTTCTGATCTAGACCCTGCTGTTTCAGAGAAAGATGCACCCCCACCTTCTGACCTGCAGACCTATCCTTCTCCTCTGCACAAGAGAGAACATCCTTTCAGCCATCTGAAACAAACAGCAAGCAGTCTTCCCGCGTGGCGCTAATCAATCTCACCAGCCCTGCATACCTGTAAGACAGTTCCTGCTCGTGGGTCAATGACCCTTATTTTCCTGTCCCTGCAGGCCGTGGCCAAGAGGCTCCCGTCTGTGTTGAACGACATGGAAAGAATGACGTCCGTGTGGAAGTGGATTGTCTTCACCGGGGTCTCAATTACAGACTCTTTGGTGTCAAGGTTCCAGATCATGATCTGAAGGCAAAGAGAGGGGCATTCGTGAATGTTTCCAGAGCTCCCCACCCACAGTGCAGACAATGCACAAAAAGAACAATGACTACTCCCAACGCTATGCAACTTGGACAAATTACACACAGCACATTTCCATGTTTTTCCCTGGGCAAAATTTATGCAGCTTCTGCTAGCCCTGGGGAAGGACAGACGGCTGCATGGGGTGCAAATGCTCCAGCCCCTGAACACTGAAAACTACATCCAGCAATGAATCTGGCTTGTGAAGTTTCAGGAGACATCACCACCCACTTTTACTTCATTCCTTTGCAACCATTAAGGACTAGAAAATCCCAATTTGTTGCTGGCTTTGATGAAAATTGAGGTTCTTGTTTGACATGGATAGTTCAGCTGGTTAGAGCGTGGTGCTGATAATGCCAAGGTTGCAGGTTTGATCTTCATATGGGACAGCTGCATGTTCCTGCATGGCAGGGATTGGACTAGAATCACTAGATGATCCTCAGGGTCCCTTCCAACTCTACAATTCTGCGCCTGAATTCTGCAACCAATACCATATTCTGTGGTATTGCAGAACTGTAGCATATTTATTTGCAATTCAGGCTTATATGGCGCTTTTCGCAAATAACAACAACATGCCACCTCCCTACACACAAACACACACATACATACACATAATCAAAAGAAACAAGTTGTGGGAACATCCTGATAGGCAATTCTGGGCTGGCTTATCCGTTGCCCCGCACCCCTGGAATTTTTACCCCTCTCTTGCTTTGTGTTCTCTATGCATGCTGGGAATAGACTGTGTCCACCATGTTTTGAAAGGCAGGAAGTAACTATGATGCAAAATCCTCTAGCTGTGGCAGAGACTTATAACAGGGGGCCAGTCCACTGTCCCTCAGACCTTGTGGGGGGCCAGGCTATATTTTGGAAGGGGAAAAAAAGAACAACGAATTCCTATGCCCCACAAATAACCCAGAGACGCATTTTAAATAAAAGGACACATTCTACTCATGTAAAAATACGCTGATTCCCAGACCGTCTGCAGGCCAGATTTAGAAGGCGATTGGGCCGGATCTGGCCCCCGGGCCTTAGTTTGCCTACCCATGACTTATAACCTCTCATTCATTTCACACACCTCAGATACTCTGCCCAAGAACCCCCCCCCCCCCATGGAAGCAGAATAGAACAACAGCATGTTGATGCTTGAAATGAAGAGTCACAAGACCCCGACTCACTTTGTAATCATAGCCGGTGCTGAAAAGGATGTTGCTCGCAGTTGGGTGCCATTCGATGAGGCCCACCCTTCGCGAATGACCAAGAAGCTCCTTCTGTGCATCTGTGATGTTTGTTGTGAGTAAGTGGTGAGGAATGTTCCAGACTTTAACCTAAGAGACACAGTAGTGCAGAGACTTTAAGCCAGCTCCGTTAATCAGCACCTGCCATTAGCAGCAGCAACCAGGACTAATAAGTCTTAATCAGTAGTTGAGGGTAAAGGAATGTGGGATGGAGAGATGGTTTGCAGGGGGTGGCAGAGGGGCAGGATCAATGCGCACCCAGTGCATATCCAACTCTCGCAGTCTAGGAATCCATCTTGTCCCTTGTTTCCACCATGTGGGCCACCAAGTGTATGCACAAACAAAGGTAACACCAAGTCAATAGAGATGTTCCATCTGCACAGTGAGAGCTGTGCTTTCCATTGCCCCCCCCCCCAAAAGGGGGGCAGGGTATCTGATCTGTCTCACTTCCTGCATTACTGCTTTAGGGTGGAAGCATCAAACCAGGACCTTAAGAAGTCTCAACTGAACTATTTATTTGCATTTCTCACCCTGCCTCCAAAGAATGGCATTCTGGCCTCGCAACAACCTTATGAACTCAGTCAAGTTAAACCTGGCTCTAACATCCAAACCTACTGCTCCAACAACAGTATCTCCTTGTTACTTTATCAGCTGTCCCTTGGAACCTTCCTAGCAAATGATGAGGCCTTTAGAACTAGTGTAAACATGTTGCGGCCCGGTCTCCATCATCATCAAAAACACCTTGATGCCTTTTGTGCTCCTACCTCTCTCTTGAATTCTGAATCACTAACCAGTGTTAAGCTCGCACCAGCATTTTCAGAGTGGTTACATCCACTCTACAGCAGGCAACCACAACCGGAAACATATCTGCTGGCTTTGGTTTGAGCTAACCATGGTTAGGGGGAGGCGGGTGGCGCTGTGGGTTAAACCACAGAGCCTAGGACTTGCTGATCAAAAGGTCGGCAGTTTGAATCCCCGCGACGGGGTGAGCTCCCGTTGCTCGGTCTCTGCTACTGCCAACCTAGCAGTTCGAAAGCACACCAGTGCAAGTAGATAAATAGGTACTGCTCTGGCAGGAAGATAAACGGCGTTTCCGTGCGCTGCTCTGGTTCGACAGAAGCAGCTTTGTCATGCTGGCCACATGATCCGGAAGCTGTACGCCGGCTCCCTCAGCCAATAAAGCGAGATGAGCGCCGCAACCCCAGAGTCGGCCACAACTGGACCTAATGGTCAGGGGTCCCTTTACCTTTAACCATGGTTAGAACAGTGCTGACTTAACACTAACTACAGCTATGAAAGGAAAGGGGGTGAGCCTATGGGATAATCTCGATCTTCTAACCATAGTTAGGAAACTGGGCAGCCTTCTGTCTGCACCTGACAGGGGTTATATCACTCCAGAGGTTCCCAAAACTTACAGTGGTATCTTCAGAGCATGAGGCTATTACAAAGTCATCGAAAGGGTTCCACTTAATGTCTAAAACATTCCCTTTGTGCCCACAGATGCGAGGGTAATGCGGGTCCAGTTTTCCTGTCTGGAAACAAACAGAAATATTTAGTTCCCAAACTGCAACGTCTCTGATAAGGCCTGTCAATCGACACAAAGCAAAACAGAACTCTCCAGTGTGTCTTGTCCTTCATGGTTTTATCTTGACCCCTTAATGTATCTGTCTCTTGGAGCCATTTCCTACCCATATTAAACCACCAGTATCAACAGTTGCCATAACTTGATTGTGTTCTCTTTTGCAGGGTTTGGATACAAACTACACAGACTAGGGGCTCCTTCAGATTATTTGTTTACTGAGCAGTCATCCTGAGTCGCTTGCACAAAGTTCTGTGGAAATTAGACTCATCCAGTCTTTATTGACCATTCATTCTGATTTGCTTGTGCAGGGTGTTTATACATCTTCCTGTGAATCATGTATTCATCCCACACTTTTCATTGCATTTCTCTGTCACTTTCCTAACTGCAAAAAGTCTGCTGCTGCTTCTTTTAATTAAAAAAGTAGATTCTTGTACTAGGGTGACAGAGTGCACTGATCCACGTTGATTCTGCAATGCTAAATTTCTTCTATGCACTTGAATCCCTCCCACAAAATACTGATAATCTGGAAGCAATCCAGTAGGGAAGGACTGAAAACAAAACACATACAAATTTAGGGCGAAGAAAAACATATTTTAGAGCAGCTAAGCCAGTCTGAGAATGCCCATATGTTTAATACAAGCACTTATATTTTTCTCTCCTAAGGCAAGCTTTCTGCCAGTTTCCAGCATAGCTGATTTGAAATGGAGCTGTGAGTGGTGCCTATTGGCTAGTTTCTGTGACGCCACAAATGTCACACACACCCCTCAATTCCTGATTTACTTTCACAACTTTTTTTTGAACATTTGAGGTTTGTTTGGGGTTTTTTGGATGGTGAAGGATGGACATTTAAATGAATAACCATGTATGTGTGGCTTAGGGGAAAAGACAGACCTGATGTATGAAGGAAGAGGGAAAATGATGACAAATTCAGCATGGAACCAGCTGGAATATATTCTGTAATGGGTAGGTTGCAAAGCTAGACTCCCAATACAGATTAAGAACCTGCAATAACTGCATCTTACGTGTGTTTTCAAATACTACCCAGAAACAGCAAAGGAGAGAGGCTCTTGCACAGGAGTTTCCTTCATCTCAAACAGTATGAATGTGGTTGTGATGTGCAACCCTGCTTGCAACACACACTGAGGATGGGAAGCATATTTCCATTTGCATTGCAACGTAGATAGGAAATGCAAATTTCCAACCGCTGTTGTGGGCTGGGTATATGTATTTGCTGTGCCTCTATCTGGACTGGAGTCTTAAAATGGCCTCTTAACCTTACAGAGAGCTGAGCTAAAAGACATTTTTCTTATTGTATATATTTTCACCACAAGGGGTCTGTAGCAGACAGGTGTTTTGAGGGGCACTGTAAAGGTTAGAGAGGATTATACTAAATACAGTGGTGCCTCGCAAGACGAAATTAATTTGTTCCGCGAGTTTTGTCGCCTTGCGATTTTTTCGTCTTGCGAAGCACGGTGTCGGGAAAGTTTTGGAAAAGCTTCAAAAATCACCAAAGTCTTTAAAAACCTCAAAAGGCTACCACACCGCGTTCTATGAGTTGCTCCTCGAAGTCAAGTCGCAACTGTATTAACGGTGTTAAGAAAAAGGAAACAAACTTGCAAGACATTTCCGTCTTGCGAAGCAAGCCCATAGCGAAAATCGTCTTGCAAAGCAGCTCAAAAAACAAAAAACCCTTTCGTCTAGCGAGTTTTTTTTCTTGCGAGGCATTCGTCTTGCGAGGTACCACTGTATGTAAGTAAGATTCTGTTGTTGCAGACCATGGTCCTTTGGCTTATAACATATATCTATTACATAAAGGAAACACAGGTGATGTTTGGAGGACCAAGATATTAATACACCCACTTTCGGCCACACCACCACTGTTATACAACCCTCAAAAGGTTTTCCCCAGGGTGAAAAATGGTTAGTAAACCCTGTCTTAAAGGGGCAATAACCAATTAAGAGTGCTTTTGGAGAACATCTAAAGAGCTATTATAGCTACGTGAAAACGTGAGGAGGGTTTGAAATATGAGCAAGAGAAGAAACACATTAAGGCTAATCACTTAGGATGTACATATGGAGTGTTATAAGTTAAAATATGCAACATTAAAGATAAACATAGAACCCCATGGGGGATGGGAAGTCAATGGATAAATTAAAGATATTATTGATGCTAAAGTATGAACACTTTTGAAAACAAAATACATCTTTTTTTTAAAAAGAGTGCTTTTTGGAATAGTCATTCAGTCCAATCACCCTGTGAATGTGTTGTCCAAAACCAGCCCCAGAATTACATACATTTACAAAAGGAACCATTCGTGACTTTATCCTGGATGACAACCTTTTGGATATTCCTATAGCTCTATCACCATCTTTAGAACAAGAATTGGTGGCAAGTGGTTTAAGTCCTCAGTCTGGCCCCCAGCAGAGCCTCATATCCCACGGACCCTCTCCTAAAAATATGGCTTTCTCTTATGAAAACCAATACATCTGCAAAGGGCTCACCAAGCAAGTCAGGATGAGTGGGAAAGGCAAAAGGGCTCTTTAAGCCCCCTTCAACCTGCAACAACAAGCTCTTCCAGAGGAGTCCTGGTGTTTGTATGGGCAGGGAGGAGGTCCCAGACAGTTCTTCTGCAACTCAGCAGTGCGTGAGCCGCAAGCAAAATGAACCCATGCAGTGCAAAAGGAGTTTATATGGGGTTTGTGTGCATGTGTGTAAATGAGCCCTTTGCCCTAGTTCCCAGTTCATGAGAGAGAGCGTCAGTAGATAGATCCAATACTGTTGGCCTTTCAGTCACTTTGGTTTTCAACCAGTGTGGCACCCTGGGGTGCCTTGAAGGACGGTCAGGGGTGCCGTGGGCAACACTGGCCTCTGTCCCTCTTTCCCTCCCTCCCTCCTCTGATGCCCTCTCACATCTCTGCCTCCCAAAGGCTTGCACAGCTGTTTGTTGCAGCAGCCCTGGCTACAAGCTCCGCAGGCGAATGGTGCCTCTGTGACTGGCCAGGGGGTGCTTCCCAGGCCCCTGTGGGGCAGTGTGAGGAGGCACCTCTCTTTGGGGCAGGGGGGCAGCTCACAGACCAGGGGCGGCAGCTACGGCTGCCCAGAGGACTCCCAAGGAGAGGGGAGAGGAGGTTGAGGGAACACTTTACAAGGGAGGGTGTCTGAAAAAGGATGAGAAGTTGCCAGCTCTGCAGACAAGGGGTGGCATTACTGGGCTCCTGGGCCCCACAGGGGTGCCACAAGAGAGCCGTGGGCTCAAAGAGGTTGAAAACCTCTGCCTTACTCCAAATATGCTCCTCTGTTAAAATGAATGGGCCATTTGGGCTTTAGGAGGTTCCATTGCCCACCGAAACGTACAAACACACAAAACCAGCTACACCTGTCAGTATGGTGGTACTTACCTGATTTACTGGTATTACAAGAAAGGCTCCTCCACCGGCACATTCGGTCACAACAGCAACGAAATGCGGGTTCACAGCGCAGAAGTGATTGTCGTGAACACTGCGGGTGATAGGCACACAGTCATAGCACTTCTCCTTACTGGCTGCCTTGCCGTAAACATGGCGGAATTTTGAACTCCGGTACTGAGGGGACCATGACATCTGCAATGAACACAGAGAACGGAACCATGAAGCCACCTGACCGTTCGAGATTTCAGATTCAAATGAGGACACTCTTGTATATGTAAGGTAACAGGTAAAGGGCCCCTGGATGGTTAAGTCTAGTCAAAGGCGACTATGGGGTTGAGGTGCTCATCTTGCTTCAGGCCGAGAGAGCCGGCGTTTGTCCACAGCCAGCTTTCCAGATCATTTGGCCAACATGACTAAACCGCTTCTGGCGCAACGGGACACCGTGACGGAAACCAGAGCGCACGGAAAAGCCGTTTACCTTGCCGTCGCAGTGGTAACTATTTATCTACTTGCACTTGTGTGCTTTCAAACTGCTAGTATGTATATGTATTTATATGCATCCCAGCAAACCCTTGGTGAATTGAGCGCTTCCCCTGCATGCAAAGACAAGCTCCGGTGGATTGAACAGATGAGACTAATGGTGGGTCCAACAGTCAAGAAGGTAGTTTCTGCACACGCTGTAGAGGAAAGTGAGGGGCAGGTGGGGCTTGTCAACCTGAGAAAGCAGCCCATCTAGGAGAAGGAAAACTCTCATACGAAACCTCCGCCACCTTGCGGGCTATCGGGAGAAGAAAAGGCTAAGGAGTAAACCAATGGTAGGCAAACTAAGGCCTGGGGGCCGGATCTGGCCCAATCGCCTTCTAAATCCGGCCTGCAGATGGTCCAGGAATCAGCATGTTCTACATGAGCAGAATGTGCCCTTTTATTTAAAATGCATCTCTGGGTTATTTGTGGGGCCTGCCTGGTGTTTTTACATGAGTAGAATGTGTGCTTTTATTTAAAATGCATCTCTGGGTTATTTGTGGTGCATAGGAATTCGTTCATTTTTTTCAAAATATAATCCGGCCCCCGACAAGGTCTGAGGGACAGTGGACCGGCCCCCTGCTGGAAAAGTTTGCTGACCCCTGGAGTAAACCCTACACAAATCCAGAGTTGAGTCCCTAAGACACTTGAGTGGCGCCTTATAGGCCTACTTCTTGCAACTCCTGCAGCTAAGCCAGTGCCAAGCATATCGCTCTGCTTTCCTTTAGACCACATCAGTGAGGCTGAGAGGTCTTGTCGTCTGTGCAGTCCAGGACCTCCAGACACACTGCCAAGGCTTGCGCCCCAGGGAGCTCACTTCAGTGCCGCTAACACAGTGGTTTGACTTCACTCCATTGTCTCGAGACAGACGGATGCCAGCAATATAATATGTATACATGGGAATTCCTTGTAGATGACTGAAAAGAGTAAGTCAGGTTGTGTACCCACAGCAATGCCCGAGGGGGAATGACTGTTGGGAGGAGTGCAGAAAGAAGCAATGCCATGGCACACCTGCAGAAGCACAGCTGGACACCTACAACTACCCCACCTGCAACAAAACATGTCTCTTCTGTATTGGTCTCTACAGCCACAGAAGGCACTGTAGCTGCCCAGTGGTTTGACTTCCAGTGGTATGATTCTTCCATTGTCTCCCGAGACAGACGGATGCCTATTCTTACATCAATTATCACTGCCTGTCTGTCTCACACACTCACATTCTAGCACACTGTTGAACATTCTTCCCTGATTACTGTCTATCCATTTATCCTGTCTACCCTGTTGTTGTGTTGTTGTTTAGTCATTTAGTCGTGTCCGACTCTTCGTGACCCCATGGACCAGAGCACGCCAGGCACTCCTGTCTTCCACTGCCTCCCGCAGGTTGGTCAAACTCATGCTGGTAGCTTCGAGAACACTGTCCAACCATCTCGTCCTCTGTCGTCCCCTTCTCCTTGTGCCCTCCATCTTTCCCAGCATCAGGGTCTTTTCCAGGGAGTCTTCTCTTCTCATGGGGTGGCCAAAGTATTGGAGCCTCAGCTTCAGGATCTGTCCTTCCAGTGAGCACTCAGGCCTGATTTCCTTAAGAATGGAGAGTTTGGATCTTCTTGCAGTCCATGGGACTCTCAAGAGTCTCCTCCAGCACCATAACTCAAAAGCATCCATTCTTCGGCGATCAGCCTTCTTTATGGTCCAGCTCTCACTTCCATACACCACTACTGGGAAAACCATAGCTTTAACTATACGGACCTTTGTTGGCAAGGTGAGTTGGCTTTTTAAGCAGTTGTGTTAAACTGAGGTTGCAATCCCATGCATGCTTACTTGAGTGTAAGCCAAACTGAACACAATGGGAATTCTTCCAAAGGACTTTCCCCCAACTTTCATAGGCTAGATTTCCTATTTGTTTATTTATTTTTTAAATTACAAATGTTTGATAGAACGTTTACTCCCACAATGGATCTGGTTTTTAAATATTATAGAGTAGCTGCAGCTCAGATGCACCAGCAACATTTGCTTTCTGGATAGGCAGTTACAGGGAGGGGGATGCAGAAGGCAAGTTAATGAATACCAGGGCACATGTATGTATTGCAGGTCAAAAATGCCCCTCAAAAATTCCCCCTAAAGGAAAGCAGGGACAAAACGGGGGCAGAGATTAAGGATAGATACCAGAAAACAGTCTGATTAGCCAACTCTCCCTAGTTAATAAAGACAATTAGAGCACATGTACCAAACTAAATTAGCAGGGCAAAGGGGAGCAGTGATCTGAGGCAGAAAATTTTCCATTTCATAAGTCCATTCGTAACAATGAATTCCAATTACAAATAAAGTATTTGGCCGGCTTGGCAGTTTCAAAGCTTTTAGCTTTGGTTGCTAAAACAAGGAAAACAATCATGCTGAATTAGATCATTCTCCAGGACATCAAATAATTTCCCAATGCAAATTACCCTAAATTTTTCCAATTCATTTTTTAAATAGAAAACCCACATCACCGTTGAGGAGACAGGCATACTATTAAACTCTTTCAATAGTGGCCCCCCAAAACCAGCTTCCTCTTGGCTTCACAATCAGAATAAGATGGAAATGCCAGCAGACCTTATTCTCCTGTCATCGGTCATTGCAGTGATTTTTTGGGTTTTTTAAACAAAACTTTAAAAAGCTCAAAACTGCTCTGGGGATTGGAAAGAAGAGGCTTCTTGATGACATCGTGGGTGCCTGCCAATCAGAGCTTCTGCAGTCAGTTTGCAGAATTGTGGTTCCCACCCATCTCCCTTCAGGACTTGACCTTGAACAGAAAAGTTCCTTTTGCACTGAATGCAAAACTTCCAAACTGACGCCACTACTTGGGGGAAAAAATGTTATGTGTATCTCCACCTTCAGTCTGTTTCGTTTTGAGTTTCTGATGAGTCAGATTGAAGGTGGGAAACTACATGGTTCAGACAGCTGGCCTGGTCCAGGAGGGCAATTCTTAAATTTTTATGCCAATAATAATAATTTTATTACTTATACCCGCCCATCTGGCTGGGTTTCATGCTTAGCTCATTTAGGAACAGTTTCATGGGATGCTGCTACAATGGGATGCTGCTGCTGTCGAATGAATTCTTCATCACTCCCCCCCTCAAATAATGCAAACATTGTAAGAGAGTAAAGGTAAAGGTAAAGGGACCCCTGACCATTAGGTCCAGTCGTGACAGACTCTGGGGTTGCGGCGCTCATCTCGCTTTACTGGCCGAGGGAGCCGGCGTACAGCTTCCGGGTCATGTGGCCAGCATAACTAAGCCGCTTCTGGCGAACCAGAGCAGCGCACGGAAACGCCGTTTACCTTCCTGCCGGAGCGGTACCTATTTATCTACTTGCACTTTGATGTGCTTTCAAACTACTAGGTTGGCAGGAGCTGGGACCGAGCAACGGGAGCTCACCCCGTCGCGGGGATTCAAACCGCCGACCTTCTGATCTGACCTTCTGATCGGCAAGTCCTAGGCTCTGTGGTTTAACCCACAGCGCCACCTGCGTCCCGTTAAAAAGAGTAGAAATAACCAAAATACAGCCATGAACTACCAAGCCTTATGCAGCCCACCAGTCACATATTATGGCCTGCCAGGTGTGTGTGGCAAATCCTTCCTGCTTTCATTCTAAACAGCAGGTTTATCAGGCTCCTGGTGAGCCACCATACATTCACAGCAAGCTATGAAGATTTACCCCAACATCAAACCTTAAAACATCATTACTGGCGCATAAAATAACCCAGGAAAGAACTGCATTTAATGCTAGCCCAATGGCCCCCAAAGCCTGGCAAAGCTTTTACTAGACTTCTCGAAGACCCAACAGAATGGACTCGTCGACAGTCCCGTCCCCATTCCAGGAGGAAATTTTGGAAGAAGGTGCCATGACCAAAAGGTCCCTGCTCCTTGCAGTCTCTCACTTTACCACTCATAGTGAGTTTTCTGGAGCAGAGGACTCACTTGATGAACTGAGCATATGGAGCTGTTAAGAAGGTTTTATGGCAGTTTTTCCTCAACCTCGAGTCCTTAGCTGTTGTTGGACTACAACTCCCATCATCCCTGTCCACTGGTCCTGCTAGTGGGGTGCAGGAAGAGGATGCTAGCGAGGGGTGTAGCCATGACTGGGACCCACCGGGGCAAGCCGGGTATGGGAAAGGTGAGGTTGGGATTGTGGGAAGTATTAATGGGGTGACAGAGGTAGGCAAGGAGGTGGGGGTCAGTGTGCAGTGGCCAGAGGAACAGGACCCTTCATCATAGCCAGAGGACCCCCCGTCTCCACAAACAAGGTGGGCCCTGAAGCATAGGAGCGGCGGGAGGTACGCTCTGGCAAGGCAAGGACACACACTAGCTGGCCAGAAGGGGCTCATTAGCTCTTATAATAATAGTTTATTATTTATAGCCCTCCCATCTGGCTGCATTTTCCCAGCCACTCTGGGCGGCTTCCAACTGAATATTAAAAACAATACAGCATCAGACATTAAAACTTCCCTAAACAGGGTAGCCTTCAGTTGTCTTTTAAAAGTAAAATAGTTGTTTATTGCCTTGACATCTGCTGGGAGGGCGTTCCACAGAGCAGGCGCCACCACCGAGAAGGCCCTCTGCCTGGTTCCCTGTAACCTCACTTCTCGCAGCGAGGGAACCGCCAGAAGGCCCTCGGCGCTGGACCTCAGTGTCTAGGCTGGATGATGGGGGTGGAGACGCTCCTTCAGGTATACAGGACCGAGGCCGTTTAGGGCTTTAAAGGTCAGCACCAACACTTTGAATTGTGCTCGGAAACGTACTGGGAGCCAATGAAAATCTTTCAGGACTGGTGTTATGTGGTCTTGGCGGCCACTCCCAGTCACCAGTCTAGCTGCTGCATTCTGGATTAATTGCAGTTTCCGAGTCACCTTCAAAGGTAGTCCCACGTAGAGCGCATTGCAGTAGTCCAAGCGGGAGATAACTAGAGCATGCACCACTCTGGCGAGACAGTCTGCGGGCAGGTAGGGTCTCAGCCTGCGTACCAGATGGAGCTGGGAGGAGGGATGTGGTTTCTCAAGTAGATTAAGCTCAACACAGGTGATGGTCACATGCTTCGCCAAGCCCAGGTGCTACCATCAAAACTCAAGGGAGGTAAGGGGAGCAGAGCTGAGGTGCTCTGTCTGCTCAACTGCCCATGGTGGTGGACTTCGGCTTGGATGCTCCAAGATCTCTGCTGGGACTGTGCTTTGGGTTTGACTCTGGACTGCATTTCTTGACTGTTGGACTTTGGCCCAAGGGACTTGCCCATACGTGGCTGTGCTTTAGTTCTTGCCTGGAGGGTCATATTTTGCTCCCAAGCCTAAGGTGACTCTACTTCAGGCATAGGCAAACTCGGCCCTCCAGATGTTTTGGGACTACAACTCCCATCATCCCTGACCACTGGTCCTGTTAGCTAGGGATGATGGGAGTTGTAGTCCCCAAAACACCTGGAGGGCCGAGTTTGCCTATGCCTGCTCTACTTCTACGTACTATCAATTTATGCTTCTCCTTTGCACGGTCAGTAGTGTTGGCCTGCCTTTAAGACACGTTTGTTTATCTTGGCCTTCAGATGACAATTGTTGTCATGAGCCTTCTATTCCTTTCCTGCTAGAATAGCAATTTGACTGCTTTTAGTTCAAACTTAATTTAGATTTGTTTTCAGTTGTATCTATTTTCTATTGCATGCTGCCTTGGACTCCTTCAGGAGAAAGCAGAGGGGAGAAGTAAGAATAAGAAGCAATTTACCGTGCTAATTCCCAAAACAGTTTTTGCTGGATGGCCATCTGTCATAAAGTGTCTCCACCCCCATCGTTCAGCCCGGACACTGAGGTCCAGCTCCGAGGGCCGCCTGGCAATTCCCTCACTGCAAGAAGTGAAGCTACAGGGAACCAAACAGAGGGCCTTCTCAGTGGTGGCGCCCGCCCTGTGGAACACCGTCCCATCACATGTCAAGGAAATAAATCACTATCTGACTTTTAGAAGACGTCTGAAGGCAGCCCTGTTTAGGGAAGTTTTTAATGTTTGGTGTTTTATCGTGTTTTTAATATTCTGCTGGGGGCCACCCAGAGTGGCTGGGGAAAACCAGCCAGATGGGTGGGGTATAAATAAACAAACAAATTGTTGTTGTTGTTGTTGTTGTTGTTGTTGTTGTTATGCTTTAGTTGAGATTCCTGCATTGCAGGGGGTTGGACCAGATGACCCTCAGGATCCCTTCCAATTCTACAATTCTATGATTCTAGGGTTTTTAAAAAGCCAGCATCTTGAACCGTGTTTGAAAACTGACAGGCAACCAGTAAAGATGTTACAATACAGTGGTACCTTGGGTTACAGACGCTTCAGGTTGCAGACTCCGCTCACCCAGAAATAGTACCTTGGGTTAAGAACTTTGCTTCAGGATGAGAACAGAAATCGAGCGGCGGCAACGGGAGGCCCCATTAGCTAAAGTGCTACCTCAGCTTAAGAACAGTTTCAGGTTAAGAACGGACCTCCAGAACGAATTACCGTATTTTTCGCTCTATAAGACGCACCAGACCATAAGACGCACTTAGTTTTTGGAGAAGGAAAACAAGGGAAAAAATATTCTGAATCCCAGAAGCCAGAACAACAAGAGGGATCGCTGCGCAGTGAAAGCAGCAATCCCTCTTGCTGTTCTGGCTTCTGGGATAGCTGCGCAGCCTGCATTCGTTCCATAAGACGCACACACATTTCCCCTTACTTTTTAGGAGGGAAAAAGTGAGTCTTATAGAGCAAAAAATACGGCAAGTTCGTAACCAGAGGTACCACTGCACAGGTATCATATGCCATATGCTCTATGCAGCTGACTCAGCCAACTGTCAGGCAGCTGCACTTTTGGACCAACTGAGCAGTTCAAGTAAGGCAGCCTTGAAAGGCAGCCACACAGAGAGCACATTGCAAAAAAATTGAACCAGGAAGCTAGCAGAGAATGTAAGGCAGCTGCCAGGTCCTTCCGAGGGCAAAGCAGAAATGCATACCATGATGCTTAAAAAGATCAAAAAAATCAAAAGCATATTGTGACTTGAAGAGGTCAAGTACTTTGCCAAGCAGAGCCGGAGGCTAAGCTCAAACATCTCTCTTAATCCCGCTGTACGCAGTGTGACTGTGAATAGGTGATCCTTTACACAGCAAAAAGGAATTTAACCATCAGATTTCCTGGCACTAAACGGAGAAGAGATGGTTATCTCTCCTTCAGAAAGTAGGAGGCTGTTTGCCCCTAAGCACTGTAGACATGTTTTTGCCAAATTATCTGCATATATGTTTGTTTATATCAGTGTAGTCTAGAAGCCCATTAAAAGGGAGGATGTGTTGCTACATCGCTGCACGCTGGGAAAGTTTCCAGGCATCGGCAATATGTCACAAATAACTAGGAGGAGGGATGTGTGGGTAAGCCGGCTAGTGTTTGTTGGTTGTTGTTGTTGTCTCGCGGGCTAGCAACTTTTGTAGACTTATTTGCACAGCTGTATGAGAAAGAGGGGAAGAGAAGAGAAAAAGGGGAGGAATGTATATGAAAACACAGCAGGAAGGAAAACTGCTCATCTCTCTCTCTCTCTCTCTCTCTCTCTCTCTTACCAAGGTCTATTTGTTTGTTTGCTGCTGTTTCTAAAAGCACTCACTTTCTCTGTTAAATGCACCAGCCCCTTCCACTATCTCATTGTTGATTTACAGGACGAATATTCCTCCCAGAAGAATGCCATGATTCTACAGTTCCCTACTCCAAAATATAAGGGACACGTGCCGATCAGAAGGTCGGCGGTTCGAATCCCGCGACGGGGTGAGCTCCCGTTGCTTGGTCCCTGCTCCTGCCAACCTAGCAGTTCAAAAGCACGTCAAAGTGCAAGTAGATAAATAGGTACTGCTCTGGCGGGAAGGTAAACAGCGTTTCCGTGCGCTGCTCTGCTCTGGTTCGCCAGAAGCGGCTTCGTCATGCTGGCCACAGGACCCGGAAGCTGTACGCCGGCTCCCTTGGCCAATAAAGCGAGATGAGTGCCGCAACCCCAGAGTCGGCCACGACTGGACCTAATGGTCAGGGGTCCCTTTACCTTTACTCCAAAATATGGCACTGATCATGCCCTGAAGGCTTAAGTCTCTCCATATTTTTCCATCCTAGCCTTGAAGAGCTGCTGGCTCTCTAACCACCTCCATTCTTCCTTCCAGATCCTGGGAACGTGGCAGGTGGTACCACATGTCCGAATGTCCCATCACATCAAGAGATCCCTGCTTATGGAAAACTAGCAAGTCAGGGAAGAGGTCTGCTCCCTGAAGAGCTAGTTTTCTGTAGGCCAAAAGGAAGCAAAACCAAATCAAAACACCGCAAGATTACAGAACTATGGCCCCTTTCTTAAAACAACCAACCAGAAAATGGATATAACGGGTTAAACAGAAGTAAAGTTAAGATTTGGTTACACTACTCTGTACGTTTGGTAGCCTTTTCGCCCATTTTAGTCACTGGTGTTCTAAGCATGTGAAAATGTTTTTGAATGATAACATTTCAGCTCATTATTTCTCTTTTTTTTTTCACCTTGGAAAGTAGATCCACAGCATGCTATTTATTTTGCACAGGCAAGTGAAATTTGAGACAAGTACATTGTAGATTAGTCTTCAAAATTGCCAAGAGGTTATGCTAAGGTTGCCTTTCCATTCCTTCCTTTGTCGCTCTCCCTTTCCTGGCTTCCCTCACACTTAAAAAATACAAACCGTAAGCTCCTCAGGGCAGAGACTTGTCTTTCTGGCTTGTGTTGCACCAGGCCTGTACAACGTGTGATCCATCAAGCCAAACAACACTCCACAACCAGAGCAATAAACTTCCTGGGTTTGCTTTTGCTGTGCAACTTAGAGGGCAAGTTATTAGGCTATTGGCAAGTCACAATACATAGCTGAGAGGGTTGGCGGCGAGAGTCAGGAACTGTCTGGCTTGCCCAAGTGCCTTTTAAACCAAATGATGTGCAGAATTCACCATCTGACTGCAGCTCCTCATAGCATGGGGAATAAACAATATCACCTGCTAATGACTGCAGATCAAGTTGTTCCTCAAGGCCCAAGAGCAGGCCAGGCAGGATTTCCCCCAGCCATATATTGTGAGCTGACAGCTTGCCCTGGCTCTTTCAGCGTCAGGCGGGAAGCAAAACCAGGAAGCTTGAACATTGCGCCAGAGGGCTGCCTATATTAGTGGTGGACCACAAATTGTGCAAGCCGGCATTACATTGTACGGCGCTAAATGCATAAACAATGAAAACATTTCCCCCCCCCTAAACCACTTACCTTTCATTTATTTGCAATCTGTTTCCAACAAATTAAGCTTTTCGAGGAGATCCAGCAAGTTATTGTTCTGTCGCTTGTGTGAAAATAAATTTTAAAAAAGGCTGACGGGTTTTTGTTTGTTTCTGTTACTGACAAGAAAACGAAGGGAAAGAACCAGGAAAAGAGGTAAGTTCAGCAACCCATGCTGACTGCACACGTCTGCCCTCAGCCTGCGCCGTCAGGTGTGCATATGGAGGAACAAAACAATGAAATTGGAACCTGAAACCTTGTCCGGTTGGGCGTGGCCATCATTGCCTCCCTGCCAGTCAGGTGAATCAGCTCTGTGTACAGTCTCTGCATGTTTACCTGTGACCTCAGGGTATCAGTTACCTACCCTCAGTCTGTTTGGTTAACCTGCTTGAGGGCACCGCCAAAGCTTAAGTATAATGCTCAAGGGCTTCCACTAACACAGATTTCTCCTCAAGACAGAGGCACACATTGGCCTAACCAGTTTCCTGTATGTCGCAGGCTCCGATTTTCTTTATTTTCTCTTCCGTTTTTATTTCCCTTTTCCGATACTGCCAAAGGCAGAAGCAGAATTTAAGCAAGATATACTCCCTTAATGCAGGCGTGGGGAACTTTATTTCACCCTGGGGGCCATATTCTATTATAAATAGCCAAGCCAGCGGTTGGCAGGTCTTGAGGCCAAAGTGGAAAAAAAAACACCAAGATATCAGTGCCATGAGTTCGAACCCACGTTGGGCCATTGCAGGGGGTTGGACCAGATGACCCTTGTGGTCCCTTCCATACAATTCCATAATACCACTTTACTACTTCCACAAAGACTCATGGGAGCTGTAGTTTGTTAAGGGTGCCTGGAGTTTTCAGGCTGCCCCTCAAAGAGCTGGAATTTTCGGAGTGGTTTAACGGTTGACCCTTATTTTCCACTTTTGGACTTATCAAAATTGCAAAAGAACTTATTTACGTATGCAACTACGGCCGCACGGACTCTACTAGCACAACACTGGAAAGAAGAAGGTGTCCCAACTAAAGAAGACTGTCAAGTTCAATCAATGGAATATGCTGAAATGGCAAAAGTGACAATGAAATTAAGAAGCAGAGATGACAATGAATTTAAGGAAGAATGGAAGATGTTTATTGCATATACAGTGGTACCTCGGGTTACATATGCTTCAGGTCACATAGGCTTCAGGTTACAGACTCCGCTAACCCAGAAATAGTACCTCAGGGTAAGAACTTTGCTTCAGGATGAGAACAGAAATCGTGCTCTGGCGGCAGCGGGAGGCCCCATTAGCTAAAGTGGTACTTCAGGTTAAGAACAGTTTCAGGTTAAGAACGGACCTCCGGAACGAATTAAGTACTTAACCCAAGGTACCACTGTATTTCTGGGTTAGTGGAGTCTGTAACCTGAAGCATCTGTAACCCGAGGTACCACTGTGTGTTCAAGCCGTCTTGCTCAGGTGAGCAACCTGGCTGCTGAAGTTTCCGAACTATCTTCAGAGGCAACCCTACCTACAACGTATTGCAGTAATCTAACCTTGAGGTTACATTGCCATTAGACTCTTCTCACAGACAGACACAGATCTTCCTTTTACTAACCTAGGATGATGCAAGCCTCTGCTGGCAGAAAGATGCTGACTTTGTAGTCAGTGCGGATTTGCTGAACAGGACGTTTTACGCACAGTCAGCAAGCTGGCCCTCTCCTTTCTGGAGAGGGCTAGGCGGCTGTCCTGCCCTAACACACAGGGAGTTTCGCCGAACCGCCATCCAGTCCAGACACTGTACTTATTCTCAGTTACTTCCCAACAGTACTTCCTCTTCCCTGTGTCTTGCCTTCATTTGACAGGGCATATGAACTGTCCCTGCATGATGTATGAGAAATATACCGTATTTTTCGCTCTATAAGACGTACCAGACCATATGACGCACCTAGTTTTTGGAGGAGGAAAACAAGAAAAAAATATTCTGAATCTTAGAAGCCAGAACAGCAAGAGGGATCGCTGCGCAGTGAAAGCAGCAATCCCTCTTGCTGTTCTGGCTTCTGGGATAGCTGCGCAGCCTGCATTCGCTCCATAAGATGCACACACATTTCCACTTACTTTTTAGGAGGGGAAAAGTGAGTTTTATAGAGCAAAAAATACGGTAAGTCACGTTGTGGTTTCAGATAACTGCTTAGCTTTAGGTTGCCTCTGTTAGGGCAACCCAGGCAATTTCTATAACAAAGCAGCAAATAATTATATTCATTCAGTGTTCCTGCAGCTTTATGATCTTTTGGACCTGTCAACACCAAAAATCAGGTGAAGTCAATCCAATGTCATGTTTCCGTCCACCACCTTGATTCAAAATGGTAAGTGACATCCAAACAGTGGCAAAGACCCTGACCCCGCTTCAGGAACCCTTGTGTTGGAATGTTCAAGGAGGCAGGAGAGGATATCTTGTTTAACGTTATCCTTCCTAACTTGCACTAGCAAGTTCTGTCACTTAGCAGAGTTTTACATTTCCCTTCTAAATGCACGGCAGGTAGGTCTTGCAGGCTTGTTTAAGCCTCTCTATCAGATTCCTGGTAATCCCTCTTATATCCTCCTTAAAAGAATAAACACACCACAATCTTGTGTAAAGTACCGTATTTTTTGCTCTATAAGACTCACTTTTTCCCTCCTAAAAAGTAAGGGGAAATGTGTGTGCGTCTTATGGAGCGAATACAGGCTGCGCAGCTATCCCAGAAGCCAGAACAGCAAGAGGGATTGCTGCTTTCACTGCACAGCGATCCCTCTTGCTGTTCTGGCTTCTGAGATTCAGAATATTTTTTTTCTTGTTTTCCTCCTCCAAAAACTAGGTGCGTCTTGTGGTCTGGTGCGTCTTATAGAGCGAAAAATACGGTATATAAAAGAAAATTACTCACACATTCAGTTCACAGATGGATCCCTGAAGGCAGACATAGTTACAAAGTATATACATGTGAGTCTGTCCCATATGGAGATAGTCCCTTTGTTTGCTGAAAGCCAACAGAGCATCTCTAGCTAAAAAGCTGCTGGTCCTATGATGGAGGAAGCCGAAGAGAAAAGAGAGGGAGGATGCTGTATGCCTAGTGCTTTTGTTACCTGCACAGGTACTGTAAGGTCACGCCCACCGCTAGTCACTATCACGGTCTGGTTCACGGGCAATCGAAGTCCCAGCTGAGGACGTCGGGACCGGGGGCATGTTGGCGGGGTTGGAGCAGGAATGGGAGTCCAGAAGCCAGGAGTCAGAAAGCCAAGAGTCCGAGGGTCAGGAAGCAAGGAGTCACAAAGTCAAGGGTCTGAGGAGCAAGAAGTAACTGTCGGTTCGCAAGCCCCCTCCACAGAGGCTGGCTCCTCTCACAGTTCCCGGAGCTTGCTTACCGGTAACCTCCTCTGGCTGACTTCCCGGACAGACCAGGGAGATATTGATAGGCGACATTTTCCAAGAGTGGGTAAAATGCACACCCCCTCCTCCTGCTTCCACAGGGGAAAGAAAAGTAGTCAGAAATCTATTTACCGTATTATTCGCTCTATAAGACGCACCAGACTATAAGACGCACCTAGTTTTTGGAGGAGGAAAACAAGAAAAAAAAATATTCTGAATCTCAGAAGCCAGAACAGCAAGAGGGATCGCTGCGCAGTGAAAACAGCAATCCCTCTTGCTGTTCTGGCTTCTGGGATAGCTGTGCAGTCTGCATTCGCTCTATAAGATGCACACACATTTCCCCTTACTTTTTAGGAGGGAAAAAGTGAGTCTTATAGAGCAAAAAATACGGTATATAAGCTGTCAGAAAATTCATCTGAGACCCAAATACAGCAGATTTTGTGGTTTAATCATAGAATTGTAGAGTTGGGAGGGACCCTGAGGATCATCTAGTCCAACCCTCTGCAATGCAGGAAAATGCAGCTCTCCCATACGGGGATCGAACCTGCAACCTTGGCATTATCAGCACCACGTGAGCTTATCCCACTGAACTATCCAGGCTATCGATATCAATCCTCATCTTGTCCTTTTAACTGCTTCCTACCATGCAGGGACAACAGCAAACACCAATAACTGAATCATCTTTGTTTCTTCTTGGGTGCAAATTTGCAAAGGGGGGCGGGGAACAGTTCCCCTGTGACAATGCCGGCTGTTGCAACCACTGCTCTAGAGGAAAGGCATTGAAAGCATTGCATGATTCACCATTACTTAACAGAGACTGATTCCACTAGCTGACAAATGCCCCCTGCTGGTCAATATCACTGTGTACAAAAATAATCCCCTTCAAAATGTAATATTTTACAAGTTTCTGCTTCCTGGGGAGAGCTTTCCAAAGGTCAGGCTTTGCTTTCTTGTTTGATGCCTTAAAGTGGCTCCTATAACCAAGCCATTATGTGCAAAGGCAGAACAGGCAATAAGCACAGATGTACCGACAAACGGTGCCTGTAGTGCAAAGCATTATTGGAAGCAACGCAAAGACTGGACCCCTAGAGCTCCAAAATGTCTAACACTACCCTTAATTTATCTTCCCAAAGTCAAGCTGTCTCTTGCAATGCTTCCTGCCAAAGGAGGTTAGCCCCGGTGTCTTGTAAGAGATGATGACACACAAGAGTCCAGGACGGTGTTTCCTGTTTTCGGACTATAGTTCCCATCATCCCTGACCACTGGTCCTGCTAGCTAGGGATGATGGGAGTCATAATCCAAAAACAACTGGTGACCCATGCTATAAAATACCCAGAGAATGGAGACTGTTCTGCAAAACAGAATAGCATGGTCATTATCACAATTTGTGTTTTTGTATCTGTGCGGGAAGCAATTGAAAATAAGTACAATTTTACTAAACCTGTTATGGGCTGAAAAAACCTATTATGGGCTTTGCTTCACCTAGGTCGAGCTAGGATTATAATACTTCAGAATTTTTGGGAGTTTTATCCCCTTTCTTTGAACTTGGTCATTTAAGGTTTATGACTTCTCTATTTCCTTCTGAGGAAACTGAACAGTTCAGTGAAACGAGGTTTGTAGCCGGCATCCCGTTAAGGCTTTGTTCAATTCTAGGTTTTTCTAATTTTTTCCCTTAAACTTTTTGATTTTTATTATTTAGTTTATTTCTATAAGATAATGTTTCTAGTCGATTACTTCTCGTTTCAGGGATTTTCACAGTATTTCATTTATTCAGTAGCGTTTGTCTGAACATTGAGGTTCAGCTGAACTATTGGGGGCCGTAGTCAAAGATAAAGTTATCCTCCTCTATGAATGTGTCTAGTGCACTTTTAAACTATCTAAGCCAGTGACCATCACTGCAAGTTGTGAGAGCAGATTCCATAAATTAATTCTGCGTTGTATGAAGAAGCTGGAATCTGCTGCCAATCAGCTCCATGAAGTCCTCGTATTACCGTATTTTTCGCTCCATAAGATGCACCTTTTCCCTCCTAAAAAGCAACGGAAAATGTGTGTGCGTCTTATGGAGCAAATGCAGGGGGGAGGCAGGCAGGAAAAGCCCCCAAGAGCCGCACACAAGCTCCGCGCGGCTCTTGCGGGCTTTTCCCCAGGAGAAGGGACTGACCCGGCGGCCAGTCAGTCCCTTCTCCCTCCTCGTAGAAAAGCCCGCAGGAGCTGTGCGCTCCTTAAAGGGTGCGCGGCTCATGTGGGCTTTTGTACGAGGTGGGGGAATAATATTTTTTTCCTTGATTTCCCCCTCAAAAAACCAGGTGCACCTTAGGGAGCGAAAAATACGGTATATGGCAGAGGGAATAAATTTCATCTCTATCCATGGTCTCCCTCGGGAGGTTGTGAACTCTCCTTCCTTGGAGGTTTTTAAGCACAGGTTGGGTGGCCATCTGTCATGGATGCTTTAGCTGAGATTCCTGCATTGCAGGGGGTTGGACTAGATGACCCTTGGGTCCCTTCCAACTCTACAATCTATGATTCACCACTGCGCTTGCAACTTTATCAACCTCTACAAGGCTATCAGCTAATATCAGCTAAAACATACTTGGCATGCACCATGAGAACAAACCTTTAGGAAGCAGCATTTTCTCACAAACTGAGATGAACGAACCCTAGTTAAAGAACAAAAAGTAACACATTATAAAATTATGAAGCAGTTTTGCTAAAAGAACAGCAGACACTTAAAACAAACAAACTTCACACCACAAAAAAATCTAATTTTGAAAAGGAGGGAGCAGCGCCCACTGACGACAACAAATCTGAGATCAGCTATTTTATTTATTCTGTTGTTGTGTATAATTGTTTCTATCATACCCACTGTGTTAATATTGCTCTCACAGTTTTTGCTTTAGTAGAAAGATAAGTAAGAGAACAAGAGACCAACTCCTTGTGATCACAGAACTTGTAACCACAGAGGTACAAGAAGCCAGTCATTTCAAGGGTTAACTTTTAAGCCTCTGGAGACAGTGACCAAGAGATATTGGGAATCTGTGCAGAGCAGCTCCTGGCAAGAGGGGCTGAGAACCCAGCTTTCCTCACTCCAGTATTCTGGATCTTCAACAGAAAATAAATAATAATAAAACTTAAGAGAAGGTTGGTTAAGGAAAGTAATAGAACCACTCTATTCTGCCTTGGTCAGACCACACCTGGAATGTCCAGTTCTGAGTGCCAACAGTTAAAAAGTACTGTATTTTTTGCTCTATAAGACTCACTTTTTCCCTCCTAAAAAGTAAGGGGAAATGTGTGTGCGTCTTATGGAGCGAATGCAGGTTGCGCAGCTATCCCAGAAGCCAGAACAGCAAGAGGGATCGCTGCTTTCAATGCACAGCGATCCCTCTTGCTGTTCTGGCTTTTGAGATTCAGAATAATTTTTTTCTTGTTTTCCTCCTCCAAAAACTAGGTGCGTCTTGTGGTCTGGTGCGTCTTATAGAGCGAAAAATACGGTATATTGGCAAGCTGGAATGTGTGCAGAGGAAGACAACCAACATGATCAAGAGTCTGGAAACCAAGCCTTATGAAGAACGGTTGAAGGAGCTTGGTATGTTTAGCCTGGAAAAGAGGAGACTGAGAGGAGATTTGATAGCCATCTTCAAACATCTAAACGGGTGTCACTTGGTAGACGGAGCAAGCTTGTTTTCTCCTGCTCTGGAAGGTAGGACTCGAACCAAAGGCTTCAAGTTACAAGAAAGGAGATTCTGACTAAACATCAGGAAGAACTTTCTGACAGTGAGAGCTGTTTGACAGTTGAACGGACTCCTTCAGAAAGTCATGGACTCTCCTTCCTTGGAGGGTTTTCAAGCAGAAGTTGGATGGTCATTTGTCAGGGATGCTTCAGCTGAGATGCCTGCATTGTAGGGGGTTGGACGCAGGTGGCGCTGTGGGTTAAACCACAGAGCCTAGGACTTGCCGATCAGAAGGTCGGCGGTTCGAATCCCCGCGACGGGGTGAGCTCCCGTTGCTCGGTCCCTGCTCCTGCCAACCTAGCAGTTCAAAAGCACGTCAAAGTGCAAGTAGATAAATAGGTACCACTCCGGCAGGAAGGTAAACGGCGTTTCCTTGCGCTGCTCTGGTTCGCCAGAAGCGGCTTAGTCATGCTGGCCACATGACCTGGAAGCTGTACGCCGGCTCCCTCAGCCAATAAAGCGAGATGAGCACCGCAACCCCAGAGTCATACGTGACTGGACATAATGGTCAGGGGTCCCTTTACCTTTAGGGGGTTGGACTAGATGACCCTTGGGGTCCCTTCCAACTCTACCATTCTCTGATTCTAAAAAACCAAAACAATGATGTCACTCCCCTGCCTTAGATTGGTTACTTGAGGACCAGTGGGACATAAGAGACCTTCATGTACACTAAGATGGTATCAGAGTAGAATTGAATACAACTCTTTGCCATTATACGCATGTGCCGCACCTGAAGCGTTGGCTTAGCATCCGACATTTCGGCATAAACATGACACTAGCAGCTTGGTACCGCAGGCTCCTGCTGCTTTACTCCTTTAGGGGCTGCATTACCTAACAAATTGCCAGACACTTGCCATCTGTTCCTTCCATTCACATCATGACACACTACACTGGAGGCTGGGCCTAAAGGAAGGCTCCTATTGTGTGAAAAGAGAAGCGGCAAGGCAGGCTGCTATAGGACAATTCCTTCTGCCACAAATTAAAAATATATATATCAAAAAATCACCTCTGAGGTACTGCTTTCAAACTTCAAAACACAAACAATAAAACAAAAGCCCAACTGACCAATGCATGCTGCAAACTTTCAAACTTCAAAACACAAACAATAAAACAAAAGCCCAACTGACCAATGCATTTCTAAGCAGTTAAGACACGGGTGTCAAACACAAGGCCCGCGAGCCGAATCCGGCCCGCCAGACCTCGTCATGTGGCCCGTGTAGCCGCCGCCGGCCACCACCCTTCACCTTTTATTCTCGCTTTTTTCTTTTGACACAAGAAAGCCGCCTCTTCAGCGCATGCGCGGCAGCCTACAAGCCAGAGAACGTCTGCCCTCTAGCGGCGCCGGCCGTTCTACACAGGAAACCTCCACTTTACATGCATTCAGGAAACCTCCACTTGTTTTTATATTGAGAGCATGCCATCCTGTGATGTGACAGATCCAACGGCTGCCTGAACCCTTCTCTCCTGTACTGTAAGTCCTACAGATACAACTGGCCCTTTGAGGGTGACCAAACTGCTGATGCGGCCCCCGATGAATTTGAGTTTGACACCCCTGAGTTAAGATGTGAACTCTTATACTATGCATGGAGTGTATTAGGGGAGGGGTAGTAGGGATGCAGGTGGCGCTGTGGGTTAAACCACAGAGCCTAGGACTTGCCAATCAGAAGGTCGGCGGTTCGAATCCCCGCGGCGGGGTGAGCTCCCGTTGCTTGGTCCCTGCTCCTGCCAACCTAGCAGTTCAAAAGCATGTCAAGGAAAAGGGAAAGTAGCTCTGTGCTCCAAAAAGATAACTTGCAGAGCTTTCCTTGGGAACTTTTGGGTAGACAAAAATCTAGTGTTTGAAAACCAGAGAGATTGTAAAACAATGTTAAAAGAAGATGGAGATTAGGGAAAATCAAGCGAACCTCATATCCCCACCGACCACATTCCAACTCCAAAACTGTTTCAATTGTGAGCCAAATCTACTGTATCGTAGCTATCAGAAAGGACACAAGGCTTCAGAGCGCTGTTGCAATTTCTAACTATCCTGTCTCAGTGGCTGGAAAACTGAAAGAAAGCAGTTCTGAACAATCAATCCCTTAACAGCTAAGGATTAATCTAAGACCAGAGCTCATCTGACTCCTTGTGCCCGGTTGCCAAATACGTAAATTGGCAGAGCCATAAACTGAAGCGGTTTGAGCTACAGATGTGATTCTAGGTTACATTTGTCCTATAGATTTAAACCAGTGTTTCCCAAACTTGGGTCTCCAGCTATTTTTGGGGGACTACAGTTCCCATCATCCTTGACCACTGGTCTGGTTACTAGGGGTGATGGGAGTTGTAGTCCAAAAACAACAACAACTGGAAAGCCAAGTTTGGGAAACCTTGACTTACACAGTATCACACCACTTTAAACTGTCATGGCTTCCTCCAAGGATTCCTGGGGCCTGTAGTTCGTGAAGGGTGTTGTGAGCTATAATTCCCCTCACAAGAGCTACAATTCCAAAAGTTCCCTGGGAAGAGATTGTTAAACTGCTCTGGCAACTGTAGCTCCCTGAGGGGAATAGGGGCTTCCTGACAACTCTCAGCAGCAAACTGCAGTTCCCAGAATTCTTTGAGGAAAGCTATGACAGGTATTAGTGATGTATGGAAGTGAGAGCTGGACCATAAAGAAGGCTGATCGCCGAAGAATTGATGCTTTTGAAATATGCTGCTGGAGGAGACTCTTGAGAGTCCCATGGACTGCAAGAAGATGAAACCTATCCATTCTTAAGGAAATCAGCCCTGAGTGCTCACTGGAAGGACAGATCCTGAAGCTGAGGCTCCAAGACTTTGGCCACCTCATGAGAAGAGAAGACTCCCTGGATAAGACCCTGATGTTGGGAAAGATGGAGGGCACAAGGAGAAGGGGACAACAGAGGACGAGATGGTTGGACAGTGTTCTTGAAGCTACCAGCATGAGTTTGACCAAACTGCGGGAGGCAGTGGAAGATGGGAGTGCCTGGCGTGCTCTGGTCCATGGGGTCACGAAGAGTCGGACACGACTAAACGACTGAACAAAAATAACATGACAGGTATGGTACCGCTTTAAATGTTCGGTGCAGCTGGAGCAAAAGGTTTATCAGCAAATGGCCCCCAGGTGTACCATTTACTCTACATTACGGCAGCACCTCTCATAAAAAGGAGAGGAGAATACACGAACAGCAGGGAACGGACTTCAGCATCTAACAGAGCTTTTCCTCAGAGGTAAAGAATAAGTCACTTGTAGATCTTCAGTGCATGGCTATTAGGAACAGACAAGCTGGTCCCTCTGGCAGAAATCCATAGCATTCCCAAACCCCCAGATGGCAAAGAGTGCTTTCATTTGGATTCCTGCCCTGAAAGGATTACAGAGGAAGGAAGAAGCATCATTTGGCAGGAAGTCAGCCCAGAAGGCAAGACTGGAACTCAAATTCTGCCACTTTGGGTTGAATCACTTGACTGGGTGTTTCAAACTCCGCCCCCCCCCAAAAAAACCCCACCACATTTCTATACCACTTTATATTTTTAAGAAAACAATCTCAAAGCAGTTGACAATGAATTAAAACATTGAATAAAACAATCCAGGATAAAGCATCACTGCTGAAAGTCAAATTGTTGTTTTTATTTTGATTATATATTTTGTGGTTTTGTATTTTGCTTTTGTTCTGTGAACTGCCCTGAGACCTCCGGGTACAGGGTGGTATATAAATCTAATAATAATAATAATAATAATAATAATAACATACATTCAAAGCAACGTAATCAACAGGAAACTTAAAGATTTCTAAATAAAACATTACAAAGGAGCTCAACCACAGAATGCACATTTAACACATCAAAGTTAACAAAAAAAAATTATCTTAAACACTTCAAAAGAAACAATTCCTAAAAGAAGTCAAATATAAAATGCACATTTAAAACAGCATAAATAACCAGAGGGTAAAATGTTATCTCAAGCATAGACCGTATCTGAGGCTGTTGCTGCCAATCCTGCCAATGGTGGTTTATGGTGGGTGGCAGCTATGAAAGCTCATAGGGTCTGCACTAAGAGGCAGCCAAGATGCCAATCTTATGTACGATGTGAATACGGCTTAAGTATTTTAGTCGGATTGAAGCTTTGATGGGTTCTTGCACAAAGACCTCTTTAACAACAACAACAACTTCACAGTGTGTGGTTAATACCACCAGGAAGTGATCCTGCCATCAGAGACAGATGCCAGGTCATCTCTCATTGTTGTTACGAAAGTCTGCCTGCCTCCATCCTTAGGCACAGGCTCTTGGGTAGCTGGGAAACAGGAAGCGAGGGAACACAGACTGAGTCAGCAGCAAGGCTAGTGCACTGATGGCTCAATGAGGGGCACAGGTAGGAACGGAAGGTGATAGATGCACCTGATGGCTTTTTTATTATTACAGTGGTACCTCGGGTTACATACGCTTCAGGTTACAGACTCCGCTAACCCAGAAATATTACCTCAGGTTAATAATAAATAAATAATAATAATAATAATTTATTATTTATACCCCGCCCATCTGGCTGGGCTTCCCCAGCCACTCTGGGCGGCTTCCCAAAAAATATTAAAATACATCAAACATTGAAAGCTTCCCTAAACAGGGCTGCCTTCAGATGTCTTCTAAAAGTCTGGTAGTTGTTGTTCTCTTTGACATCCGATGGGAGGGCATTCCACAGGGAGGGCGCCACTACCGAGAAGGCCCTCTGCCTGGTTCCCTGTAACCTAGCTTCTCACAGGGAGGGAACCGCCAGAAGGCCCTCGGTGCTGGACCTCAGTGTCCGGGCAGAACGATGGGGGTGGAAACGCTCCTTCAGATATACTGGACCAAAGCCGTTAAGAACTTTGCTTCAGGATGAGAACAGAAATCGTGCTCTGGTGGTGCGGCAGCAGCAGGAGGCCCCATTAGTTAAAGTGGTGCTTCAGGTTAAGAACAGTTTCAGGTGAAGAACGGACCTCCGGAACGAATTAAGTACCTAACCCGAGGTACCACTGTATTTACAAGTGGAATGATGAGTGGAGGTCGAGGATGGAAACTCTCAGTTGCTCAAAAATCCGCAAGATGAGGGTTGCTCCCATGATCTTAGAAGGGACCCCTGACTGCCACTCCTCCCACTCTTGCCTTGTCAATATTTGCAACACCATCATTTTCACTTTCCAGCCAGAGGCTTCCTCTTTAGATTACCGTATTTTTCGCTCCATAAGGCGCACCTGACCATAAGGCACACCTACTTTTTTTTGGGTGGGGGTGGGAATTCAAGAAAAAATATATTATTTAAAGGAGCGCTGAGCACAGCCTGTATGCATCCCAGGCTCTGCTCAGCGCTCCCTTTCATGAGCCGCGTGGAGCGTGTGTGCGGCGCTTGCAGGCTTCTCCCTCCTTGGGGAAAAGCCCCCAAGAGCCACACACACACTCCGCGCAGCTCTTTAAAGGGAGCGCGGCTCTTGGGGGCTTTTGCGGGAAGTGGGGGAAGTGAGAGAGCCTCGCTCTGTTCCTTCCCCCACCTCCCGCAAAAGCCAGGGATAGCCCCGCGAAGCCTCCCCAGGGCAGCGCGGTGAAGGCTCCCCACTGCCCTGCGGAGGCTTCGTGGGCTACCCCTAGGGCTGCTCAGGAGCTTGTGGGGCTGGCGGGGGAAGCCCAGCTTCCCCCCCCCCCCAGCCCCAGGGACCACACATTCGCTCCATAAGAAGCGCAGACATTTCCCCTCAGATTTTAAGAGGAAAAAAGTGCGTCTTATGGAGCGAAAAATACGGTAATCAAACCTCTCTCTCCCTTTCTTAAAGCATGACTGTGCTGGCTGCCTCTCTACCAGCCTTTTGCTTGAATATATTTACCGATTTATATCCAGGCCAGGCTGTCATCCAAAGTGATCTCAGAACAGTTTATTTGCATGGGAACTGAGCCACAGCCCAGAGCAGCCAGCTGCCCTCAAGGTGCTTTCGGACAACAACTTCCATCATCCCCGGGGAACATGAATGTGCTGGCAGGAGCCGATGGGAGCGGTAGCACAATAACAACATCAAGGTTGCAGATCTGCAACCTGTAAACAAGAGCATCTTGTTTTCTGTCAGAGTCAATGGTAGGCCAACAGAGGCGTCCCAGTTCAGGTCCCAGTTTTGGGGTGGGAGAGATTTCATCTGAAGAAGATGCAGAATTCAGCAACTGCCAAAAGCTCGTTCTTGAGCATCTTCAGGGCTTGTAAATTAGCAACGAATGCTAAGAGCATCAGCCTTGCAAGGAAAAACACACAGACACTTTATGACAAAGGAGTTTATTCACGTCAGCAGCCATGAGAGCAACATAAATAGCCATTGTCTCAGCTCTAGCCTGCGTAAAAACTGCAACTACTATGGGGCAACACATGGTTCATTCCAGCTCTGCCTCTCCAGCTCCCAATAATCTGTCCCCTTTCCCTCTATCCCATCACACTTCTGGTTCAGAAGTTCTCAAACTGAAATCCCATAATTTTCCACACAAATGTCCTGGTGGGTTTTGGGGTGTGTGATTTTTTTTTACCCACTTTTGGTGTGCTATGGCTCCCTCCAGACAGCAGTAATGTGGTAGTACTGGAGAAGCAAAACAACTAATAAGGCAGTGGAACATTCGAGGATTTATGTACTTGGCCTTGAACGTATTGATTTTTTCCTGATAGAGATCGAAGCTGTTTTGACCAGTGCCAGATTATCAAATAGGCTAACCACAACCCTGTGTGATTAACATAACACAGTGCTGGTACCGCCCAACTTGTAAATTCTCCTGGAGAATTTAGTAAAAAAGCTCTTCTCAGTGGTCTGGCCTAGGGTCTAGGATATGGTGCTAGAATTTTGTTATGATACTGGTGCTGAAGAAAAAACATTTTGATGGTTTGGTTTTCTTCACATAATCCAGAATATAATCCTTCCTATAATCCTTTAATCCAGAAGCACATCCATTATATTAGAAAGCACATACAGAACTCATATATTAATAACCTTAACCTAAGGTTATTAATATATGAGTTCTGTATGTGCTTTGAGTTGTAGAACAAAACAAAAATATTATTAAGTGGTCTGGAGAGACTCACACACACCCCTTAAATTTTCAAGTGGTCGGATCAGAATATGCAGTAATAGTGGGAAATGAAAATGAACCATAGAAGGAGTGGAAGGGAAGTCAATTTCCATGTGTGTGTGTGTGTGTGTGTATGTATGTATATGTATATATGTATGTGTATATATGTGTGGGTGGGTGATGGGTGGTGCTGTGGGTTAAACCACAGAGCCTAGGACCTGCGGATCAGAAGGTCGGCGGTTCGAATCCCCCCGACAGGGTGAGCTCCCGTTGCTCGGTCCCTGCTTCTGCCAACCTAGCAGTTTGAAAGCACGTCAAAGTACAAGTAGATAAATAGGTACAGCTCTGGCGGGAAGGTAAACGACATTTCCGTGCGCTGCTCTGGTTCGCCAGAAGCAGCTTAGTAATACTGGCCACATGACCTGGAAGCTGTACGCCAGCTCCCTCAGCCAGTAAAGCGAGATGAACACCGCAACCCCAGAGTCGGTCATGACTGGACCTAATGGTCAGGGGTCCCTTTACCTTTACCTTACTTAAGGATGCTGGGAAACCATCCTTTGACTAGGGTAATGAAGACTTACTAACACTTCATTATGATTGTATGATAGAAACTCATGGTTCAATGGAAACTCATGGTTAGAGCGTGGTTCCCCCCACCCCACTCAACAGGTAATCTACTTGCAGAGGTTTGGGTCCTTTGAAGTTGTTGTTTCTTTTGGTGGGGTGTAAATAATTTGAATGGGAAAAGAACCTGATACATACTCAGAGTCGAGAGTGGATTTCATGCTCTTTATTCAGCTCATAGTGGTGAGGAGGAATGAATGTCCCCTCAAAGTATCTGCTTTATATACATTATTTACACAATGGGCTGCACGTGATTGGCTAATTCTGGAATTCTCCTGTAGGCCAATCAGGTTGTGGATTCACTTCCACCTGGAGCCGGATTGGGTGGCTCCTGCAGACCAATCAGACTGCTGCATTCTGAATCCTATTGTTCTAGGACCAATCAGACTGCTGCCTTTTGGATCCTATTCAACTCAGTACATAACAGAACCAGACACAGAATTAAGAGATTCATATTCTCCGGAACAACGGTAGCTCTCCATGGCGGGCCTGAAACAGAATTATTAGCAGCTGCACTGTAGAAGTGCATTTGCCTCTACCGTAATCTGATTATTTTGTTGCAAATTAGACAACTACTGTATTACAAAGCTCCTCCATTAGCCTCTGGTGCTCGCTCACACAAAAGGAAACGGAAACGTGCAACGCTGGCCCTGGAACTTATTGCTGTTTTCCGAAGTGAGGAGCATGTTGGCAATGATATCAAAAGGCTGGCTGAATTTCTTCCCAATTGCAAGAGGCCTTGTTCATCTGCAGCTGAGAATTTCTTTTGCAAAAGTCACCTCCTTGGGGAGAAAACCTGCAGTGGTTCCAATTTATTAGTCATGTCGATAACATTTTGAAATTTGGAGACGTTTCTGAGCGTAACTGCTTGACATCAGCCATCTTGCAGATGATAACGGCCAGCCTTCTTATTTTGCAACAAGCGATGGAGGCCTGGCAAACTCCCACTTGATCAAGCTGTGTCAGGAAAAGGCTCCTTATGACCAGTTTCATGCTGTGTATGTGGAAAATGAACTGCAAGTCAATGTTGATAGGGAGGTCCACTATCTGATCTCCTTTTTCAAACATGCTGACTGAACACTCATTGCAAAGGGAGCGAGAAGGCGGGGTGAAATCAGCACCAACACAACAAGAAAAAGGCAAACTTGAAGCTGGCACTAAGGAGAAGCTGTTATTCCATTAGAGAAATCATTCGTTAAAAACAGCAGGTTTCAGATAAAAATCTTCCTTGGGGGCAGGTGAGATTCGGCTGACATTTTCCTCCCAAGATCCTTTCTCTAGGTCTAAGAGGACATTAAGAGAAAGGCTTGTACCCATATGCAACATACGTTTAAAGCAGTATTATATCACTTTAAACTGTCATGGCTTCCTGCAAAGAATCCCAAGAAGTCTAGTTTGTTTGTTTTGTTTAATATTATTCTTTATTCTTTATTGATTAAAAATTTACATACCTATACAAATATTATGTGCTATCTCTTTAAATATGAAGAAAAAGAAAATTAGGTAGTAAATAGAAAATTTCTAAAGCAATAAGAAAAGGAAAAGAAAAAATAAAGAAATCACAAAGATACAAAATTTAAAAATCCAAAGAAGAAAAGACAAGACAACATTATTTTCATAATAAAAGTGTTCATCAATATATTACAGTATAATGAGAAGGATGGGAAAGAAGTCTAGTTTGTTAAAGTTGTTGCGAGTTAGGAAAACCCTGTTCCTCCACTTTGTAAGAATTGTAGCTCTGTGAGGCGAATAAGGGTCTTCCTAACAACCCTCTCTCAGTTTACCCATCAGCACAAGACTGAATGAGTGACTGTTATGTACTGAGTTGAATAGGATCCAAAAGGCAGCAGTCTAATTGGTCCTAGAACAATAGGATTCAGAATGCAGCAGTCTGATTGGTCCTAGAACAATAGGGTCCAGAATGCAGTAGTCTGATTGGTCCACAGGAGCCACCCAATCCAGCTCCAGGTGGAAGGGAATCCGCAACCTGATTGGCCTACAGTAGAATCCCGGAATTAGCCAATCACATGGGGCCCATTGTGTAAATATTGTATATAAAGCAGACATTCTGGGGGAACTTCCATTCCTCCTCACCACTATGAGCTGAATAAAGAGCATGAAATCCACTCTCGACTCTGAGCATATTTCAGTGACTGATTCCCATGGAAAGCCCCGAGTTTGACCTGAAGCAAGCCGAGTGAAATCTTCACCTCTAGCAATTAATCTGAGATGATTCATTCACACACACAAATCACCAAGCGATAAACATGTACGTACAAGCGAGTCTAAAGAAGAAGAAGAATCTAGTAATCCTCATTCGGAAGACTCTTGAGCACAGCTATTATGGCAAAACAATTTGCATCCCGGAACAGAAAGAAATATGCACCAAATGTTTGGCCTCCCTCCTCCCTCCTGCTTAATTGTCCCCAGTGCAGAACTCCTTAATGGACATGACCACATCATTCAATTAAAATGAACCATCATCCTGACTGGCTCCAGCCTGGGCATGCTGCCCACTGAAAAGCCATTTGAAGATAAGCAATCATTCACTGTGCTTGACAGGGGCCTTAAGAAGTCAAGGAGAACACTAGACATTGCATGCCGGTTGCATGTTACTTTTCCTACTCTTGTTTTGTCCACCTCAGCCTTCGTAGGCTGCAAGCCTTGGCAAAAGAAATATAGGGACAAGGAGTTGTTTTAACACCTTCCTCTCCTCTTTGGGCATTGCCCCACTCAAAAAACCCTCACCCTCCCACTCATTTTCTGTTTCTTCATTTAACAAATTTGTATACCACTTTCCAAGACACACACACACACACACACACACACACAGGTTCATGAAGTGGGTTAGAAAACCAGCACCGGACACACAATAAAACACCATTTAAAGCCATGTAAAAACACCACAAAAACAGTACAGTGGTACCTCGGGTTACATACGCTTCAGGTTAGAGACTCCGCTAACCCAGAAATAGTACCGCAGGTTAAGAACTTTGCTTCAGGATGAGAACAGAAATCGCATGGCAGCAGCAGGAGGCCCCATTAACTAAAGTGGTGCTTCAGGTTAAGAACAGTTTCAGGTTAAGAACGGACCTCTGGAACGGATTAAGTATGTAACCAGAGGTACCACTGGATCTCAAACACAAGAGTGTCAACATGAAAACAGCACCATAGGACTAAACTATGAAAATAAGGTTCAGATAACAATTCGGCAATTCAGATGATATGGGTTGCTAAAAGTTGCAGGGAAGAGGTAAGTCTTCAGAGCATCTGAAACTCACAAAGCATGGGGCTTGTCTGATATCCTGTGGAACCCAAGGCTTTCTTTCTGGGTGTACTCAATATCAGAACCTTTTCACCCCAAAAGTTAAAAGTGTGGCATTTAAACTGTAACAACTTTATGGTGAGTACTGGCACCCTTTTTCTATATATAAAAAAACAGTGGTCGAATCACATTCCACATCTGTGGGTCAACTGCTAAAAAATGCACATAATCAATAACCAAAGGAAAAAGAATATTAAAAAAGTCTAGTCTGGTCAGGCCAGGAAACAGGAAGCCACACAAATTCAGATATTCACCCCAAGGAGTGATCAGGTATTGCACAGGCAGACACAAAGCCTCTGGAATTTACAAAAGCGCCATATATTGAAAGCAGTTTTATACCACTTCAGTGGTCATGGCTTCCTCAAAAGGATCTTGGGAATTGTAGTTTGTTAAGGGCGCTGCTGAGAACTGTAGCTCTGTGAGGGGGTTACAACACTAAGCAACAAGCTACAGTTCCCAGGATTCCTATGACTGTTAAAAAGGCATAAGAGTTCTTTAAATATATGGTTTGGGTGTGACCAATGATTGACATTAACCTTAAAGGTCCTTGACAGGGCCTTGCCCCCCCCCCCTCTCTCTCTCTCTCTCTCTCTCTGAAAAAGAGAAATAGTAGTATTAACGGGTTTCTGCTCCATCTTTAATAAAGGCTTTATCATTTAGTCATAGGCTGCTTTATCTCAAAAAGCAAAGTCAGGGGAGGAAAGGCAAATAGAGACTCTCAAAATTGACCACAACTTGTGTGAAATCATCTCTGTTTATGAGAGTTGCTAAGGAGTCAGCCACAGTCTGGGCTCGGCACCCATCCCTAAGGAGTGCAGAGCTCTCAACCCGGCTTGTTGTTCATGGTGACGTATTCAAGGTGGCCAGATTCCACAAGTTCTCACCAGTGAATTGATATTGTTTACCTTTACAGTTCAATTCTCCCAGCAAAACTTTCAAAAACAAGAACTATACACTCCCACAGTCATTACGCCATAAACCAAGCAATGTCTGTCACTGTGAAAATTACCGTTATTATCTGTATCAACTAGAGTCAGAGAGTACGCTTAATAAAACGCCTCCCACATCCAACACCCTAGCAGAAGCCAAAGTTAAATTTCCGTGCCTGTTGAGCACCACATCCTTCAACATTAGGGAGAGTCGGTTCAGACATTTTGTCGAAACATCTGTGGCACTCCACAGATGAAACTCAAAGGACTCTTTGACTAACACACTCCCTTCTCCCATGGCACACTGCAGTTCCCTTAATCCCTTTCTGACTTTTGAGACAAACCACAGTTTACCATTTTGTCTAAACTGGCAAACTGTGGCTTGTGCTGACCATTGTATATTAGGATTGGGAGCCACAGTTTCATGCTGATTTCCAAGTTTCCCTGCTCAAACTGTAAGGAAGAAAGGAAGAATTTAGAATAATATATAATAATTTATTATTTATACCCTGCCCATCTGGCTGGGTTTTCCCAGCCACTCTGGGTGGCTTCCAACAAAACACTAAAATACAATAACCTATTAAACATTAAAAGCTTCCCTAAACAGGGCTGCCTTCAGATGTCTTCTAAAAGTTTGGTAGTTATTTTTCTCTTTGACATCTGATGGGAGGGCGTTCCATAGGGTGGGTGCCACTACCGAGAAGGCCCTCTGCCTGGTTCCCTGTAACTTGGCCTCTCGTAACGAGGGAACCACCAGAAGGCCCTTGGCGCTGGACCTGTGTCCGGGCAGAACAATGGAAGTGGAGACGCTCCTTCAGGTATACTGGACCGAGGCCGTTTAGGGCTTTAAAGGACAGCACCAAGACTTTGAATTGTGCTTGGAAAGACCAGTGTTATATGGTCTCGGCGGCCGCTCCCAGTCACCAGTCTAGCTGCCGCATTCTGGATTAGTTGTAGTTTCCGAGTCACCTTCAAAGGTAGCCCCACATAGAGCGCATTGCAGTAGTCCAAGCGAGAGATAACCAGAGCATGCACCACTCTGACAAGACAGTCCGTGGGCAGGTAGGGTCTCAGCCTACGTACCAGATGGAGCTGGTAAACAGCTGCCCTGGACACAGATTTGACCTGTGCCTCCATGGACAGCTGTGAGTCCAGAATGACTCCCAGGCTGCGCACCTGGCCCTTCAGGGGCACAGTTACCCCATTCAGGACCAGGGAGTCTTCCACACCTGCCCGCCTCCTGTCCCCCAAAAACAGTACTTCTGTCTTGTTAGGGTTCAACCTCAATCTGTTAGCCGCCATCCATCCTCCAACCGCCTCCAGACAATTTGCAGCAGGTGAGCCCAACGGTCACTCACCTACCTTTGGATTGTAATTAAAAGCTAATAAAAATGATTATCAAAAGAAAGGATCACTCACCTACCAGTTTGGTATTATATCAGAATCCACTTGGAGTGTACTCACATTACCACCTTAGAGCACTCTGAAGTCCCTCCTCCACCTTCATTTCACGGCTCTTTCCTCCCCAAGCTGCTCACACCAGCCTGGCTTCAGTTCATTTCTGTTTGTGCACACACGAGGAGGCACCAATAGGCAGAGGTGTCTACCATTTTGTAAAGGTGTTCACACCTTGTCTCAAGATAAATGACTTAAGGACTCCAGCTGGTGTGAAGCTGGTTTGAGAAACAACCCATAACAAAGTCCAGGATACACTTGCACTTTGGATGATGTTGTGTGAACATAGATTAAAAACCCAGGACTGCAAATGCAGTCTGTGCACAGCAAATAGGAGTGTGACCTAGCCTTGAGCTCTAACGGGAGGCCTGCTACCCTCTCAGATGTTCAGTGAACATGTTAGAAGGTTCACACGAGTATTACTAAACAAACACACACACAACTGGGCAGCTCGGGTGTGTAGACTCCAGCCCCCGGTTTTGAAGCAGGGGTGAACTTTCGTAATATGGCGCCTCAGAACATGAGCCCAAAATTTGGTGTCCCCAAATGGATCTTCTCAATTTTGCACCCCCTCAGTTCAGTACCCTGTGTGGCAGAACCACCCTCAATGTCCTAAATCTGGTGCTGTTTAAAACCTCTGGATTGTTTATGTAGACAAGGATTAAATGTAAGTTATTGGTTGTGTTTAGAATAGATTTATGAAAGATTTAGAAAACTTATTGATTAGAATATTTGTGTGAGATTGTATGGGAAAAATACGGAATAACAGATTTCTTGCTTGAAATGTATATAGGAAGTGCAGTGTAAGTGAGGGAAGTCAATCAATGAAATTTTATTATTATTTTCATATTGAGATATTTGTAGAATAAACTTGGAAGAAATTCTTCCAACTTTTCTTCTTCTTTTTTTCCTCTTTATTTTTTCTTTTTCTTTTTTCTTTTCTCTTTTGTTCCTTTTTCATATATATGTGCTTATTTGAAATATACAGTGGTACCTCGGCTTAAGTATTTAATTCGTTCCGGAGGTCCGTTCTTAACCTGAAACTGTTCTTAACCTGAAGCACCACTTTAGCTAATGGGGCCACCTGCTGCCGCCATGCCGCCAGAGCCCGATTTCTGTTCTTATCCTGAAGCAACGTTCTTAACCTGAAGCACTATTTCTGGGTTAGCGGAGTCTGTAACCTGAAACGTCTGTAACCTGAAGCGTATGTGTCAGGGAACTGCCATCGGAAGGAAGGGAGGTGAAAGGGCTCACACAGGTTGGGAGAGACTCAGCAGCTGAAGAGGGAACCAGTAGGGGGAGAGGAGCTGAGCTGAGGGAAAGTGAGCTGGAGGGATGGCTCAGAGACACTTCCAGCGAAAACAGTGGGGAGGTTTCAGGACCTCCTGTAGGAACACCCACTCCTCGCCGGAAACTGTCACGCAGAGAGTCCAGAAGACGTGTTTCCGTTAAGGAGCTTTTATGTTGGAAGCGATTCCGAAAGCAACCACTGTCGGAATCTGCTAGCGACTAGAGGAGCCATGTCTGAGGGGCTCCGTCACAGACAGAGGTTTGTGGACTTGAACAAACTCTGAGGGGATACTATTTTACGCACAAGCAGCTCCTCATCCCATCACAGCATTCCGACAGTCTATGGACCAGCTGACCAAATCAGCGCTGACCATAGGAGCGCGCCAGGAGGCGAGAGCATTGGAGAGGCGGGAAGGGAAGGGGGAACGTTGGAAGGAGTTCCGCATTCCAGACATTCCAGAGCCAACTTTCCCGCCGGCAGAGCCGATGGAAATCGGAACAGCGCGCGCGCGCAGTTTCAAAGCCCAGTGAGGGGGAAAGAAGGAGGGAAAACGCGCCCGGAAATGCTATCTCTGCCAACAGCCAGGTCACTTTGCCAGAGTCTGCCCCCAGAGGAAGGAATGGCAAGGGATGGTAGGAGCTGTGGAGGGAAGAGAGGAAGAAATACCGGAGCAAGTAAAGCCAACGCCTGGCTGCCACCGTCGGGGCACAGCAGCCAGGCCAAAGAGCAGTGAGAGTGCCCACGCCAGAACCTCCTAAACCCGCCCTAGTGATAGAAGTGGCGCTAGAGCTGCCAAACGGACACCCTCTAAAGATAAAGGCGCTGTTGGACTCAGGCAGCTCCTGCAATTTCATGAGCAAAGAGTTTGCAGCTGAACACCAGATACAGACGATCCCTTTAAGCAACCCCCTGCAGGTGACCACGATCGATGGCAGGGAGCTGTTGGGAGGAGAAGTCAGCTTGCAGACCGTCCCAATGATAATGAAGGTGGCAAGGCACACCGAACTGATATCGTTTAATGTGGCCACCTTGGGAGGAGCTCCCATTATATTGGGGATGAGCTGGCTAGCGTTACATGATCCGCTGGTGGGCTGGCATCAGAGAGTGGTTTCTTTTGGTTCAGCACATTGCTTAGAACACTGCAAAGAGGGAAAGGGTTTGGCAGGTGCCCAAGCCACCCTAGCAGGGACTGAAGTAACGGAGAACGTGAAGGTACCACGACAATACGCAGATCTCCGCGACGTCTTCAGCGAAAGGGAAGCTGACCAACTACCCCCGCATAGACCCTTTGACTGTCAAATCAATTTACTCCCTGGGGCACAGCTCCCTGTAGGCAAGCTGTACGCCATGTCAGACAGAGAGATGCAGGAGCTAAGAGAGTTCATTGACAAGAACCTGAAGAGAGGGTTCATCAGAGAGTCCAGGGCGGTGGGGGCAGCCCAGTGTTTTTGTGGATAAGAAAAACACGAACAAGCCGAGGCTGGTGTGTGACTTCAGGGCCTTAAATGCAGTGTCAGAACCAGTGGCCTTCCCTATGCCCAGGATTGACAACATTTTGACAAGGGTGCGGAAGGGAAAGATTTTCACAAAGCTGGACCTAAGGGGGGCGTACAACCTGATACGAATAAGGAAGGGGGATGAATGGAAAACCACCATGTTCACCCCTTTAGGGGCATTTGAATATTTGGTTATGCCCTTCGGCCTACAAGCAGGCTCCGCAACCTTTCAATCGTTTATGAACCACGTCCTGGGGCCTTTGCTTTACAAGAATTGTGTGGCCTTCTTAGACGACGTGTTGGTGTATTCTGAGAATGAGGAGCAGCATGTGAAAGACGTCAGGGAAGTGTTGAGCAGGCTGCAAGCCAACCAGCTGTGGGTGAAACTGGAGAAGTGTCAGTTTCATACCAAGGAGGTGGAATTCCTGGGGTATCGCCTGTCAGACAAGGGATTGGCCATGGATCCCGGCAAGGTCCAGGCGGTGCTGGAATGGAGAACACCCAAAACAAGGAAGGATGTGCAGAGGTTCCTAGGATTTGGGAACTTCTATCGTAAGTTCATCCGAAACTTTGCCCACCTGACGGCGCCCATTACGGACTGTCTCAGCAGTAAGAAGAAGTTCGTTTGGACTGAGGAGGCGGAGCGAGCATTTGAGGAACTAAAAGGGCCTTCGCCTCGGAACAACAAATCCTGCATGTGGATTTACAAAAACCGATGAGAGTGGAAACTGACGCATCAGACAGAGCGATTGGGGCGGTGCTTCTGCAGCCAGGGAAGGAGGAGTCAGAGTGGAGACCGTGTGCTTTTTTCGCGAAAGCTGAACAAATCCGAGAGGAACTACACGGTGTATGACCGAGAACTACTAGCCATTCATGAGGCGTTCCGGAGATGGAGGCACCTGCTAATTGGCGCACAACATAAGGTGCAAGTGTGCACTGACCACAAGAACCTAGAGTATTGGAGGACGGCACGAGTGCTCAACCAACGGCAAGTGAGATGGGCCCAGGAGTTCTCCAAATTTAACTTTGAGATTGGTTACGTGCCAGGCCCAGAGAACATTAGGGCGGACGCTCTCTCACGCAAACCTGAATATTTGGAAGGGGAGGGAGCACCCGAAGAGAGACATGTCATTCCAGAGGACCGCTGGGTGTGTGGGGCGGCATTGGTGGGACAAAGAGAACTGGTAGAGGAAACAGAGAATGATGAATACGCCCAGAATAAGCTCAGAGGTCTTAGGGGTGAGGGAGAGGAACCAGGGGTTTCGAGGAAAGAAATGGAGCTTTGTATTACAAAGGGGCACTGTATATCCCTGAAGGAGACTTAAGGGGAGGGTACTCAAGCAGTTGCACGACAGCCCTACGGCGGGGCATTTTGGACAACACAAAACCATGTGGTTGGTCACCAGGGAATTTTGGTGGCCTAAGGTGAGGGAAGATGTACGTGAGTATGTAAGAGGGTGCGAGCAATGCCAGCGGGCCAAAGGGGAAAGGCGGGCGCCGGCGGGGCTATTAGAACCCTTACCAACCCCAGAACGACCTTGGGAGGCAGTGTCGATAGATTTTATGACTGATCTGCCGAAGTCCAAAGGGAAAACAGCCATCATGGTGGTGGTAGACCTACTAACAAAGATGTGCCACTTTGTAGCTTGCTCGCATGCAGTCACGGCGGAAGAGACAGCGAAGTTATTTGTAGAACACATTTTTAGGTTGCACGGGGTGCCATTGAGGGTGGTCTCAGACCGAGGAAAACAATTTACTTCCAGGTTCTGGAGGAAGCTCATGAGCTTACTGCAGGTGGAGGTCAATTTTTCGACTGCCCGGCACCCTGAAACCAACGGGCAGGCGGAAAGAGCAAACGGTGTCCTCCAGCAATACTTGAGGTGTTATGTCAATGACAGAGAGAATGACTGGGTAGAAAAGTTGGCGCTGGCGGAATTTGCCTACAACAATGCCGAGAATGTGTCCACAGGGATGAGCCCCTTCTTGGCTAATTATGGGTGTCATCCCAGGGCTTTCCCAGGGGAGATGGGGAGAGATGGAGCGTCCCGGCAGCCGAGCATTTTGTGGAAGAAATGGAAGCAATCCATCGTCAGCTCCAACTCAACTTAGAAAGGGCGAAGGAAGAATACAAGAGGCAGGCAGACAAGAACCGAAGGGAAGGTGAAACCATAAGGGTGGGAGATAGGGTGTGGCTGTCAACCCAAGGGCTGCCGTTCAAAGGAGGTTGTAAGAAATTAAGACCCAGGAGGTTGGGTCCCTTTGAGGTCATTCAACAGGTCAACCCAGTGGCTTTCAGGCTCCGGTTACCCAACCACATGAAACTGCACCCAGTATTTCACAGGTCGTTACTGTCACCGTACGAAGGGGGACGAGAAGGGATGGCCACCGGGGACCGGTCATAGAAGAAAGAGAATGCAGCAGCCATGTGGCAGAAATCCTCGACGCCAGGTGGAAGGGGGATCAGGTGGAGTATTTGGTAGCGTGGGAAGGAGAACCGGAGTCAGAAAACACTTGGGTAATGGCCGAAGATATCAATGACGAGGTATTGATAGAAACGTTCCATCAAAGGTTCCCAAGGAAACCTCAGCCTGTGGAGAGGTTCCGGAGGGAATACTTTGGGACCACTGATGAGGAGGAGGAGTTGGAAGGATTCCCGGACTCGGAAGGGGAAAGGGAGATGGACTCTGAGGAGGAGGAGTACTTCGAGACCAGGAACCGCAACAGGTGGAGAGAAGTGTTCGAGACATCGGAAGATGAAGGAAGTTCATTCCGGGGTTTTGCCTCCTCACCGCCCGTAGAGGAGGGGGTGAGAGGGGGTGAAAGGGGCCCTGGAGGGGAGGTGGATGTCAGGGAACTGCCATCGGAAGGAAGGGAGGTGAAAGGGCTCACACAGGTTGGGAGAGACTCAGCAGCTGAAGAGGGAACCAGTAGGGGGAGAGGAGCTGAGCTGAGGGAAAGTGAGCTGGAGGGATGACTCAGAGACACTTCCAGCGAAAACAGTGGGGAGGTTTCAGGACCTCCTGTAGGAACACCCACTCCTCGCCGGAAACTGTCACGCAGAGAGTCCAGAAGACGTGTTTCCGTTAAGGAGCTTTTATGTTGGAAGCGATTCCGAAAGCAACCACTGTCGGAATCTGCTAGCGACTAGAGGAGCCATGTCTGAGGGGCTCCGTCACAGACAGAGGTTTGTGGACTTGAACAAACTCTGAGGGGATACTATTTTACGCACAAGCAGCTCCTCATCCCATCACAGTATGTAACCCAAGGTACCACTGTATGTGTATGTATTTGCCATATTCTGCTTATACTTTGTAACAATTATGTTAAATAATTTTTTTTAAAAAAACAAAACTCCCTTCTTTTAGGACCAGAAGGGAAACCTGAAAGTTTATCTGCCTTCCACCAGCCAGGACTTCAATGCTTTCCTTCCCCTCTCCCAGTGCTGAAACAGAGACAGCTTCTAGAGGTCCCAAAATGGTGTGTTGTGTGGCTCTGTTGATCCAAGCAGCCGTGTCAGGCTAGCAACAACTGCAAGGTGTCTCCTAGCTGATAGCTGCTGGGGATCAGTTAGCAACCCCCAATGAATCTCAAAAGTTCACGAAATGAATTGTAAGCATTTTTCGGTGTCATTTTAAGCCAACCCTGTGAATTCTGTGCCAGCCCCCATCACAGCAAAGAAACAACTTGCCATTCATAAAAAAGCAGAGCCTGCTAATTGAACTTTTCAAACAACAGGAAGTGAGGACTTCTACCTCTTACAGGTTAACTGCAGTAGACTTTTCATTGGCTTCCCAGATCTATGAGCAAAGCAAATTTTACCCCACAAAGCTAACAGAGAATTGATGCTGATTAAAGCCAAATATAGCCTTTAATCCAATTTCTTTTTTCGGGGTGGAGTGGGGGGATGGAGAGGAAGAATTGATATCAGCCTACCCCAAGAAGAACTCAAAGGTTTTCCATTGCAAATTGAATAATTAGATGAGGAGGGTTCATGGGAACAAGGGCAATAAAAGCAGCTGACACAACTATTGCTACACCTTTGCCCAGGCCAGATAGCACTTATCAGTCAGAAAGCCCTTTGATACAAGGCTCTGCTTCTGCTTCTGTGAGGGCTGAGTGAAGCAATTGCTTTAGGCAGCAAATCTGGGGCACCATTAGAGGGCAGTTAATGGTCAGTTATTGAATTTATTGTATCTAAACAACTCAGTTGGGGGAGTTTGTTACTGAATTGATCAGTCTTGCTGTCACCCTGTCCATGCTTCTTTCAAACTCTTTGACTCATAGAAGCATTAGAAGGGACCCTGAGGACCAGTCTATCCCTGCAATGCAGGAATATACAGCTGTCCCATACAGGGATCGAACCTGCAACCTTCACGTTACCAACACCATGCTCTAACCAACTGAGCTATCCCAGCTCACTGAGCTTCCAGACACAGACTTGCCACCTTAGCGAAGGACTAAGCCAAAGCGAAAGACAACCAAAGCACAGCACAGCATTGTATCCAAGAGGATGAAAATGATCCCCACACTTTTGTAAAAAAAAAAGGGAACATCGTCAAGCTACCTAAAATTCCAAGTTTCATGTTTTTGCTTTGTTAGGTGGGCATACTAATAAAGCCAAATCTCAGATCAAGAGCGTCTGAATGTCTCCACCAAATTCTTCTCTGAGTAAGTCCATCTTTCTTGCTTAGCGGGCTTCCTGCCTTCCAAACCAATATATAAAGGATCACAACACACACACAAAAAGTAAAAAGTAAAATCCAAGTCCGCCCTGGTCTACTTTCTCTAGAAACAATGCTCTGTTTCACTTCATTCTTTGTAACTTGGACACCAAGAAAATATTACTCCTTATCAGTTTTCTCCACAAGTAATCGTGTACTTTTGGTTTCAGCGATAGGGCAAATTCCAGCTTATAAAGCTTTTACTCTTTGGCAGTTGTTTTCCTGATTATTAGAGGAAGATGATATACCCGCCATGATATATAGCAGGAGAACAGCAAACTGATACTCTAAAGATAGAGGTGAACTGGTTCCAACAGAAGAGATCTATGTATTCGAGTCCACTAGTCAACAAAACTTGAAAGTAACTATTTTTGGAAATACATCAGAGAGTGAAAAATGAGATCGTGATATAATACATTTCTCAACCGAACACATTTCCCCCAGTTCACTCTGGGTAGAGTGGTCCAATCCAACAAAAGAATTGTGCATGCAGACCTACGTACTTTCTACACGTGCGAGATGAAGATATCAACACCACGTTGCCGCAGAAGCAAAACGGAATGTTGATGCGCAATGCATCTGTGTCACGATGCATCAAAATATTACAGTGTGTCCCCAGCATCTAAGAAGTGCTCCTGTTCAGTGATGTGGCAAGTAATTTCATAGTGCTCTTCAGGGCTCACAGAGGGAAGTGAGGTTTCAGGACAAGAGAAAGGGGGAAAGGATGTCTGCTTGTCTTCCCAAACTCAAGCTTTCGTTCGCTGGGCTGTACAGAGGCAAATGGGTTCAGGCTGACTGCTAGACCTAAACTTGAGCACTTTATTGCTATGTAGCAGGGAAGGAGAAACTTGTGGCCTTACAGATGTTGTTGGACTACAGCTCCCATCAGCATGGCCAACAGTCAGGGATGATGGGCATTGTAGTCCAGTTATATCTAAAGAGTCACTGAATCACTATGCTGGATGAACTTTCTGGAGAATGAGAAAATAGGTTTTCTTTTTCCTTTCCCATCTCCTGAAGCCTCCCTAAATAACATGAAGATATATATATTTTTAACTTCATGACACACATCCTTCCATCCCTAATACCCTTCCAGGATTTTTACATATCAGAATAGGGAGGTTTCTGGAGAGTGGGAAGGGGAAAAGTTGTCATTTCCCCTTTTCCCCCTCCTGAACTTTCCTGTGTTCTTCAGAGAAGATGTGCAGTTTGTTTGTTTTTTAACAACTTTAGGGGTAGCATTTCATTTACTCCTCCCACTCTGAGGCACTTGCTAAGTTCTGACACATTTGGTTTCTGCGTTGTATGAGAGATTTTTAAAAATCCATACAACTGCAGAAAAGCAATACGACTGCAGATCGCTATTTTAAGAACTTGCTTTCGCCTTGTTTTCTTAATAAAACAGGCCATTTTGCTTCAGCAGCACTTATTCTTTAAGGGAAATGAAAGAAGCTCGTCACTGTGTTTCTTAGGAACAGAGGAAGCTGCCTTATCCTGAGCCAGGTCACTGGTCCATCTATCTCCATAATTTTATACTGACCAGCAGCACCTCTTCCAGTCATACCTGGAGATCCAGGAGACTGAAGCTGGGAGTTTATCTATGCAAATAGATACCGTATTTTTTGCTCTATAAGACTCACTTTTTCCCTCCTAAAAAGTAAAGGGAAATGTGTGTGCATCTTATGGAGCAAATGCAGGCTGTGCAGCTATCCCAGAAGCCAGAACAGCAAGAGGGATTGCTGCTTTCACTGCGCAGCGATCCCTCTTGCTGTTCTGGCTTCTGAGATTCAGAATATTTTTTTTCTTGTTTTCCTCCTCCAAAAACTAGGTGCGTCTTGTGGTCTGGTGCATCTTATAGAGAGAAAAATACGGTACTTTCTCTCTTCATCCTAGTACCAATCACTCCCTCTAGGATACTTGCTGCAGCCTGTTAGGGGCTTGAGAAGACCAATTGCTATCCATCCAACTTCCACCCCCGCCCCATCAACATCTTGGAAGTTCAGAGTTGTTTTGGGGTCTTTGGTGTTTTCATTTACAAATCTACACTTCTATGTATGTCCTGTAAGTCCACAAGTATGGAGAACCCTGGCCCTTGTTTTGGGTGGTCCTATAATGTCTCACTTCCATACTGATAGGAATTCCACCACCCATCTTGACTATTAGCAGGGGTGGTGGGAGGAATCCCAAATGGAAGTTCACTGTCTGGATGGAGATGTGCATTTAATTCTGGGGCATCTCATCCGGCAGAAATCCCAAAGTTCTAATGCAATATTTCCTCACATTCTAATAGTGCACCGATTCCTCCCCGCGAACTCAACAGGAAACATGCTTTACTCTTAAACATCATTTTCAGAGGATGCAAAAGTAAGGAGTATTGTCCCTTGGAGCCCACCCACCAGTTTCTCCATGAGTCACTGTTCTGAGCATACAGAAAAGCAGCAGGAAGCTCTCCCTGGTTCATCTCTTGACTGGGTGTGAGGCAAGACCAGAGCAATCAAGCACCAACCTCCACAGCTGGATTTCTCAAGGTGGATAACTCATAATTGGTGGACATGGGCAAGCACAACCTGTGTGGTTGACAGATGCTGGAATCAACCTTGCCCCACAGCAGCACCACTGTAAGGATGTCAGCTTCTTTATAACCAGTCCCATGTGCAGCCAAAATAACCCATATGAAACAAGAGTATTTGGAAGGAAACCACAATCAACAGACTAAAGGATGGGGCCAATATCCATGCAGAGTGCAAAACCTCTCTAATCCTTTGCTGATGTTGGCTGCTTTATTAATTACAATGATTTCTATTAATTTGATGTATCAGTTGGCTAATACAAAGTCTCTCTCTTTGGTCACCTGTTAGACGGCTTTCTTTATTGATGTTTGTTTTTACTGTGGATTTTAATCTCTTTTTTAATATATCTAAACTACAACAGTTATATTATCTTCTCTCGGCAATAAAGAAAGCTATTGTCAAGGCACGGTTTTTAATCTGCTTGCTGCCGTTTAGCCCATATAAGCTGTCTGGAGAGCTTGATCTTAATCCACTAGGAGTGCCAGCATTGAGCAGCCCATCTCTGGGCAGGACACTAGTGTATTCTCAGACTCCTACTAGCTCCGTGAACCTTTCACATTCCGATTCTGGATGCAGTAACTGTAACTCTTATCCCATACAGCAAGGACGGGGAACTTCTGCCAGCCAGAAGGTGTGGGCAACCTTCAGGAAGCTATATGTGAACCCAACAAAAGTAGCTCCGCCTCCATATAGAAACCACAAAAAGACCAACCACAAGTGATGGGAGGCACTTCTGGCAGTAAATCTGGCCCAGGATATGCCAACAGCTTTATTTCCTAATTGATGCTTTTTAATTATGGTGCTGGAGGAGACTCTTGAGGGTCCCATGGACTGCAAGAAGATCAAACCTCTCCATTCTTAAGGAAACCAGCCCTGAGTGCTCACTGGAAGGACAGAGCCTGAAGCTGAGGCTCCAATACTTTGGCCACCTCATGAGAAGAGAAGACTCCCTGGAAAAGACCCTGATGTTGGGAAAGATGGAGGGCGCAAGGAGAAGGGGACGACAGAGGACGAGATGGTTGGACAGTGTTCTCGAAACTACCAGCATGAGTTTGACCAAACTGCGGGAGGCAGTGGAGGACAGGAGTGCCTGGCGTGCTCTGGTCCATGGGGTCACGAAGAGTCGGACACAACTAAATAACTAAACAACAACAACAACCCATCCTTCATTGCCTCTGCTACCCAAGAAACCCCAACAATGAATATCAGCTTGATCATGCAGACCATGTCCCAAATGCCCTGCCTCACGTCGTTCTTCTCCAGATGGGAGTTGTCATCTACCGCAGCTCCCTTGGTATGGGCCACCATTAGACTGTAGGGGAGGGAATCTTTTATTGAGGGCGAGGCAGTCCTTGGAAAGGTCCCCAGTTTCGCTTGCAGTGAGATAATGAATCACCAGCAGTACAGTACATTCTTTAAAATCACAAATGGATTGATTTATTAACAGGAAGCACAATGCATTAAATAGACCAGAAGGTTCTTCAAGAAAGAATCTGCTCAAGAGCCTTGGCTTTTTTCTCATGGTTTATTGCTTCTTCTGGCCTTATCACCTTGACCTGCCTCTGACCTCCCAGTGCATGGACGGTATGTCACTGCTGACCAAAAGCCTGAACTTCTGCTCTTCCATGGCTCTATAATCCACAGCTGCAAAGGGGAGCCATTCCCCATTGCTGAGTTGTATCTAACAGTAGGTTTGCTCTAGTGAAACAACTACTGCTTGCATGAGGTAAGGCCCCTCAGTTTTCATTCCTCACCCCTGCCTGCTGCAGACATACCCATGCCACATCCCATAATGCTCCAGAGAGCCCCACAACCCACAGGAGCTTTGGGAGGGGGGGGGAGTTGCACACAGACGGTTGCAGTGGGCAGGGAGAGTTGCACACAGACGGTTGCAGTGGGCAGGGAGAAAAATGCCTTGTGCTTGTGGAAGTGCTTTGCAATAGCAGAAAGCCACCAATGGATACAACCACATGACTTTCGTATATTAGCTTGTATAGCACCCAGTGCAACAATAAGTAATATCAGCTCAGTTCTTGGCTCCTTAGGTAACTTGGTTTAGGAAAGAATGCCACCTGAGATTTTGGAGACCATGGACCATCTGTCTATTGAATTGTGGAGTTGGACAAGACCACAAGGGTCATCTAATCCAACCCCCTGCAATAAAGAAGTCTTTTTGCCCAATGTGGGGCTCGAACCCACAACCTTGAGATGAAGAGCCTCATGCTCTACCAACTGAGCTATATGGGTCCTAGCTTAAGACAGACCCACCTCTCCTCCACTTATACAAGCTGGATTAGATAGTTTAGCGTCAACCAAGGGGCATTCTGTTGCACTAATAGAATGAAGGTTGCTTGCCACTGGAGGAGGCATGTATCTATCCCAAGACAACAGAGCATCAGTGATAATCACACTTACAAACAAATAATTATTGAGCTGGAAGGGCCTCTGAAGATCATCTCGTCCAACCACCTGCAATGCAGGAATATGCAGCTTGTCCCATATGGGGAACGAACCTGCAACTTTGGCGTTATCAGCAGCACGCTCTAACCAACCAAGCTGCATATTTAACAGGACAGCAACAGAAAATAAAATCAGTATTGCATGTGCGAAAGCTGTAGAGAGAACCAGCTCTCTGCATAGCCAGTGATACTAAACCAGTTAGATGTCACACCAGCCAGCATTAAGTAAATCAATATAGGATTACAGTGTCTCTTTCACTCTCCTGCCTTAATCACAGCCACAAGACGGAAAGCTCCTGGCCAGCTCTAACAACATCAACTGTGTGCCGTGTTGCACAAAGCCTTTCTTTGGCCGCCGGCACAACGATCATTTTACACCCTGAGGAATGAAAATGAACTTATTTGAGTATCCCTTTACCTTTCATTAACTTCACATTACAGCTGCTCATCAAGGGCTTGATCCTACACTCAACACGAGTCCTGTACCATGTGTGGAGTGCTTTGTGGGTGAAGATGCAGGGTGGGGGAATTGAATGACAGTGGCTTGCTAGCCTTCTCAACATGAGGTGGGTTCAGAAGGCGCACACATACGCACGCATTGAAAGCGTGTGGGAGGAAGATCTGGGGTTGTGCGGGCCGGCCATGCCTCACTGCTCACATGCAGCATTCAAAATTCGCCAGGCACATTTTGTACCCAGCTATTGGCCACTTGCAACCAAGTGAAGATGCCCAGGCACGAGGATGGTATCTGATGTCTCCATCATCTGGAGGTGCATGCCTGGGCGTCCTTGGATCTTGAGTGTTTTCACACACTAGAAGCAAATCCTGTAGACCAGGTATAGGCAAACTCCGGCCCTCCAGATGTTTAGGACTACAACTCCCATCATCCCTGACCACTGGTCCTGTTAGCTAGGGATGATAGGAATTGTAGTCCCAAACATCTGGGGGGACGGAGTTTGCCTATGCCTGCTGTAGAATTCTAGCCGTTATATTTCAGGAACCAGTAGGTTTTATTGGAAAATATGACTTTCAAGCCCTCTGGCCCCCAAAATGGCAACTAGATATTATGCTTTGGTGACTGTAACCCTGGCTGAAGGAGCCATTTGGCACCTAGCTTATTTATCTAACACTGCTGACATGTGCAACAGCCATGTACCATGCCACCTGTGCATTTGGCTAGCATGTATACTTCTTCCACGTAAAGAGGAGCTCCTGTCCAACCAGGAACTCCCATCATGAGATCTATGCACAAGCATCAGTATTTGTTGGGACCTCCACACCAACTGATGTGGACCCAGTGAATGTCAGCGGTGGAGGCAGGGCTTGCCAATGTGGCTTCATCATCCCCCTCTCAATGAACCACATGCATCCTACGGTTAATGCTAGGACACAATCATATACTTCACAAAGCAAAGGCTTGCACAGGTCTCTGCTTAGCCTCAAGGCTCGAAGCAGGAACCTCCTGGTCCCAGAGAACGACCCAGGACTGTGTGTCCTATATCCATCTATAACATAGGTACGCAGCCAGTATCAACCTCTCCAACTAACAGAGCACACGAAGCCTGTGGATTGGCCAGGCCTGATGTGAGAACAAGAAGCCAGGCCTTCTACTACTGACTTGGCAACAACAGAGCACAAACTTTTCTGATAGTTGCCCTGCGGGAGGCAGCTACTGATCTCAGGGCCCCGGGCTAGAGAATGCGCACACACCTCTGCCTAGATTCAAGCACAGCCTAGGCCTGCCCTTAACATTGTCACACCCATTTCTATAGTGTGTGTCACATTTATTATGAACTCCCATACCCCAGTGTGTTTCTCCCTGGTGAGCATATTTCAACTCCCCAAAGGAAAGTTCGGTGTTAATTAACCACCTGGTAATTTGAGCTAAGGGGAAAACCTACAAAACCATTGTGCCTAATGAGTGGAACAGGAAAGTTCCAGCACTATACCCCAGAGGGCCAAAAGCTTTGTTGTTGTTTAGTCTTTTAGTCGTGTCCGACTCTTCGTGACCCCATGGACCAGAGCACGCCAGGCACTCCTGTCTTCCACTGCCTCCCGCAGCTTGGTCAAACTCATGCTGGTAGCTTAAAGAACACTGTCCAACCATCTCGTCCTCTGTCATCCCCTTCTCCTTGTGCCCTCCATCTTTCCCAGCATCAGGGTCTTTTCCAGGGAGTCTTCTCTTCTCATGAGGTGGCCAAAGTATTGGAGTCTCAGCTTCAGGATCTGTCCTTCCAGTGAGCATTCAGCGCTGATTTCCTTCAGAATGGATAGGTTGGATCTTCTTGCAGTCCATGGGACTCTCAAGAGTCTCCTCCAGCACCATAATTCAAAAGCATCAATTCTTTGGTGATCAGCCTTCTTTATGGTCCAGCTCGCGCTTCCATACATCACTACTGGGAAAACCATGGCTTTAACTATACGGGCCTTTGTTGGCAAGGTGATGTCTCTGCTTTTTAAGATGCTGTCTAGATTTGTCATTGCTTTTCTCCCAAGAAGCAGGTGTCTTTTAATTTCGTGACTGCTGTAACCATCTGCAGTGATCATGGAGCCCAAGAAAGTAAAATCTCTCACTGCCTCCATTTCTTCCCCTTCTATTTGCCAGTAGGTGATGGGCCATGATCTTAGTTTTTTTGATGTTGAGCTTCAGATCATATTTTGTGCTCTCCTCTTTCACCCTCATTAAAAGGTTCTTTAATTCCTCCTCACTTTCTGCCATCCAGGTTGTGTCATCTGCATATCTGAGGTTGTTGAAAACAGAATCCATTGCTGATCTGTGCATGTGCTGTGGCTGCAATCAGTGTGTTGCTCTTTGCCCTCCATGCCCCAGCTTGCTTTCTCAAAATCCAAGCACTTCATCAAATAGGTGCAAGCACTGGCTGTGAACAAACTTATATATGGGCTATCTCTGGATATTATCCCAGGCCTTCTACACTGTTGGAGAAGCTGATCGGTTACAACTATGCACCCATTTCTTACAACTATTACCAAGGTCATTACCAGTGCTTTTTTCTGGGGGGGACGCAGTGAAGACGCATACCCCTAAACATTTTGTGAATCTAAGTTTAGCCTCATTGAGGGGCAGTATTTTATGAGTAGGAAAACGAGAGTACCCCTAAACATTTTTAAAGAAAAAAGCACTGGTCGTTACTGCAATCAATATTATTACCATAATAGTATCCATATAGAACTTTAGAGTGTTCAAAATATTCCTCCTCCTACTTTATCTTTGCAATCCTTCCAACATTTATTTATATATGTTTACAGTCCGCCTTCACGAGTAAAACTTACTGAAGGCAGCTTACACAATAACAGATAAAAATACAGTTTTTGACCTTGGAAGTAGACAGGGCCATGGCCTTCTAAAGCTCGTATAGTTACTTATCCCTTTGAAATCTGATGGGAGGGCGTTCCACAAGGAGGGTGCCACCACTGAGAAGGCCCTATACCTGGTTCCCTGTAACGTCAATTCTCGTAGTGAGGGAACCACCTGAAGGCCCTCAGTGCTGGATCTCAGTGTCCAGACTCGATGATGGAGGTGGAGATGCTCCTTCAGGTATCCAGAGCCAATGCCATTTAGGGCTTTGAAGGTCAACAGCAACCCTTTGAATTGTGCTCAGAAATGGACTGGGAGCCAATGCAGGTCTTTCAGGACCGGTGTTATATGGTCCTAGCAGCCAGTCATCAGTCTAGCTGCCGCATTCTGGATTAGTTGCAGTTTTCGAGTCACCTTCAAAGGTCGCCCCACGTACAGCGCATTGCAGTAGTCCAAGCAGAAGATTTATTATATCCCACCTTTCCTCCAAGAAGTGTGAGGTGCTGTACGTGGTGCTCTCCTCCCCCATTTTACCATCCATCCACTCAACAACCCTGTGAGGTAGGTTAGGCTGACAGTCAGGAATTGGCCCCAGGTCGCTCAGTGAGTTTCCTGGCTGAGTGGAGATTTGAACCCTGGTCTCCCAGGTCCTAGTCCAATATTTCAACCACTACACCCCACTTACTCTTTGGTCCTGACTTGTAGATTGTTCTGTGGTCCCTGGCTCATCTCAGATTGTTGCTCACAGCCTAGCCCTGACATACCATGGCTTAGAGGAGAAGTCTCTAGGTGAGCTGCTATGGTAGGCAAGACAGGCTGAAGAATTGAATAATTATGGTGCTGGAGGAGACTCTTGAGAGTCCCATGGACTGCAAGAAGATCAAACCTATCCATTCTTAAGGAAATCAGCCCTGAGTGCTCACTGGAAGGACAGATCCTGAAGCTGAGGCTCCAATACTTTGGCCACCTCATGAGAAGAAAAGACTCCTGGAAAAGACCCTGATGTTGGGAAAGATGGAGGGCACAAGGAGAAGGGGACGACAGAGGACGAGATGGTTGGATGGTGTTCTTGAAGCTACCAGCATGAGTTTGACCAAACTGTGGGAGGCAGTGGAAGACAGAAGTGCCTGGCGTGCTCTGGTCCATGGGGTCACGAAGAGTCGGACACGACTAAACGACTAAACAACAACAACAACAACAACAACAACAAACTCTAAGTCTCTCAAGAAGAGCTGCTCAGATCCTATAGATGGGCAGGGAAACAGGACTAATGAAAAAGGAACAGAAGGACCTCCTAGCAAATGAGAACTTGGGGTGGTGAAGGAAGCAGGCCAAAGCAATGGAGTCCAGGCTTGAAAGCTTGGAACTAGGGAATGCTGTCAACGGATGGAGCAGAAGGAAAATTAGGGAAAAGAAATGGGAGGGGAGAGAGGAATGGTGCCCATGACCAAGAGCTCAAGACACAAAGAAGGCTGAAGTTCACATTTCGCTTTTAAATAACTAACCAAGTATTTGGCTGCTGGCTTCCTAACTTTCATTCATTATTGGAGAAAATAATGGTTTTACTACATGGCTCTTTCATGGCAGTCATTGGGAATCGGATATGGCTGGGGGGAAGCAACGTTAGACATTTAAATAAGCAAACCATTGCTAGGTATGGTTCTCAAACGCCAGATGGTGGTCATAGACACTGGAGGAAAACACCATGGAAGGATAGCTGCTGCCTTCATGCTCTGCTTATGAGCTTCCCAGAGGCACTTAGAAGCCACAGTGAGCACATTGTATTGATCTCATCCAACAAAGCAATTCTTATGATCTCCAGAACTGCGTAATTAGCACCCAACAGTTAATAGCTGGATCAACTGACACTAAGCCACATCTCTCAGCAATTACCTAGCACCCATTAGGATGGCCAGATACAAACACTACACCTGTTGGAATGCGCTCTGCTTCGCCAACTATTAAAAGTGCAAGAGTCTTCTCTTTTGAGTCTAGCCACCCATTCTCATAGCAAAAGAATTTCTATGGAACTAGAGTATGATTATTATCCTTCATGTGGTCCTCAGTTGCAGACAAAACCTCCTTTGAAAATAATAACATCATAATCCTTTTGAACACTCATCAGGTTCCCCTGAACTCAAGGGCAAAATTACAGCAATATTCTTGTTGCAAATCCTCCATAAGTCTCCCTGGCCCCCAGGGCAAAGTCAGGGCAATAAATCTATCCTACTGTGTTAGTCAACCACCTTATCTACGTCTGCAACAAGCGCACGGCACAGAAGGGCATACCGAGGTCACACAGACAATATCAGACCTGGACTCTGAATTATCTTATCCAGAGTAACTACCATCCTTTGGCCCCAAACAAGCACTAGTGCAGATTGGAAGCCTGTTTTCACCAATAAGGATGCACTGAAAGACTTGAAACAACCCACCCTTTGGGGCATATTTAACCACCTGGTTGCAAGCACAATGGAGCAGTTAGTTGGCATTAGGTGGGTAGGAAAGCAATGATTAAATTAAATTAAATAGCTAGCGTTTGGAAATGCATACTGTATAGGAAGAAGAATTCTGAGAAGAGGGGGACTTGACACTGACAGCTTGAATGAAAAGCAGAACCAACTTTCTTCAAATTGGCAAATAAATTTGATGGCTCGTCACTTAGAGTAGATTTTCTACTCGCCGCAGGTGACCTGAAATGCAAGCAAACTCCAAGGCCAGCTTAGGCACGCCCAGGAGATCTATCCCAGTGAAACAGATCCCTCCAGGCTCTGGCCTCGTTCGGCCTTCTGGTCCTGGAATCAAAGTTGGCAGCCCTAAACCAATACGATTTTATTTTCTCTCAAGAGCTAATGTTTTCCCCTCCCCGCATATCTAGAACAAGATAGGGTTGAGATCAGTTCCTCTAATATGCTCAGATCTTAACAAGAAATGTGCCAATTTCTTGCAGGCTGAAAAAGCGTTTCCTTGCCCAGGAGAACTTGCTGACGGATTATGCTTCTTATTCTTACACACAAGGACTGGGGTGGGAATAAGCTAGGGCTCCCTTCGACCCTGAGCAAACGTGAATGTTGCAAATGACCCAACCCGACAGATGTCTTTTTTGAAAAAGGGGTAGAGGGCGGCGACGATTTGATAGCTAAGTATATGTTGCTGTCAAATTCATGCAAGCATTTTTTGCTGATGTTGTGATTTCGCCCCGCCCCTCAGATCCTGAACGCTGCAGGGTCGGGAGGATCCACCCTTCTAAGAATGATCCACCAAGCCACTCAGGGGCATTTGCAAGACTTCCCCCCCGTATTTTGTTTTGTTTTTGCGAGCGGACGGTTTCCAGTGCGTTATAATGCCGGACGCACGACGCAGCAGGGGAACTGCGGGATCTGGGCTGGTGCATGCAAAATGCTTGCAAAATGCCTGGCACCTGCGACGCGGTTCAAGAGCAGGTGCGCCGCTTTCGTCCCTCGTTTGCACCGCTCCCTCTTCCTACCTTTGTGATGGTCATGCAGCCTGGATTTTTGGTGCAGCGTCCAAGGGCGGGCGAGCCCGCCCAGCTCACAGTCGTCTCTCTCCGCAGCAAAGATTTCAGCTCCTGCCTGCTCTTGCACCGCAACACTTTTCTTCCTCCTGTATCAGAGCACACCTAGCACATCCCTTTTACAGGTGCTGCGGGATCATGGAATCACGTTCATTCATTGATCGTGAATTTATAAATATATATCTATTTGGGGATGGGTGGGGGGTGGAAACCCTTTGCTTGCTGTCACCCACACACCAATTAAAAAAAATTAAAATTAAAACCCCATCGAAATCTGCCCGCTTCCAGCATGCACGCTTTCCGGGCAGAGCGCACGCTTGCAAAGTCACTGCAGGGTCCACACGCGCGCTTGGAGAGAAAGGGGGGTGGGTGGAGCCAGGAGAGAAGGACAGGCCAAGATCCCCCACCTCCCGCTTCCTTTGTGTGCCGCCCTCGGAGTCCGACGAAGCAGGAGCAGAAACCTCGGCAGAGGCGGCGGTTGTTGCATTGTGGATGATGACGGGTGGGCGGAGACGGGAGGCAGCCCGAAATCCCGTCCCTGCGGGGAAGAGAGGCGGCGGCTCCCTTGGGAAACCCTGGGCGCGCGCTCTGTGCGGGTCGCAATTCTGCAATCGGTACGAATTACGCAAATGAAACCAGCGCGATGGTTGGCATCGCTTTTTTTTTTTCCCCTTGCGTTTTTGAAAACTGTTTTGCATCCATTATTCTGTTTTCTTTTTTTATGTATACTGTAAACCTATTTTGCATAATTTATTTAGGTTTTTGCTTATTGTGTTTCTGGTTTTGCTTTTAGAAGACATCTGAAGGCAACCCTGTTTAGGGAAGTTTTTAATGTTTGATGTTTTGTCGTGTGTTTAATATTCTGTTGGGAGGCGCCCAGGGTGGCTGGGGAAACCCAGCCAGATGGGCGAGGTTACATAAATTTGTTGTTAGAGACCCTCCACATGTCCCTATTCTCCAAGGACAGCCCCAGATTTATAGAAGCCGCCCCGGTTTCTGACTTGATCCCAGAATGACCTGCTTTTCCTTATCCTTGGAGGGTATGGTATTATTATTTATTACACTCATTCCCAGCCCTTTAGCAGCAGGTCCCCGGGCAGGTTACAACAGTTAAGAAAACCAACAACAGTTAAAACAGATTACAATCACAGGAATAAGGTGAACACACACCTAGAGCAGGAGACTCTTAATCTCAGGTTCGTGGGTTCGAGCCAGACATTGGGTGAAGATTCCTGCAGGTTAGAGGTATGTCTTCAGCATTCTTGGAAAGCTTCATAGTGAAGAAGCCAAGAATTGCCTTCTTGCAGGAGGGAATTCCACAACTTAGGGGCTGCAGCAGAGAAGGCCCTGATGTGAGCAGTAGGTGGAGAAAGGGCACACGGATGAAGCTAGGTTGCCAAGTGAACATCCGGACAAAGTTGTTGAGCTCTTACTCAACTATCTTTTTGGACTCTGGGTATTGTCTGCATACTAAAAACCTTTCACAATCACAAAAACTAGAAAGCTGTGTGTGTGTTTAAAATATTTTTTATTGAATGATTTTATGTTACAAAAAAAAAATTACAACCATACTACCACAAAATATAATTGAGAAATAAAAATTACATACATCAATATTTAGTTTGTTATTTGTTATTTGCCGTCTTATTTCCTCCCAAACATTCCATACAAAACACACATGCATATACACACACACACAAAAATATGATAATAATGAAACTAAATATCTTTTCCTCTTTTATCTTACAAAATATTTTCTTCAACTTGACTTCCTGTCAGGTCCCTTCGCATATATTTTATCTTACAATCAAATGTACACAAAACAATAGACCTTTCTATATAAATTTTCAAATACATTCAGAAAACATAATAAATCCTTAATTGTTATCCACCTCCTTTTACTTCATTTGTCACTCAAATGCTAGTACGGAGTCAAAACTATTACTGTATTATATTTTTGAATGTATCTTCTATAACCATCCCATTTTTCCGCAAATTTTTGCTTTGAGTTTCCTCCGAGTTTGATAGTCAGTTGAGCCATCTCCACCAGTTCCTGTAATTTGATTTGCCAATCTGTTATTTTTATGTGTGTGTTTTAAAATGAAGATTCTCCACATACTATCCACAGATAGTAGCCAAAACCACATTTCACGACTGTTCCAGGCGCCTGCACCAAACATACAGACCTGCCCAAAATTGAGTTCTACTGTTGCTTAATATTTAGGGCGATTTGAGAAGGGGGACTTTTTAAGCATCATCTAAGACAGTACCATTGATCTGAATATCAGAATTAGCCATCTGATGAAAAGCATTTTCTTGGGTGAATGTGTATTTTGAATCCCTTGGTTAGGGGAGCAGCTGTGTGGTGGTGGTGGTGGTGGTGGAAACAGTTAGAAAGAGAGCAACTGTTTCTGCTCCTAGTTCTTACCTCTTGAAGATGCTTTCTCTTAAAATAGAAGATGCTTTTGGGTTATCTCACACACACCTGCATGTCACATGAGCAGGCTACTCACATTTAAATGCCACCTCTGTGAGTGCAAAGCATTACCAGATTACTTTCTAAATTCACAGTGGTTTGCATTAGATTAAAAAATATGCCGTGCAATAAACCATACTGCAGTCTTTGAACACATCTTTACTGCCACTTTCTAAACTTACCGGTAACGAAGTCTGAACCATGTTGTTGTTGTTTAGTCGTTTAGTCGTGTCCAACTCTTCGTGACCCCCTGGACCAGAGCAGCCAGGCACTCCTGTCTTCCACTGCCTCCCGCAGTTTGGTCAAACTCATGCTGGTAGCTTCGAGAACACTGTCCAACCATCTCGTCCTCTGTCGTCCCCTTCTCCTTGTGCCCTCCATCTTTCCCAACATCAGGGTCTTTTCCAGGGAGTCTTCTCTTCTCATGAGGTGGCCAAAGTATTGGAGCCTCAGCTTCACGATCTGTCCTTCCAGTGAGCACTCAGGGCTGATTAGCACATGCCTTTCAGGGGTGGGCCTTATCCAGTATAAATCCAGGATATCTATAAGATGGTTAGTCTACAACTTTGATCATCTTCGGCTATGCTGGCTTGGGCTAATGGAAGCTGAAGTTCAACACCACCACAAGGACACCACCTAGAGTAGCCCACATCGTGTTTCCCTAGTTCAAAATATTGATTTCATATTGTGTGTCACAACACGTTTTTGTAAAAGTCTTGGGTTCTCAAATGAGAGGATCAGAATACATTGTCTAACTCAGTGTTTCCCAAACTTGGGTCTCCAGCGGTTTTTGGACTACAGTTCCCATCATCCCTGACCACTGGTCCTGCTAGCTAGGGATGATGGGAGTTGTAGTTCAAAAACAGCTGGAGACCCAAGTTTGGGAAACCCTGGTCTAACTGTTCCCCTCCCTGTCAAGTTTCTTCCTTTATCCCTTTAAGCTTAAATACTTGTTGGTATCTAGTAAAGCTGTGGTGCAGGGATGGAGAACCTATGTCCTTCCAGATGTTGCTGGACTTCAACTCCTGTCATTCCTGACCATTGGCTAAGCTGGTTGGGGTTGATGGGACTTCAACAACCAATCGAGGGCCACAGATTCATCATTCCTGCTGCTACAAGTGGATAAGAGTTATGAGTTGGGAAGTCCCTTGTTCAAATCTCGTATTATCAACAAACTCAATAGGTGAGCTTAGGCAAGTTACTGTTTTTCAGGCTCTGTTCTCTCTCCCCCTTTTGTAACATGGGAATAATGATGTGGGCTTTACTGGACCTCAGTGACCACCTCTCTCCAAATGGACCTACCCAGATCCTGAGATCATCTTCTGAGGCCCTTCTTTCTGTGCCTCCTCTACAAGAGGTCCAGAGGGTGGCAACACGAGAACAGGTCTTTTCTGCCTCGCTGTTTGTGGAATGTTCTCCCCAGGTAGGTTCACCTGCTGCCATCATTATACAGTGGTACCTCGAGTTACAGACGCTTCAGGTTACAGACTCCGCTAACCCAGAAATAGTACCTTGGGTTAAGAACTTTGCTTCAGGATGAGAACAGAAATCGCACAGCGGTGGCACAGCAACAGCGGGAGGCCCCATTAGCTAAAGTGGTGCTTCAGGTTAAGAACAGTTTCAGGTTAAGAACGGACCTCCAGAACAAATTAAGTTCTTAACCCGAGGTACCATTGTAGGAGAAAACATTCCTCTTTAACCAGGCCTCTGGCTGACTGACATCCAATGCCCTTTTAAAATATGTTAAGGAAGGGGGGTTATTGGGTTTTTGTTTTTATTACGGTATGTGTTTTGTGTTTCTATATTGTGATTTTATCTTGGGAATCTCCCTGAGACCTGTGGGTATAGGGTGGTATACATATTATTATTATTATTATTATTATTATTATTATTATTATTATTAATATTATTACCAGGATGTTGTAAGAATTACTGAGCTATTTTATGCAATCTGCTCTGACAGCTCAGCATAAGCCCTGCATAAACAGACCATCAAAATAAATGATTCCTAGGGCTGCAAACTTTTTAAAAAATATGTGGTTTTTTTGTTATTCTTCTGGGGGATCCAACCTCTGCATTTTGGGGAGTTGTAATATCATCTCATAGCCCACACGAAAAACGCTATTAGCACTGCCATTGCTGCCGAGTTTAATACGGACAAGTGTGTACAACTACTACCAAGAGACAAAGTACAGCATAAAGAATGTCTGACTCTGCACATTCTAACAATGAGAGATGTTGAAGACTAGCGTCTGAATTAATTTCAGCAGCTTGCTGTCAGTGACTAGCAGAAACAGTTTATTCCATCCTGCAAAATACAACACAGTACAGTCCTTTTGAATTATGGTGCTGGAGGAGACTCTTGAGAGTCCCATGGACTGCAAAAAGATCAAACCTATCCATTTTTAAGGAAATCAGCCCTGAGTGCTCACTGGAAGGACAGATCCTGAAGCTGAGGCTCCAATACTTTGGCCACCTCATGAGAAGAGAAGACTCCCTGGAAAAGACCCTGATGCTGGGAAAGATGGAGGGCACAAGGAGAAGGGGACGACAGAGGACGAGATGGTTGGACAGTGTTCTCGAAGCTACCAGCATGAGTTTGACCAAACTGCGGGAGGCAGTGGAAGACAGGAGTGCCTGGCGTGCTCTGGTCCATGGGGTCACGAAGAGTCAGACACGACTAAAACACTAAACAACAACAACACAGTGGTACCACAGGTTACAGACGCTTCAGGTTACAGACTCCGCTAACCCAGAAATAGTACCTCAGGTTAAGAACTTTGCTTCAGGATGAGAACAGAAATCGAGCAGCGATGGTGTGGCGGCAGCAGGAGGCCCCATTAGCTAAAGTGGTACCTCAGATTAAGAACAGCTTCAGGTTAAGAACGGACCTCCGGAATGAATTAAGTTCTTAACCCGAGGTACCACTGTACTGAGAGAAAACTCAGGGAAGTTTATACCAGTAGCAAGGGCCATTTGATCCTATTCCCTGCTACAAATATTGCAGTACAGTGGTACCTTGGTTTACAACCATAATCCATTCCGGAGATCCGTTTGTAAACCAAAACAGGTTGTAACCCAAGGCGTGCTT